GATATAAATAAATAAATATATATATATAATATAAAATAGTAGAATGTAATCGAATATAGTCGAATATAGTACAGTCACATATATATATACACACCTACAGCAACCGGAACCCAAAATAAACAGGGTTCTGACTTAAAACCCGGTTTTCGGAAAGAAAAAAAGGTTTCTGGGTTCTGGGCTTTTATGATGAGAGTGACGCGCGAATGATGTTGCTGGAAAATTTCTCTGGGTGGGGCCTTTTTGCTGCTCGACCTTGGAGACCCCCGGATTCGCCGGCCCGGGCTTAGTTTTGCAGGTGCAGGAGAATCTCGAGAGAACCTCGTTCAGTTGAGAGACTGGTAGAGAGTCGCACGGACCCTAGAGGTTCATATTCGGAACAACAATCCAGCGACAGTCAACGTAATGGCCACGCGCAGCAAGCAAAGCCCTGTATATAGTTCTAATTCTTTCAAGTTTCGCAGAAACTCTCCTGCTTAGACGGCTCGGCCGTCCTATAAACTCCTCTTCGATTTGGCACGCGTGCACAAGCGGGGACAGCACAAAAGGCGCACGCTCGCCCTCATCTGTGAGGTCAAAAGAATATATATATATATATATAATGCAATCGGCGCAAGTCCTGCACAAGTTCGAGCTTTTATAACAGCTGCGAACGCTGTCCAAAACACGTCCGGAGCCAGACCCCCCAAAACCCGCTTTTGTCCTACGGGTAAATACGGGTTCCCTACGGGTAAATACGGGTTCCCCTACGGGTAAATACGGGTTTTCCAAAAGTGGGTTTTAGCCAGATTATGGGTTCAGATGGTTTTTTATGGGTTTCCGATGGGTAAAACCAGGTTTTCAGCCCGCAGCCCACTTTTTTTCTTCGGGGCGAAACAAAACTGCGCTAATCACTTTGCGGGGTTTTGGGGGCCTTAAGACGAGCCCGCGGGAAGTGCACCCTCCTTTCGGGCGAGAATGCGGAGACGCTTCCCGCTCTGAGGTTATATATAACCATGGCCAAATCCGCCCACTCAGCTCCGCAGTTGAAGGCCTCGCTTGAAACAGCTGAAGTGCGGAAGGTAGCGTGGGTGGCCGGAAGGCCGGGCAGCCGCATAAGCCGTGGGTTTCAAAACATCATAGATATATTGGCTATAGCAGCGGCGAACTGAGAAGTGTAAGTCCTGGGCTGGCCATCATATCTAAATAAGCAAATCCGACCCGCTCCACACAATCGAACGAATTGTGCAATATTTTGCAGGGGACATGCGCTCGTCCTGCTATAAGCTCAAGTGTCTCTGTCGACTTGAGACTTGCTGTACCACGGTATCTCCACGACAATCGATGTGCTGAACCGAGGTAGCCGAAACGGGCGCCCTTCTGCCTGACCCTTTGAATTCGGATAACGGGAGCGTACGGCCCCGCACATGCCTGCTCAATCCCCAACCTGATCCCGAAAAAGTGGGTTTTACTGAAAAACCCGGTTTTTCCAACAAAAACCCGGTTCTTTGGCCTATTCCCTTAAAATCCCGGTTCTGACCCCCGAGCCCAGTTTTTTTAGGGTTTCAGGCGCCCAAGGTATATATATATATATATGTAATATATGGTAGTAGTTTTGTGGGTTTTTAAGGGCTTCATTCTAAAGTGCGATCTTTCTTGCCCGAGAACCCTGAACAATACACGGCTCTGCGTACTCATGGAGTTCCGAGGTCCTTTCAAGAATTCCTACTCTTCGAATTTAGTGCAGGCCATGGCCGCCATAAAAAAAATGATGTTGCCACACCCAGCTCTGCGATGCTTCCGTGACATGAAGTGATGAGACAAGGGTGTCCGAACCTCACGGCCGGAGGAAGGTGTCCATGCAGCATCCCTAAACCCTAAACCCTAACCCCTAAACCCTAAACCCCGGCATGTGGGCATGTCACATTTTTGCTCCGCAGCCCCGTTGTGGTCGTTAACGGCTTGGTCCAGGGCCAGCATGGCAGCAACGGATGTAGACCGCATCCAGGTCCACCTGGCCAAGCTAGACACAAAGGGTTTAGGGTTTAGGGTTAAGAGTAGCCCAGCAATACAAAAAGGGCGCCCGTTTTGGTTGTCAAAGGGGCTTCTAAGGGAATCGAAACCCGCTCCCCAAAAGGGAACAAGGGTCTACTCTGGCTCATGGCAAGTGAGCGTTTTGGAGCCTACACGCGAATACACGCGACACGACAACTTGGTTGTTTTTGTCGCGCTCGCGCAGCAAAAAATGCACGCCAAGCCGTGCGAAGATTCTCATGCATGCTACCTACAGGTACGTGAACCTCAATGACTTGAATGAATTAATATCCGTGGTACATCAGGCTGGATGAGGATGGAAGACGTGATTGTTGAAGCATGTGCGCACAGCAGCCACCAAACCCTAGCAACAGATCACGAAATCCAACATCAGATGCGGCGCTGTCTAGCCTTTAACGTCAAGAGCCTTGTGTGGATAAGCCCCTAAAACGCCCAGACCTGATGAACCCCAGCCCCCTTTGCAAACCAACGCCCGCCCACCCACCCAAACAAAAAAACATGACAGGACGTACAAGCGCAGGAGTGTCCGCTAATTTCACCTCGTTCTTTTGAATGTCAGGGGGAGGGGATGGGCCCTAAACCCTAAACCCTAAACCCCAAACCCTAAACCCTAAACCCCAAACCCTAAACCCTAAACTCGCTTCGCAAGTGCCTCCTGGACTCGGGGCCCTTGCTCTTCGAGGGCCAAAGAGAGCCAGCACTCCTGCCAAGTCCGGGCGACTTCTTAGGGGCTTATAGGGGGCTTGGAGGTTGAATTCTAGGGTTAAGGGTTTAGGGTTTCGGGTGAAGGGTTGAGGGTTTTGGGTTTCGGGTTTAGGGTTTCGGGTTTAGGGTTGAGGGTTTTGGGTTTCGGTCCTCAGGGCCCCTAAGCCCGAAACTTCCTAAACCCGAAGTCCTAAGTCCCATAAGTTGAAGCCCTAAGTCCACTGTAAGGCCTGGTTCCCGCTGCGGCCGGTAGTGAATGAGTCGCAGCAGATCTCCCAACTGCAGGGCAAGCAAGGCATCGGTTGTGAGCGGCTCTTGAAGGAGATAGATGATGTAATGCCTTAGGGTTGGGTTTTAGGGTTTAGGGTTTAGGGTTTAGGGTTTAGGGTTTAGGGTTTAGGGTTTAGGGTTTAAAAGGGCTCTTCCCAAGAAGCGACTCTACTGCAGAGTTCGGTTGGGCCCGACCGGGAGCCTCCGACCGCTGCCCGCTTTGAAGCAGCTGGGGTCCTCGTGGCCGAATCGACTGCAGACATGAAGAACTCTTCTGTTCCGAGCTTCTAGCGCTAGAAGGGCCCATAGCTAATCCTCATTATACATGCTAATTGGGTAATGAGGGCAAGCCAGGGCGACTTTTGCAGTGGCCCGCCGCAACACTGTATCAGCCTGTACAGGATACTCCTTCAGAGCCTGCCACGTCGGCGTAACCTAATTCTCGTACCTGCCACTCCTTTTACAAGGAAGCCATCTCTTGCAGCCCCGGAAGCAGGCCGAGCAGAACGCAGCAGCATTTGTGCCGGCCAAAACGAAGAACAACCAACGGACATGCGCAGCCGGTGTAGACTTGCAAGCTTGATGCGTGCCACTGCAGGCGAGAGGAGCACATTGTGGAAAATCAGTGAACCCCTAGCCCAGAGAAAGACAACTTGGTCGGTGTGTCTCAATAAGCTGTTCAATCCTGCACAACAAACATGCAAACTAAAAGCGAAACGAATTCTGAATTGGAAACAGACTGCAAGCTGCCGCAAGCACGGGTGGCTTGCTCGAGTGTCTGCTTGATAGCTCTTCTGGCCAGAGCCATTTACGACTAAGCTTAAGCTGCATGGTAGCGCAGTGTGGCTGCACTTACTCTCCTATACCGCCTATACCGTGCACAATGAACGATTCTTACGCACTATTCTGTCTCGGCCTCTCGAAACGTTTAGCCTCATCACTGAAGCTCTGCAGCATTTCTCTACGCAAATTTCTCGGATATGCCTGCCGGTGGGATGGCGGCCCATCTATTTGTGAATCAGTTCATCGGCCACTGAGGAAAATCAGTTGTGCTTGAACCAACATCATGCCTGCGAAAGGCGAAAGCCATGGCCGCCAATGCCGGCTAGCTTCACCTCGGATCGTTGGCATCGTCTCTACATCATTGTCCTTCACTACATCGTTTGTCTTCACGGTGATGGGCTGAGGGACTACATGGCGACACTACCCCTTCCAACCTTAACGCAACTCGGAAGCTCAACCAGTGCCTTGACCCTCCTCAAGATCTTTCCAGGGCTTGTCGTCGTGTTTTGGGCTGGTGAGAATCGGGCTCCCGCTCCTAAACTCCAAACCCTAAACTTAATCCCTGTTCCCCTAGGAAGAAAAAAGGATCCTTTTGTGTATATATAAGAAAGCCCATAACCCAAAAAGTAAAAAGGATCCCTAACACTGATTTAGTAAACCCGAAGAGTGCTTTTTTCTACACGACCACCCCGGTACTTGTGCCACCCGAGTCGCTGGTGACAACAAATGGGCTGTCCGAAGCCTGAGGCTTGGGTTTGGGTACGGTGCCCCCTCAAGATCTCCGAAAAAACCATGAGGGGCTACCCCTAGCCCCCTTCAGGGGTACTGTGGGGGGGGAGGTGGGGTGGGGGTTGTGCTGGTACTTCAGCTTCCGGATTTAGGATATACCGGGGGGGGGAAAGGTTGCTGTTGGGGGGCGCTCGGGGAGTTAAGTGAAGAAGGTTGGAGTGGCAATGCTCTCCCCTTTGTTTTCAAGGTGTTAGTTTTCGTATTCCCGACTGGAATTCCTTGGGACAATTAAAGACATGATCCCGCAGGAGCCTATCGGACAGCGATGCTAGTGCTTGACCAAAAAACTGGCAGGGTGGAGCTGGCGCCCGCCACCTCGATGTGGGATTGCGTTCGGCTTCCCTAAACTTCCGACACAAAAACTCCAAAAACAACAACAAAGAAGTAAGCTGCTTGGTGGCGTTTGGCGGGCAAAGGCCAGCTCACCACTCAGCCTACCGGTGTTGTTAAGAGCGTGCGTTGGGGAGCTTGACGATTATTGTATCTTCCGACATTGTGCCTCCTATTTATAGCTGTGTTGGCTATGCCAAGCGTCGCAAGGAGCAGACAAAACAGGCGAGTGCTAGGCTTGCGTGCCCCGGGAGGCTGCAGGCTTTGGATTCTTGGAGGCTTGGAAATTGGTCGGCCCTAAACCCTAAAAACTAAACCCTAAACCCTAAACCCTAAACCCTAAACCCTAAACCGTGTTCTCAGCGCTGCGACTTCGGGTCGGTTGCCTCTTCGCGCACAGTGCAAGCAACCAAGTCACCAAGCGCTGGAGTACAGTGGGTCTCATGGCGAGGCATGAAATTTGATGTTGGCACGGGTGGTTAATTAATTATTGCGTTGCGATTTCAAGCTTGTGATCGCGAAGGGCCCCCCGAGACCCACGTCAGGGCTGCTGGCGCCCAGTCACTTTAAATGGGCTGAGATGTTAGAGGTACCCTAAACCCTAAACCCCATTAGAGCCTGACAGCTGTCAGCCACTACACGGCGACGAGGCATCCCTCGTCGAAACCTTGTGAATTCCAGGAGAAGTCCGTACCCGTGGCCCATAACTGTATCGACTCTTAAAACCCTAAAACCCCTGAACACTTAAATCCCTCAACGCTTAACTAAAAACCCTGATTCTGCGAAGCCCCACCTGCCGCATCTTCTTCTGGATCTCCCAGGAAATGGTCGTTCCCTCAGTTCTTTTTGGGTTTGTGATGTCTAGGGCCGTTTTTGCAAGGTTCAGGAAGGTTAGGTAGGGATTTTCAGGTCTCTAGGGTGTGGGTTTTTGGGGTTTTCTGGCGTTTATAGAGCTTCATGACTTTGGAGTTTGGTGATTGTGGGGGACTTTGAGTGAGAAGCATGTGGGTGCGCAAACACTTCCATACGTAGACATGGTTGCTGGCAGACTCGAGCAGAATGCACAGCAGCCCGAAGCCCAACCCAACAAAACAGCTGGACCTTGCTTTGCACGTCACAGCTGGCAGTTGATAGTAGCCAAGATTCTTCTGCCGTAAAGATCAGGCTGCCAGTCTTGCCAGCACGTACGGCCTCTTAGCTGCATCGGGCCATGAGTCCCTACCAGCTCCACCAGCTAGAAGTAGTATATCTGGTCAAAAGGCCCTCTTGTTGCAGAAATGTGCTGTCCTGTGGTCTGCGGGCATGCTCTTAACACAAGTATGTCTTCGGCTTGTGGAAATGCTTTTGGCACAGCTATGTACACGCGAAAACCGGCTTGTAGACATCAAAGACAGGGACCTGTAGATCAACTAGCCCGGCCTCCATTAAGAAGAGTCCAAATCGGATCAGAGTTTTCAATGGGACCACAAAGCCTGCGGTGGTGCTTACTTGTTGAGATACGCTCCGACCCTATAACCCGGACGCCTGACTGAGCTCTAAACCCTCAAGGGCCTCATTGAGCTCCTGCGTCCACTGCTGAACCAAGCCGGCCATCCTTGGGAGCAATTCGGGAGGAGAGTCTGCCCTTACTGTGGGGCTTCGGGTTTAGCTCGTGTTACAGCGAAATACCCACATCTTGAACAGGCAAGCTGCATCTGATCGATGCTTGTCTTGTTCTCCACAAAGTCGGCCTGGACTGGCACAGGCAGCACTGGAAAAACACTCAACCACAATACACACAATGCCTGCAAAACATGCACCACCACCCCCCCCCCCCCCCCCCCCCCCCCCCCCCCGGTGCCAAGCTGGTCCGAAGACTCCAGAAACCATGGGGCTTTCCATGCAGAGTGGGTTTGCGACATGCCAGCACCCGATGCCTGCAGTTGTATCTGGTAGTGGAAGGCGGAAATGCTTGCATCAGCGGTGACGCGGACGTCCTGCGAATCGATGCCTGCTCAAGGGCTATAACGACACGGGCACGCATGTCTACGTCTAAGCAGCTGACACAGCAAGCTAGCAACCAGCAGCTTGCGCCCCTGAGCCTGCGCCATGGATGGCAGACTTCAGCGAGGATTGCAGCATCTGTCGGACTACAGGGCTCGTGATGAAGAGGCTCACACTGCCGGACGCGAGCTCCTTGGGATGGGCCAGGCAGGGTGGGAGATGCCATCAGGCTGGCAAAACATGCTGAGCTGCCGTCTTCGCAGAAGTGAATGGTATCACGTGCACATGCGTTATGCGCGTATGCGTATACACCCAGAGTTTTTTTGTGTTGACTCACTAGTTGTATTGCGAATCTAGAGTAGCATCTAAGCTTTACACATCCCAGATCATCCCATCATCCTACCCAGATTCCCTATGTCATGCGGCTGTCTACAGTGCTTCTCAGCGCCCTATGCTCTTTGCTAGGAGTGCCGAGCGAGGCTCCCATTTCAAGCACCCATCTGCTCACTTCACTACTTCTTGCTTAAGAACCCCCCCAAAAAAAAAATGAAAACACAATCCTCCTTAAACAGAGCAATCTAGGGATTTTCGCTTTGTGTTTTTCGGGGGTTCTTAAGCAAATAGTAGTTCAAGGCAAGACTCCACAGTGACCTCGCCTGCCAACACTTTCCCGGAGTACTCCACCTCGCTGGGGGCCTCCATCCTCAGGGATGGCTGGAGAGCAAGCCATGTGCGGATTTAGGGTTTAGGGTTTAGCGTTTTAGGGGTACCTTATTCGGGTCATTCTTATCAGGATGCTACCATTTGGGGGTCCATTCTAGGGGTTCCTGAGTATCGTAAACCCCCATGTACGTATCCCAAAACGAAACAAAAAAGGCCTAGTCCTTATTGCCACACGTGGGCGCCTCGCATTTGAGCGCAGGGACGTGTGCGTCGCACCGCTCGTAGTGCTGTCGGTGGAAGACGGCGAGGTGTGTGTGGCTGTGGTCGGTGGGGTTTCCTATACTGAACTTGGAACCCCAGCAAAAATTGCAATTTTTTGCTGTTTCTTAGGAATCATAGTACCCAAGGATTAAAAAATATTTCCCAGTGCCCCTAAGTTTCTGGAGGGCAGGTGTATAACCTTGGAGCTGGGCAGAGGGAAAAATCGTCGCTGGCGGAGGGGCACGCCGTCCCATCTGGACAGCACTGGTTGCCAGCACAGGTTTCGACGCACTGTCGATCCGCACAGCATGGGACGACATCGCCAACTTGACAGGACCAAGACGTGGTGGTGGCTGTGGTTGCAGCCGTGGTGTCCGTCGTATCGGCTTCCTGGGTCGCTGTGCTCAGCTCCGCAGCAGTCCAGGTCCACTCAGGGGCTTCAGGACACAAAGTGATGGTGTATCCTTCGCAGCCAAAATAAAAGAGGATACATGGGACTCCGGCAGCACTTGTCAGAACGCATAGCAGCACACCGAAGTGGAATCTACGTAGTTGCTCAAACCCCAAAGAGTCCTGCATCATTGGCTTTCACATGGCATCCCACAGCCTCACCGTACCACGCGCAGCGTGGCGTGGGGCAATCATCTTCCTGCAGGCGGTGCGAACAACTGCGAGAACGATGGACCCGGACCTCTCATACTTCAGGGTCCGGATGTTCTATGAGTTACGGTATATCGGTTGTGGCGCTTCTGTGCTGTACACACTCAACTCACGCAACCCCCATGTCTTGGTCTTGTACCTGAGGCTCCTCTAACTTTGCCGAGCATCTGCCGCGTACGTTGTGCACGCAGCCTCAGGAACAGCTTCAAACTGCCACTCGCAGTAAGCCGTGGGCCAAGCTCCTGTCATGAAGCTCTGAAAAACCGAGCAGCAAGGGATGCCTCTTGATGACTATCCGCGCTCTGGCAAGTAAAAGTCGAGGACTCGTCATCGTAAGCGAACCTGCAGTCGGGAGAGACTCAAGGCAACCAGATGTTTCTGACTTCTGACCCTCCATATCGCGCCGGGCGGCGTGTATGCCGTGGGACAGCCCCGCTTGAGTATCTCGTAGTACGGCAGGGCGTGCTGCTGCCAGGTGGCACTTGTACCCCTGCAGCCATGCGCCTTTGGGACTGGCATGTCCAGAATGTCCGCCCAATCCGCGCATCCGCAGCAGCCATTGTCATGAGAACCCTCAGCATAGCAGGTGGTGAGCCATGGCTCGTGTCCAGCACAGGCAAACATCAAGTGATGGGAGGGGCAGTCAATCCAACCCTCAAATGGCGCTGGGCTGACATAGGTGTTGCCGCTCCAGACGCAAAGCTGGTACGCGGACCACAGGCCAATCTGATGGCCGCATTCCATGCGGATCTCTTGAGTCGGCTGGGACTGCTTCGTCAGAGGGTTGAATATGCGAACACCGACCTGCCCGCAGACCTGACTGCTGGGGCAGTCGTCATCGGAGGTACAGCTGGTGCCACTGCCATCAACTTGCCGCAGAAGCGGGCCCAGGTCTCGTCCAGGCGTCTGCGGGTCGAAGTTCCAGGAGCACGAGCCTCGGACTTGGGGTGAATGGCTTTGGGGAAAAGTTGAAAGCTACTGAAGTGTACCAGCAGTACCGTATCCGGGATCTTTGGGGATAATTGCAGTACAGGGCTTTGTCGCGAATGTTCTTCGAAAGGGCCGCCTGCTTCCGTAACTTCAGGCACACGGACAGTCCGAAAGGCGGCCTGCTGTGCCAACTCCTGGGCTTCTGGTCGCCTCTGCAGTAGATTCCCAACCTTCGGACCTTCTCTGTGATGCTTTGAGCTGCCTTGTGCAACGCTGCTACACGAAGGATCTGACAATTGGCAGAAACTGGCCATAGAAATAGAAGGCTTGCCGTCGATGAAGAGCGCCCATGACCATCATGTTTTCTTTGCACCAGCATAGAGCTGGTGTGTAAAGATCAATCTGCGTAAACATACGGTGGAACATACGTATATTCAGCTTAAGACGACTGACGGCAAGTTAGTATGTTGAGCAATGAAATCAAGATGTATAATTACACAGCCTTCAACTAATGATGGTGCTAAGAACTTTCAGCTTATATATTGCAGCGAAGAGTCATTTCCGAAAAAAAAGATAGTGAAGCAAAACATTGCCCCGAGGCGCTAAGGCGGCTGTCCGGCTGCTGGAAGGCGCCGGCGCTCCCGCAGTTGTAGCCTCGGGCTCGCTAAGGCCCTTGAGAAAGCATTTCCGGCCAAGATCCTCTTCCCGCTACCCCCCCCCCCCCCTTCCTCCAAAAAAACAAAACAAAGAAGCCCCTGAGAACCTAGTTTGAACCCCACAGCCTCGAACCCAATAAAGGAAGATGCGGAACATCCCTAAAATGTACTATAGGGGTCGGAATACTTGCTAATTGCCTTCCCTTGTGGTCCATTTGCAATTATACTACAATAACCCCCCCCCCCCCCCCCAAAAAAAAAAAAAAAAAAAAAAAACCTATTCGGAACATCCCTAAACCCTAAACCCTACATGTACTAAAATTTACCTGGAAGCCCTCGTGGCTGCCGGCTGCCTCCTCTGTGGTCTGCACAAAGGCGCCGTTCGGTTTCCTGGGCTGGGGTCTCAGGAGGGAGATTGGTACGGGTTCAGAGGGGTTTAGGGTTTAGGGTTTAGGGGTTTATAAGGGTTTGGGGTCTTCTGGGGCCTCAAATCTCTGCAGGCAGGCGTCATCTCGATGCCAATGTTGAAGCCGTTGATGATGGAGACGTCGTAGAAGTCCGGGCCGAAGGGCACGAAAGTGAACTCGATGGCGGTGGCTACGCCGTTGAGGCCCTGATACCTGGGGAACGAAATGAACCCTAAAAGGGGTTTATGGTTCATAAACCTTTACAAAGGGAATTATAGTAGTAAGGGAAAAGGGGTTTATGGTTCATATACCTTTAAAGTGAATTATAGTAGTAAGGGAAAACTGACCCCAATTTTAGGGTTCGTTTGGTCCCCAAGGTACGAAGGGCAGAAGGCCTCGTTGTTGCAGAAGGCAGATGGGATCAGCCCTCCATCGCGAGTGTGGTTGGGATAGAACTCGATCTTCCCGCTCCACTCGGCAAAGATTCCGTTCCCTCAGAAGAAGTGGGGTTTAGGGTTTAGGGCTTAGGGTTTAGCGTTTAGGGTTGCCACTTGCAGGGTCTTTGGGTCCGAAGTGTGTCCTATAGGTCTTCAGAACTCTTTGCAAGCCACTCTGTTCGTCCGCTCTGAGCCCACTCGCCCGAGATTTTTCATATATATATATATGCATATGCATATATCTATGATATATATATATATATATATGGAGATATATATAGAGAGAGATATATATATATTACACAGTACGGTAGAAGCACGAGCTCCTGCTACCGATCGTAAATTAATTGAGCGGCTGCAACAACGACAGCGACACGATGCACAAACTGTGAGGATCGGGCATACGACCTCACCTCCATGAACACCCTGACCTAACGAGGAAAACCATCTTCCACGTGCCGCATTGCGTATACCTCAAACCGCGATCCAACGCCAGGAGTTTGAAATTAACCCTGACTCAAAAATATTGTGCTTGCAGTGGCAGCGCACCTTGTTGAACGGCCTTGTTCGGGGTGTGCATGACGAGCACTTCTCCAGGAGCAATCGTCCAATCTTCTCCTGCGGTAGATATCGTAGAGCTAGATGCACGCCTCACTGAAACTGAGCTCTAAGATAGTCGGGCAGTGTAATTTGTTGGTCTCCTTCTTGGCTGTCTTTGCAAATTGTTTCGAAAACTAAATGGGTTGAGATCCGGATCTTTGCAGAGGTCACAACGAATGCACAGGCAACCACAGGGAGCCTGTACCTTGAGAATTCTCCAAGTTAGGCAAAGCCTTCTGACACGTTCCGCCAGCAAACCCTAAACCCTAAACCCTAAACCCATGAACTCCAAGTGCAACGCAAAGACATCTCCCTCTCCTGGCTTATGGAGATCGAAGTAGCATTGCGCGGTCTTCGGGTTGCAAACCATACCATCAGGACATCCTCGATTCGAATGCTAGGCGAAATATTCAGCGGAGTTCTGGCCATGTTCAGCAACCATTTGGGGCTGGCATGGAATCTCGCTTAACTTACTGCTGGTTTGTGGGGAATGGGGGGATGAGGTACCCTATATAATCCCTTAAAGGGCATATAAGTAGGGCCTCGTGCCCTGCTAACCAACAGTAAGCTTAAGAAAAGATCCCAGCACCCACCCTCGGGCTCTTTTTTTGTTTTGGGGGGTCAGGTAAGTTGCATCCAGGATGCGGCTGGCACAGGGAATCTCGGAGTTGCCCCCTGTGGGCGCTATGACCTCAACTGGGGCGGCTCTCCGAGTCCCTCTTGTTCGGGGTTCCTTCGTAAAAGGGTTCTGGACTTTGCGTAGGACCCGCAAAGGGAACCCCAATTGAGAGAACTGCCCACTGGTGTTAATTGGGCTTAGCCAGGGCTTTTTCAGCGGCATCATGAAGTGTTTAATTTAGGGTTGAGGCTCAACGTCTGGGCTATCGTGCTTGCTTAGGGCACGGGGTACCAGGCAGCAAACTTATCGGCGGCCCTGCAGGCAGAACCACCTCCCGTCATCGCAAGACTACAGAAGTAATAAACCCTAAACCCTAAACTCTAAACCATAAACCCTAAACCCTAAACCCTAAGGGCCACACCATGGGACGACTGCATCGGTTGACTATGTCCAGTCGACGGCCACCAGTTGTTGCCGCAGCCAGGGCCTCAGCGAACCCTAAACCCTAAACCCCAAAACCCAAAACCCTAAACCCTAAACCCTGAACCCTGAACCCTAAACGCCCTAAACGCCCTAAACGCCCTAAACCCTAAACCCTAAACTCACAATCGCTGCGAAGAAGTTATGTGGGGGTTTACGAAAATGAGGGACCCCAATGGAGACCCCCAAATAGCAGGATCCCCTTATAAAAATTGCTTCAAAAGGTTCCCTTGAATATCGGAACCCTCATGTGGGAAGCGGGGGGAGGGCCCGTAAGACCCGTGAGGGCTGCCTCGAGGCAGAAGTGCTGAGGGCTTTTTCTTCAGGCAGTCACCAACCCTAAGTTCAACCCTACTTGGGCAGTGTTTCCCCCCTAACATACCCCAAATACTAGAATCCTTATTATAGGATTCCCAAACAAGGGTACACCTATCTTCGGAAAGCCCCACTTCAATTTCCGAACAAAGGAAAAGCCATGAAGATTCGATCCAGGAGCTTCGCGAGGGCCGAGAGCCAAGCACCAGGCGATCACAAAAGAGCGCATCTGGTGCGTGGAAGCAACCCCCCCTGATCTGCAAAAAACTCACTGGTAAGCACGGGTGGCATTTGTTCATGGGAATCGTGAGATTCTGAGGCTATGGTTGCAGTCTCTTTCTTGTTTCGTCAGCTTGGCAGGTTTGAGCCAACGACGAGTCGACGAGCCAGCACTCAGAGGCATGAAAAGCGATCCCTCCCGCAGCTGCCATAAGTGCCCCCAGCATCAGAAACAACAAACTGAGGAACCCTAAAACCCCAAAACCCCCAAAACCCCCCAAAAAATGCCCCAACAACCCTAAATCAGCACAAAAAAACCAAAAACATCCTAAAGCCCAACCCCCCCCCCCCCCCCCCCAAAAAAAAAACAAAACAAATCCCTTACGTATAGTACGTAGTGGGCTCCTGCGTCTCGGGCTTCGGTGCCACGTGCATCGAGACGCCGCCCTTGAGGCCCTGCCTTGGTGTTGGACGAAGGTCTGCATCTGAAGGAACGGTACTAGCAGCGTATGGGAGGGACAAGGGGGTTTAGAGTTGAGGGTTTAGGGTATAAGGTTTAGGGCATAGTCCAGTGCGTATGATGAATTAAGTGCTGCTGTTATGTAAGTTTTCTTGTGCTAGTTGTGAGCACGAACTAACTTAGTATTTGAGTCTACTATTGTGATTGGTTGGTATTCCCCCACCCTCGGTGTGGGGGTTGTTTGCTTTTGAACTAAACTCTTCTCCTCGCCCGGTCTACTCCTCGCCCATCACCCGTATCCCACCCCAGAGTCTCCCCGGCGAATCGTTGCACCCTGGGGCTCGGACAGTGAGGACAGCGTGGCATCCTCCGGGAGCAGCAGGGCATCCTCCAGTGGCCGGGCGTTGGGGCCCAGGGGTCCAGTGGCAGGAGGCAGTACCCTGGAACTGAGCGCCAGGAGCATCCACCAGTAGCAGTCCACGGCAGTCGGGGACAGCGCCGTCAGGGCCAAACGCTGGCCCTGGCGTGCGACGGCCTCCGCCCTTTTGGGGTTCTGGCGCAAGAGCTGCATCAAGGGCTGCACGGTGGCCCAGTTCTTCTCCACCTGGGCATAGTGAACTCCAGGGACTAAAAGGCGGCTCCACCATTCCACGAAGCGGGGCTCCTCTGCCAGCACCAGGGAACCACAAAGGAGCTGGTACTTGATGCGTGAGGAGTAGGTCGTCCCTGCCAGGAAGGCCAGATACCGGTACTGGCACTGCTCCAGCAAGCCCACGCAGCCCTGGACGTCATTCTGGCCTGTGGAGGACACGGCCTTCCTGGAAGGGGGCAGCGGTGAAACTTAAACCCTGCAGAAAACAACCAGTCTGCACAGTATAAAACCTCCCAAACCCGCGAGCTTCCCATGAATATGCTTCCAAAGCCGCCAGGAGATAAACTTCGCATCGGAGTTCTCGACAGCTGCGATCTGCTGCAAAGCCACGGAGCGAGCGCCTTGGTCCTCTCCAGGGCTTTCGCGGGACGATGGGACGTTCATTCCTGTCATCGATTACAGCCATCAGCCTGCCCTGTGAGTAGCGCAACTGTGGACCCTTCCCCCGCTTGGCACATGGCCCTATATGAAGTAGGGTATTTATTTCTTGTACCCCCAAAAGGACACCAGGTTAAAAAGGAACCTTGTATACACTCACCAAAAGCAGTGATATAAACCCTGCTTCATATAAGGCTCTAAGGCCCCAAGAACTCAACGGAACTGCCAAGAAGCCCCGAGCAGGACTTGCTGAGGCACCGGTCCTCCACAGGGGCGCCCCGCCAGAAGAGGGTGTCGCTTCGGTTGAGCCACCTTCTACCAGACAAGCGGCCCAGGGTTTTCGGGTTTAGGGTTTAGGGTTTAGGGCACCCTAAACCCTAAACCCTGAACCTTAAACCCTGAACCCTAGAGCTTAAACCCTAAACCCTAAACCTGACTCAGGGGGCAACTGTGGGTTCAGGGGTTTAGAATATATAGTCAGGCTTCAGCAGCTTGAAGAGCCCAAGGACTGAAGGACTCTGCACTCTTCCCTCCTCCCTTCCCTGCCTTTTCATTTTTGGGTTTAGGGCCGGGTTTCTACCGGTTGCTTAAGAACCACCCAAAAAAATGAAAATCATAATCCCTATATTGCCTTACATAAGGAAGAATGTCTTGATGTTATGTTTGATTATTTGGGGGGGGGTTCTTAAGCAAGTAGTAGGCTTTTGCGTCCTGCTGCAGAGCGGGGCACCCCAAGTGACTTTGCAATCGATCCCTAAGGGTCCGTGTACCTATATAGTAACTCTTGGGCCTTAAAGGGGTTCCCATATAGTAGCTTTAGGGCCCAAGCATACACTATATAGGTACATGGACCCTTAGGGTATCTTTTCGGGAACCCCGCCTGGCCCGCACGCCCCAGCGCTCGCGGAACAAGCGGTAGAGGTGGTCATAGTTGTGGGAGGTCTCGGTCTCGGACGAGGGGCAAACACTCTCTGGCCAAGAATAGAAGGTGAAGTCGGGGTACAGTATGCCGGCAGGGGCATCCTTCTTGTGCGTGATGACCAGGATGGGTAGATTTATGTTCTGAAGCTCGCCGTCTGTCAGATCGATGGTTACCTCCACATCCGGCAGGTTTCCAAATCGAGACATGACGCGATGGAGGGCATGCAGCGTGCTGCGATGACGACTTTGGTACCCGGGGAACATGTCCAGAACATAGGCTGCACCATTGACAATCCTCAGCCTAATGCAAGCCTTCTGCCGCCGCGCGCAAAACCCATCGTAGAATGCAAAGTGCTGGGCGTCCAGTGCTCCATATGGAGCCAAGTCCCGATAGATCTGCGCGTACACTTCTGCACCAGAGTGCACGCAAACGTCGGGCGGATGGAGCGGGCGCGCGGCGAGGGAGCGCGTGAGCAGAATCGACAGAACCGACCAGGTCCACCTGCAAGGTGTCCCTCTAAGCATGGACAGCTCTCCATGGGCGCTTTGGGTCGCGCACTGGCCCCGCTACCCGTGCTAGGCTCTCAGGAGGCCTTAAGTGCAGTTTTGCCAGGCACAGGCATGCTACAGTGCTACAGCTGCCTGGTGTATGGATGACTAAACCCTAAACCCTAAACCCTAAACCCTAAACCCTAAACCCTAAACCCTAAACCATATATATATATATATACTGTGCTCGACACTTTGGGCTGTGTCGATCAACGGAGCAATGTGCCAGGGCCGCAGTGTCTTCGGAAGAAAGCGCAGCGTGCCAAAGATCAGGCTCCCCGACATGTGTGCATCATAGGTTCTCTACCTCCTTCCGAGGCAACCAGAGTGAGAGTCATATACTTTAACACTTGTTTGGTTCTGGGTTCCTATGATATATATATATATATATATATATAGCTACTTACACCTAAACAGTATGATGGCGCAAGTGAGCACTGGCACGCGCCTGCAGGCGCCGAGCAAGCACACCATCGGTCACGACTTCAACTTGCGTCCTGCCAGGTTTCGGAATAAACACTAAACCCTAAACCCTAAACCCGAAACCCTAAAATTAGGCTCGGGGCCGCTCTTTGAGGCTTGGGGCCGCTTGCCGAGAAATTATGAGTTCTGAGGTAGCTTTAATATAAGTCTCCTCGATTCTATCTGACGTTGAAATTTTCTTACGTGTCGATTGCCCATTGAGGAATTGCTTTGGCTGGTCGTCTTCCTCCAGGATTGCTGCCGCTGAAGCGCTTGAGTTGGCAAATTAGGCTGTTCGGGTCCCTGTACAGTTCCTGCACAAAGGAGCACGTCTTGCTAGTCAGCGGCCAACAACACACACAGCTTTGGATTTGAACCATGCGCGTTTCCATGAACAGCTGTTCATGCGGCGCCATACGGTTTGGTCCGTCGAGCTGCTCGTACCGCCAACAGAACTATGCCCTCTGGTCTGATTTCTGGGGAACCTGGCATCAGTAGGGGTATAGAAGCCCTGAACTCTAAACCCTGAAACCGAAGGCGCGGGTGGGTATAAGAAGGAGGCGGCAGGAGGCGTTGCTCGAGTTCGATAGGCTGCCACTCAGCACATTGAAGACCTTGTGCCCTTAGCCAGGGTAGTCTTCTTCCTAAATCCCGCGTGGGGGCACGCCCAGTCCGGCCTCACGGGATCTACACAGCTGTCGTAGCGGGTACGAAAGCCTCAGGTCCAGCAACAAGCTGGGAGTTGAGGCCCTCCAAAGGATGCCTCAACACTCCAAAGGATGCCTCACCAAGCTAAGCGCCAGGCCGACAGCACGCCCGACCTGATGCAAATTTGGGTTTAGGGTTGAGGGTTAGGGTTTGGGGTTTCGGGCCAAAAGTTTAGGGTTTAGGGTTAAGGTGGCTTTGATGGTCTGCTTTTGGCTGGAGCGGCTGGAGAAGCTTGCGCAGTACCCACGTGCGTGAAGCGGCTCTTCTTTCTGCGCGGGCTGGCTGTTCTGCGACCTTCTACTACGAGAAGGATCTCGCAGCCGTCTCGCTGACCGAGGAGGACAAACAAGCTGGCACTCCAAGTTCGGTATGCTGTCACAGGGCGCAGGAAGCAGTATTCCCCATGCAGGACACCACTACCTGACAGCGAAGAAGGCAAAGCATGTACAAATTCAGCAAATGGCCTTGCACTTGCCTCCCTGGTTGCTTGGTGGACTGTGGTGTGGCAATCCTTTGCGCATGGCGAACCCTTCTACCTGTCATAACGTACGGCTCCACTAGACAGTATGACCCTCAAAAACCCAATAGGGGAAAACATCAAAAACATCCCAAGGGCGGAACCGGACATCTTGTGCACATACCTATGGCAAAATAAACGAGACTCCTTCCAAGAATGGTGGCTTTCCATCCCCAAGTCCACCCGGGGGCAGCCCAGTGAACATATTATGATAAGGAACCCCGAAGCAAAAAAACACGGGTACAGGATACCTCTGGGCGAATACAGGGGCCTTTGGGGGTCATTATAGTAATTATAACTCTAAAAGGTGCCACTAAGTCCACCCTGGCAAGAAGGGAAGGGATGCGCAGAACGCGCTGAGGATCCTTAGCCGACTGGGCGCTGATTTCTTCTCCTTCCCCCCCCCCCCCCCGGCATTGTGGCCTCAGGAGGAATACATTAAAGTTTAGGGTTTATGGTCCATAAACTTCGGAATGGGGTTTGTTCTTCTTCGTAGGGTTTTTAGGCAGCCGGAGCTGGGTTACCTTCATGATACTCTGGGGTTTTGAATTGTGCGTTGCGTGTGGGGTTGTGAGTAGCCGTCCGTATCATGACCTCACTTATAGTCCATACGCACTGTGACGGCACACCCTGCACAAGCCCAAAGTCCTAACGGGTCCTAAACCAAAAGCTCCCGATTCCAAGCCTATGACAACTCGCCCGTGAGTCGGATCTGTGGACTTGTTCACCGTTCCCTAAGGTCAGACAATGGGATGTAACACAATTAGGATCAATTAGGGGATCTCAGATGATCTCAGGGTCGCTTCTTAACCCTAGAACCCTAAAATCTCGAACCGAACAAAGGCTGGATCTAGCTACGGGCTTGGCCCCCAACTCGCAGTATCCTCATTGCCGGCAGCTGCTACTCTGTCGACGCACTTGATACTAAGGATTTCCTTATATCAACATATGAGCAGAAGTAAATAGCAACCATTCTCATCACCATCATTCTATTAAGGGACACCCATAAGTGGCGTCATCAGCAAGGGCACTCACAGAGAGGGCCGCGCGTTGCGTTCGGCAAAGACAGGGGGGCCCATATTGTTTCCAGGACCTCCCCCAGTGCTTTGGCCTGACGTCAACTCACGGCTTGCCAGAAACCAGCTATCTGGCGGGCTTAGAGTGGGCATGCTCAGGAAAGAAGTGCTTAGGTAACAGGAACACAAGGGGTCGCATGACAATAGCAACCTCCCACCCTAAACACTAAACCCTAAACCCTAGAGGCCCTAGACCTACATGCAAGTTCGATGACCACGGTTTTCCCGCAAGGCTAGACTGGCAAGCCGCGCTCAATGGGCAGCCGGGAGACGTTGCCTCCTTAGTCGGGACATGAAGTCGCCGGAAGGCTTCGGGGATGTACGAAAGGTGGGGAAACTTAAGAAAAGACCCCCGAGTAGTAGGATCCCCGTATTTACGGATCCCAAGAAGGTACCCCTAATATCGTAAACCCCCACTTGTTGGGTTTGTAAGAGGACGAGGGTTTAAGAATTACGGTTAGGGCTAGGGTTTGGAGTACCCGAAACGCGTACTCAACACTTCAAAGGAAGTGTCGGGGGTGTCAAGTCCTACACGTGATCGTTTCCTTCACAAAACACAATCCTGCCTGAAGGAGGCGTTGGCCAGGTTTTCCTGCGGAAGGACCTCTTCTCAGCTATGTGGGGAATCTGTTGCAATGCAAAACCTGGTCATAAGAATAAAGACAACAACAATAAGAAGAATCCAAAAGGGGGGGGTATTTGCAGTTCTACATCGTGATACCAGAAGAAGAATATGATCGGATGCCGTTATTCACTCAAAAGTGCTATTGCCGTCCCTAAACCCTAAACCCTAAACCCTAAGCCCTAAGCCCTAAACCCTAAACCCTAAACCCTAAACCCTAAATCCTAAACCCTAAACCCTAAACCCTAAACCCTAAACCCTAAACCCTAAACCCTAACCCTAAACCCTAAACGCTGCACCCTAAACCGTGCCCCACAAGTGCCGGCCAAGCTGCATTCTTTGTCTTTGGCGCCTGCCCGGACAAAAGAATCCTCAACTCTTTCCTGGGCCAGCATTTGGGGGGGTTTGCGAATTTAGGGGTACCGTATGGGGGGGTCCTTATTAGCATTTAGGGTTTCGGGTTTAGGGTTTGATTTGGGGGGGTTTCCGAAATTAGGGGGTACCTTTGGGGGGTCCTTGTTATAAGAGGATCTTACTATTTGGAGGTCTGTTTTTAGGGTTTCCCGTTTTTCGTAAATTCCCACTTTGAGAGAGATTGACGCAGAGGACTTCATAGACTCGCAGCTGCTGAAAAATGACTTCTCTCAATGCTCCACGAATGGATAGTTTCCTAACTCAGGGTCCCTTGTCGGGTACCCACTAGAAGGCGGCACCCTTGCAAAAAGGGATACCGAAAAAGGACCCTAATTTAGAGAGCTACCCCATAATGCTCAGGCCCTCCCTCCTCAAGGCAGTTTGCTCATGTGAATCGCTGCAGAGATGAGTCACGAAACCTGCACAACCGTGGCTCCGGCCGTAGACCGGGTTTAGGGTGTGGGGTTTAGGGTTTAGGGTGTGGGGTTTAGGGTTTATGGCCTAAACCCCAAACCCTAAGCCCTAAACAAGCCACACCCAGAGCCCTAAAACCTCAAACCCTTGAGGTGCCTGGTTTGGAGGATTGTGGGCCTGAACACTTGCCAATCCCCTTCATGCCAATCGCTTGCTTTCGGTTTGATAAAGTCAGATTCCTTCGTGGAGACGAGGTCTTTCTTTCTGCAGATTTTCGTGCTACTTTCGCAACAAAAAAAGGCGCTGCGTTTTCGCAGGACATCTGAGCCATGATGTCTCAATCTGGGACTGCAATGTGCTATACTTCTGAGGTATAGTTTAACTATTATACCAGTACAGCCAAGCTTGTGTAGGCTCCAATGGCTTCTACTCTTTGAGGCAGTCTGCAACACGGGACTCCAAGTCAGAGCCAACGAGGGCCTTGGTCTTCGAAGATAGCTGTCAGACAGCTGCCGTCCCGCTGTCTCTTAGCTTTTGCAAGTCTTTCGCGTGACTTTCGCATTGTTGACACAGCTTATGAAATTTCATATCCTCTTATGCCGGGGTTGGTAAAGCTGGCATTCACGACTCGATTGCATCCAACTTTCTTGGATCCTTGCTTTCCTTTCGCGGTTCACGGCCACATGCCGTCCGTATGCTTAAACCCCTGTAATCAATGCCACGGAGAAGCGACCTTCAGAGGGTGAGAATTTAACTGTCCTATAGCCTATAACTTATCTTAGCATTTTCGGACCCTAAACTCTAAACCCTAAACCCTAAACCCTAAACCCTAAACCCTAAACCCTAAACCCTAAACCCATTCTTCCAACTCACTATCAGCGCCATGACCCACCGGCCTGGAGTGGGCGCCGTCTGAGACGTCTTTCCCACGCAGGGGCCCATGGATGGGAGGAAGAGGAACTCCTGTCAGCTTCGGGGGGTGTACCCTAAACCCTAAACCCTAAACCCTAAACCCTAAACCCTAAACCCTAAACCCTAAACCCTAAACGTGCTGTAGGGCGAGACTTATGTTGAGGGTTTTGGGGAGCGTGCTGTAGGGCGAGGCTCATAGGGTTGTTTTAGTTTTAGTTTGGGCTTCGGGGTTTGGGGTCCCCAAGCCCCTAAAGAAATGCCCGCCCAGAAATCTTCTGCTTCGACCCCGAGTCAGAGCCGGTTTAGGGCTCAGGGTTCATGGAGAGAGTAGAGCCCTGGACAAGACGCTCCATTGAACCCTGAACCCTGAACCCTGAACCCTGAAGCCTGAAGCCTGAAGCCTGAAGCCTTAATCCTAAACCCTAAACCCTAAACCCTAAACCCTAAACCCTAAACCCTAAGCCCTAAACCCTAGCCCTCAACCCTAAACCTTTATCCACAGCCATCGATCGGCTCTGAGCCTACACCCAAAGCTGAAACCCTGAACCCCGTCCAATCGCAGGGCACAACATGGGGGAATTTTAGGGCATTACGCCCCCGGGCCGAATGTTGAATGGCATGCAGAAAGTGAAGACTCGGAGGCGCGGAGTGCCGAAAAGTGGGCGTTTTCACTACGCCTGCTAGCGGAGTAACTTCTACCCTGTCTTAAAAACCAGTACTATTGAAGTTCCGGGAAAGGCCCCCAGGCTCACTTGTGTCAGGAGTCTATGGGCAAGAGGGCGAGGCACAGGTGTAAGGACTCCTAGATGTCGGTGTGTCGAACTATTGGCCCGGCGCAGTAGAGAAGCTTGTTGAACCCCCCTATTATGATCCCCAGTAAGCATCCCAAGGAAAAGACATCGCAGTACGAATAGAAAACTTCGGTGGCCCTTAAATCCCTCTGAAAAATTTTCACGAACATTATCAAAGACAGGGCTGTCATCATAGTGAGCAGAGTACTACAAGCTGTACTGTAGACACCCCCCCCTAAAACCCTCAACCCTTAAACACCCACACCACGCTTCCCCCAAGAAAGCTCCTCCACGTGCACGTGCCACGACAGGCCTCCGGCCGAGCGCTTTGCCGCAGCCTGCGTCAAGGGACGTACACCCTGTGCACACATCCACATGCACGAAACACCGGCAACCACCCACCTCCCCCCCGGACATATTGATCCTAAACCACAAACCCTAACCCTAAACCCTAAACCCTAAGCCATCCTAAGCCCTAAACCCCAAACCCTTAAACTCCAAACCCTAAAACCCAAACCCTAAACCCCAAACCCCTAAACCCCAAACTCCCCCAAAATGCTCGCAGCGGGGCCTTGGCCGACTCGGCGAGGCCGGGAGGGCCGCAAATGAAGACCATGGCCTCAGGGCTGCAAGGGTTTAGGGTTTAGGGTTTAGGGTTTAGGGTTTAGGGTTTAGGGTTTAGGGTTTAGGGTTTAGGGTTTAGGGTTTAGGGTTAGGGTTACAACTATACTGAACTTGGAGACCCTAGCAACAATTGTGATTTTAGCTGCTTCTTAGGAATTACAGCACGCAAAAATTAAAAACTATTCCCAAACAATCCCTAAGACAAGGGGCTGCCGAAGGGAAAGTGCAAGGGTTTAGGGTTTTGGGCTTTAGGGTTTAGTGTTTAGGGTTTAAGGGGTTTAAGGGGTTTAGGGTTGGGGGTTTAGGGTTTAAGGGTTTGGGGTTTAGGGTTTTAGGGTTAAGGGGTTCAAGGGTTTAAGGTTTGGGGTCTTGGGGTTTAGGGTTTGGGGGTTTGGGGGCTTAAGGTTTGGAGTTTAGCGTTTGGGGTTTGGGGGGCTGTTTTCGACTTGGACGATGGGGAGACTTGTTTCATTCCGGGCCTCCACACAAGAACGCACTGCACCTGGAGCACAGAGATGACCCACTACTATTCGATATCCCCATGCCGATGTGTTTAAAAAGTACGGCAAAGGTACAAGTAGCAGGGTGTGTATGTTATGAACTGATGATTAAGCCCCAAACGTCGGAATGGCAAACCGCAAGCCCGAAACCCCCTAAGCCCCTAAACCCCAAACCCAAAACCCCAAACCCAAAACCCTAAACCCCAAACCACTTCAGCTGAGCTGCGTGTTTGACGCCACTCTTGACATACTGCGAGCCCACCGCTTCAAGCCATGCTCCGACATCCTCCGGTCGTGCTAGGCTTTAGGGTTTAGGGTTTGGGGTTTAGGGTTTAGGGTTTAGGGTTGGGGGTTTGGGGCTTGGGGTTTGAGGTTTACTGGTTACGGGCTTCTTCGTGGGGAGAAGGGCCTTCGGCACCCTGCATAACGATATTCCCTTCAAGGCACTAAGTCCATGGCTCCCGAATAGCCAGAAGGCTGTAGGGTTTGGGGTTCACCCTACACCCCAAACCCTAAAAACCCTAAACCCTAAAAACCCTAAACCCTAAAAACCCTAAACCCTAAAAACCCTATCTGGAGCTGCCTGGGGACTTGGGCCTGGGATCTGCCTCGGCCTCCAAAGCCCTAAGCCGAGAACGCGTAAGAACCTAAACAACCATGGCATGGGACGTAGGGTTATAGGGCTATCGGGTTCAGGGGTTTAGGGTTTAGGGTTTGGGGTTTAGGGTTTGGGGTTTAGGGTTTAGGGGTTTCTTGGAAAGGGGGGGGGGGGGGTTGCCTTTTCAGAAGCACACCCCCTTGAACCCCCAAACCCGGTGGGGGGGGGGAGTCCTCAGAACCATACTTGGCTTTCAGCGGCATGTCGCCGTCGCCTGGCGCTGCATGAACAGCCGGGGCATTCCTCAACCCTAAACCCTAAACCCTGAACCCCAAACCCTAAACCTCAACTCTTCAGCCAACTCTTGCACCCCGAAGCCCTGCGCCTCTTTGGCTTTCTTGAGTGCCCGCACCTGCCAGACACAGTGCCACAAGAAAAGACCCATTGGCGCTCTGAACTCGGGGGTCCCCGGATCGCCCTGTTTTGTTTCAAAGAGGAAGTAAAGAGTTCGCTGCTAAAAAAAAGGTCTCACAGCAAGTAAGATGTCGAACGGTCACCAAAAAAAATGTGCCGCTTGTTGCTACGGCACATATTCAAATTGCTCAGCCTCAGAGGTTCAGAAGCAAGCGTCTTTCTGCAGCTTGTCACCACACCAACTTCCCTGGGTTTTGTGTTCGGCACGCCGAAAACCCGAAGCCCCTGAAGCCCTGAAAATCTACACGGAGCCGCCCAACCATACAAAACCCGAGAAAACCTTCAGGCCCGCACCATTCAATCGAACAACGCTGTTCTCCGCATCCAGGTGCGGCTCCTGATTCTGGCATTGTGGGGGTAGGGTTTAGGGTTTAGGGTTTAGGGTTTAGGGTTTGGGGTTTGGGGTTTAGGGTACAGGGCTCAGCTTCGGCCTGATTTGAGCCCCATGAACCCTAAGCCGTCTCCAATGCCCTCAGGCGCAAGGCCTCAGTCACTCCTAAACCCTAAATTCCTAAACCCTAAACCCTAAACGCTCGACAGGAATTCGATTCGCCCTTTCTTGGGCTTTCTGGGTGCATCGGATTGCAGGGATTGAGCTGTCCCCAACTTCTCGGAGTCAATCCCGATGAGGGCAGTTCCCCCCCCCCCCCCCCCCCAACTCCAAACCTACAACCTACTTCATCCACTTTCGAATAACTTGTAGTGCACTTTTGAAGGGGCTTCCGCCCCCTCGTAAGACCTAAACATCCCGAAACCCTACAAGGCGTAAACATATCGAAAATACCGAAGCCCTGCAAGACCTAAACATACCTTAACGCTATAAGGCCTAACAATCCTGAACCCTGTAAGACCTGAATCATACCTAAACCCTATAAAACCTAAACATACCTAAACCCTATAAGGCCTGAAAAAGCCTTTCCCTCTAAGACCTAAACATACCAAAACCCCTACACTCCTTAAATGACCCAAGGCACCAGCAGAGGAGCGGCACGGTCTAAAAGCTCCAGACTCCGCAGGGCCCAGAACCTTCGTTGCGAAAGCTCCCCGAAGGTTTGGTTTAGGGTTTAGGGTTTAGGGTTTAGGGTTTAGGGTTTAGGGTTTAGGGTTTAGGGTTTAGGGTTTAGGGTTTAGGGTTTAGGGTTTAGGGTTTAGGGTTTAGGGTTTAGGGTTTTTAGGGTTTAGGGTTTAGGGTTTAGGGTTTAGGGTTTAGGGTTTAGGGTTTAGGGTTTAGGGTTTAGGGTTTAGGGTTTAGGGTTTAGGGTTTAGGGTTTAGGGTTTAGGGTTTAGGGTTTAGGGTTTAGGGTTTAGGGGGCTCTACTCGCGTATCGGGTGGACTAGAAGCCCCTGAAGTCCTCGGATTGAAGCCCCAGGTCAGCATCAAGCCTATGCCTGATCAAGCTGCTGCTGTCGGGCTTGCATGCAGGGGCAAGGGGGTGGTTTAGGGCTCGCAGGTTGGGATGTTCACCCCTTATTCTTTAACAGTCCCTAATAGGGATTATAATTGGGGGTACAATCCCTAAACCCTAAACCCTAAACCCTAAACCCTAAACCCTAAACCCTAAACCCTAAACTAAGGACTGCTAGTATACGGGGGAACATCCCAACTCACATGGCACTCACAGTGAGAGCTGCTCCTGGTGCCTCCAAGGAGCAGCGCAACCTGCGGGTGCCAAGGGTTTAGGGTTTGGGCTTCGGGTTTAGGGTTGAGGGTTCAGGGTTTAGGGGAATCTCGTCTCTTTTCGGCTGGAGAGGTCGAAACAGGAGAGGAGGCTGGGTCGCCTGGACTTAGAAGATTGAATGCAATCGGGGCGATTGAACAGCCCCAACACCCCTAAACCCAGTCAGCTTCCTGCCTTTGTTCCGGAGGCCGCCTCTGCTGCAGCTTTGGCCAACGAGAGCCCAGGCGTGATCCCAACACCTGGGGGTTTGGGGTTTAGGGTTTAGGGTTTAGGGTTTAGGGTTTAGGAGTTTGGAGTTTAGGGTTTAGGGTTTAGGGTTTAGGGCCAAGAATCCTAAACCTAAGCTCCAAGACGACCTAAGCGCACCTCCCAGAACGAAGACCGTCCGCTCCATTCCAGGTGCCGGCACCGAGGGGCTCCCGTAGGGGCCCTGGAGCTGTAGGCTTGGAGGGTGTAGGGCTTTTTTGAGGGTTTCGGGTTTCGGGTTTGGGGTGTCGGGTTTAGGGTTTACAGAGGGTTGATAGGGGCCCTGGGGCTGTGGGCTTGGAGGCCGTAGGGTTTATAGAGGGTTTACAGAGGGTTTAGGGTTTCGGGCTTATAGGGTTGAGGTTGAGGGTTGCAAATGATGATTCCTCTATCCCTAAACTCCGACACCCTCGCCCTTACAGCTCGGCCTCGAAAGGAGGTTTTTCCCAGGTGTTGAGGGCTACTGAGGCCTCCGTCTATCCAGCCAAACCCCCCCGTGGCCTCGAGCTTCATGGTGGGGGGAGTTGCATCCTCGGGCGGCTCTGATTCGAATCGGGGTTTAGGGTTCGGGGCTGAGGTATCAGGGAGGAGGAGGCACTCCGATCCCGCATGTCCTGTCACCTGAGTGCAATCATGTAAGCCCCAGGCGGGGCTGCAAAGCTTTGCCATCTTGGACGTGAAGCCGCTCCTGTTGATCTTCATGAAGATCCTGAGGCACTGGCCGTGCAAACCGCAAGCTGCAAGCACAAAACTCGAACATCGATGTTTGCGCAACGCCGTCCTGACTTCATCGCTGGCTTCCCCTGGAATCAGAGTGAAGGGGTGGGGCACCTTCGATGCCTTGCCCACTGCCAGGTGGCCCCACTGACCGGGACGGAATTTGAAGTTGGGAACGGACCTCGGAATTCCAAGGCGGAAAACTTCTGAGGAGTGTCGAGGCATACTGTGTGGCCGGAAGCTGCTGAGGGGAGGGGAGGGAGGGGAGAATATTTTGAGGGTTGGGGGGGCCGGGGGGACATGATGGTGCATGGGCTCACGGGCATGCCTGCGAGGCGCATGGTCAAGAAAAGGTGCTGCCCGCAGGACTCATTGACAAGTTCCGCCTTCTTCACAGTTACCTTCCCATGGCTCGCCTCAGGACGCACATGTAGAATGTAGGCCCTATCCCGAGACCTGACGCTACTGTTCCGTGACGCCATCGAATTCCTGAGCATGCTTTAACTGAACCCCTAAAACCCAAATCCTAAACCCTAAACCCTAAACCCCGGACCTTCGTGTAGACCTTCTGCAGGATGAATGCCAGGAGGGCGACGCCATTCCCGGCAGCCACCGCAATGGAGGCGATGGTTTGCAAGCTCACCGCATGGTCCATCTCAGTTGTCCAGTAGGGTTCACGGTTTAGGGTTTAGGGTTCAGGATCCTAGGAGAGCTAAAGGATAAAGGGAGCAGAAGAACCCAAAAAGGCTCAAGGTTACCTACTCATACTACTGAGCCACCATGTGGATGATGGCCACGATGTAGCCCAACATGCTGATGAAGTGCAGGATCTTGAACTTGTCGTAGTGGACGAAAGGTGCCGGTACCACCCCAAGGATCATCAAGAGCGCGGCCGGAATTCCCAGAACCCAGAAGATGTTCCTGGAGCCAAGGTCCGCTGAAGGGCGTACGTGCTCATGTACATGCGTTATTCGACATGCACATATATATATATATATAGAAAAACATCTATAAACAAATCTATATATATATATAGAAAAATGCATATATGTCTGCACGTGTATGCATGTTGTTACGGACATATACACATGTTACCTCGATACACATATAAGCAAAAGTACAGAGAAACAAAAACAAAAAACAACTACATACATGATTGTGCTTTCTAGAGCATCCAGGGAACTGCCTGACGTCTTCTCCCTTCTTCGCGATAGCCACTGCTCCATGGACCTTACGCAGGAGATGGAAAACCGAAACCTCCAGACCCTGTGCCCCTTAGGTCATATGGGTTTAAGCCTGAAAAGGTTGAGGGTGTTTAGGGTCCAGGATGTTGGGGGTTTACAGCCTTGGGACGGTCTGGACGCATTTAGGGCCTGGGTACAAAGGTACGCAAGAAAACAAGAGACCTGCTTTTTCAACATACAAACCTTTTTTTTATCATTTTCAACAAAGTCGATGATGTCACACTTTCAGCTGAAACACAACGCCCAGGATGAGGGTCAGCGTACCAATGGTGGTGTGGATGCGCCATGCAGCTTCCCGCGTCATCCCCATCACGTCGTGCACACCGCCCTTGAAGTAGGACCACCTCTGCTCTAATTCTGGCTGGTTCTTAGTAGGGAAATGAGGGAATGAGGGTACCCTATATGATCCCGTAAAGAGTGTGTATAAATATATATATATATAGGCCCCTAATTCCATCATTCCCTACTAAGAACCAGGGGGTCTAAGCGGAACGGCTTCCCTAGCCGACTTTCAAAGCCACGAACATTTTAAACCCTAAACCTAAACCCTAAACCCTCAACCCTAAACCCTAAACCCTAAACCCTAAACCCTGAGCTGGGTTACGCGATGGTGAGCATGGCTGCGATGCCCACGGCAATGCCGGTGGATCTCATGGCCTGTCTGCTTGCGATAGGCTGGCTGGTTCTTAGTAGGGAATGAGGGAATGAGAGTACCCTATATAACCCCTTAAAGGGTATATATAATATAGGGCCCGAATTCCCGCATTCCCTACTAAGAACCAGGGGGTGGGTGTTTCTGGATGTGCTTTCGGAGGACAAGCTTGGGGCTTCTACCCTCGCACACCCAAACAAAGCCTCAACAAATCCGAAACCTTAACCTATGTGCTGCCTAGGCTTTCCTAAACCCTATAAACCCTAAACCCTAAACCCTAAACCCTAAACCCTAAACCCTAAACCCAAAAGCCCAAACCCAAAAGCCTGAACCCGAAAGAACCTTGCACACTCAAGCAGGGCGCCTGTGGGAGGAGGCAGGCGGCCACCAGCGCGATCAGCACCGCCAAGATGCCAAAGCTGTTGGCCGGTGACCACTGCATGGGCCCTGGCCTGAACCTAGGGTTTAGGGTTTAGGGTTTGGGGTTTGGGGTTTGGGGTATGGATTGTAGGGTTTAGGGTTTAGGGTATGGATTTTAGGGTTTCAGGGTTTACGGCATGGATTTAAGGGTTTAGGGCTTTTGTGTTTTTAACGACATCTTGTGAATTTCAGTTCCTGCAAGGGAGGTTCCACCTGGCCAGCGTCCTGCTGAACATGTGCACGGGGCCGTCTTCGTTCCCTTCGGCAGAAAGCTGTGCCAGCGCCCGCTCTTTGGTTAGTTCCCTGCATGAATTCACGCACCTGCAAGGTCATCTCCGCAGTGAACCCCTCGCTGGGGAGCTTAAGATATGGGATGTTCACGTTGAAATAGCGGTGTTGAGTTGAGGCCTGCCTGAAACTGCATGCCCGGCCCTAACCCTAAACCCCAAAAAACCCACCAACTTCGGCCCCTAGAACCTAGAAAGCCTGCCCGAACTCAGCTTTTCCGAATTTTGGGGACATCGGAGGGCTGAGTTGGGAGTGGGGGAGGGATACCCAAAACCCAAAACCCAAAAACCTTGACCCTAAACCCTTAAGGCTTCAAGGCTTCTGGCTGTCCTCTGGAACATCTGAAAACCTTCCCAGCAAGACTCAAGGAGCTTAGCAAGCAGGCTTTTTTGGGTTTTGGGGTTAGGGTTTCAGGGTTGAGTTTTAGGTTTTTGGGGTTTAGGGTTTTAGGGTTTAGGGGGGCTTAGAAGTACCTCAAGGTTCGTCCTGGTTTGTAACCTACCTACTAGATTCCACAAGCCCTTGAGAATGCTTCCGTCGCGCCAGAATGGCTTCTGAGACTCTTGCCTTGCCTACCACCTCCTGTACCCTGCTACTTGCATCACAGGGATTTGAGACAGTAGGGGACCAGGATGGCTAAGGGTTTAGGGTTTAGGGTTCTGGCTTGGGGTGGTTTAGGGTGCTTGACCGCCCAGGGGCCAGCACCGAGCCAGGCCCCCAGACGCAGTGCAGGCGATGACCTCCGGGCTGGGGCTTAGGGCTCAGGATTTAGGGTTTCAGGGTTTAGGGTATAGGATTTAGGGTTAAGGATTTAGGATTTAGGGTTTAAGATTTAGGGGTTTAGGCTTTATGGTTTAAGATTTAGGGTTTAGGATTTAGAGTTTAGGGAACCTCCAAACCCTGAACCCCAACATCCCCTATCTACCTTATCTACACCCACTGACCGGCGAACCGGTGAACCTTTCACCCTAACAAAGCTTAAGCCATACTGGAAGCCCCTGAACCCCGAACATCTCAAACCCCGAAGCAACGTAATCCTAAATGCCCCAGTCGCAGCCCCCACGAGGCCGACGAGGAGTAGGAAGGCCAGGATACCGAGCCTCGGGGCACCGATTTCTTGAGATGCTTCTCACTAGCGGTTGTTACTTGTTACTTGTTATTGGTCTGCGGATTGTTAGCTCTTGCTGATTAACTGCTGACTTCCAGGTATTCACAAACTATTTATTGTTACCAATTCTTTCGAAACATTACTAGTTCTTATAGGAAAATTGACGAGATTATGTATTGCACTTGCTAGTTTCAGAGTAGTACGCTCACTGCTATTCGAAAGCGAGTCCGCAACCTGCTTTCGGGAATATGGCGTTCTGTGGAGGAGGTGTTTTTTTGCTTTATGGGCTTTAGACCCTTCGTTGCTTCAGCACGGCGTATGAGTTGGTGCATCTGCAAGTACGCTGGCAGTCGGCACTAAACCCGCAGGAGCCCTCACTGCAACCTTAACTTCGCATTAGCCCTTTGAAAACCCGAATTTCTCTCTCTCTCTCTCTCTCTTTTTCGAGCAGTTTATGTTGCCCAGTTCATTTAAGGGACGATGGCCCTCTAAACCCTCCAAGCCTAATAAGCCGCACAAAGCCCAAAGAACCACCCTAAACCCTAAACCCTAAACCCTAAACCCTAAACCCTAAACCCTAAACCCTTAAATGGCGAGCCGCGTCCCAAAATCCAGCACCTCCGCTTCGGAGAGGCCTTCCGCCGCCTTGGCCGGGCACTTTAGGGCCTGTAGGGCCTTAAGGGGGCTGGAGTTTACCTTAAGACCAATTTTGAGTAATTAGGTATATCTAAAAACGGCAGGTGTATCTAAGATAAGAAGAAGAGAAGAAGCCTATACAGGGTTTGATGAGGATAGCCTACAAAAAGTAGGTTTGGGGGCTGCTTGAGGCGCTCCGCCGGGCGAAAGGAACTGGATTCAGGATCTCGGCTCAGATGGCTTGGGGCTTTGGGCAGCTCTGGGCCGCGAAGCCCTAGAGACCCTAAACCCTGAAAAGGGTTTAGGGTTTAGTGTTTAGGGTGTGGGGTTTGGGGTATTGGGGTATCGGGGTATCGGGGTATTGGGGTATCGGGGTATCGGGGTATTAGGGTATTAGGGTACCCTAAAAACTCTGTAAGCACAGCTTCCGAGCCCAAAAAAGAAAAGCCGTGGCCCCGCCGGCACCCTGAGCCGTCAACCACGGAGCCCAAAAACTCCCAGAACCCAAAGCCCCCAATCCCTTCCCCATCTCCGACCCCCAGAAGCCCCTAAAGCCCAGAAAAAGGGCTTAGGGTTTAGGGTCTATTAGGGTATTTGGCTATGAGGGTTTAGGCTTTCCGGCTTAAGGCCCCCAAAGAAATGTTAAACAAAAAAACAAACTCCGGCTTAAGGGTTTAGGGATGATGAGTGTTTAGGCTTTCCGGCTTAAGGCCCCCAAAAAATTGTTAAACAAAAAAAACTCCGGCTTCATCACCCAGACTCCGGAGGAACGGTCGCGGTGGCCACGCCATCGCAGCGGGAGACGCCGACCAGCTCGGCGCTGCCCTCCGCCAAGCACCTGACGGCTCTCCCTCTTGGAAGGGTTTAGGGTTTAGGGTTTAGGGTTTAGGGTTTAGGGTTTAGGGTTTAGGGTTTAGGGTTTAGGATTTAGGGTTTCGGGCTTAGGGTTTAGGAAAGCTTGTTCAAAGCTTAGGCAGCACGCAGGGTTGAGGGTTTGCAAGGTTCAAGGTTGGTTTCTGTTGGTAGGGCTTATTCGGTTTGAAGGGCTTATAGGTTTTACAATGGTTTATAATTGTTTGTAGGGTTTATAGGGTTTGTAAGGGTTGAGGGTGATGCAGCTATCACGTGGCGAGGCGTCTGATCTGTCATTCGAACCTGCCCTAGAGCAAGTACAGTGGGTTCCGCTCTGGTGTCGGGTGACGTTTCGGATCTAGGGCCTTCAAGAGACCTCTATGAGAGACCCTAAACCCTAAACCCTAAACCCTAAACCCTGAACCCTAAACCCTAAACCCTCTATGAACTTCGAGGAGCCTGTAATGGCCGAATCTCTCCCAGGCGGTCGAGCCCAAGTCCCCTCCGTTGTTGATGCACACGTCACCCCAGCCACATGGGTTCCACCAAGTTTCGTCCTCCAGGTCTTGCAGGCACCCGGGTGGTGCGCCTCAAAGAGGCAAGAGAGCCAGGCTTCGGGATGCACGTTGGGGGGGGGGGGGGGGTTGGGGGTTTAGGGTTTAGGGTTTAGGGTTTAGGGTTTAGAGGCACTATGCAAGCTACAGGTTCATGCCCGAGCTGCCTGAACGAGGGCATTGCAACTGAGTGCAGCTTCCGACCAGGGCAAAGCCGTCATCGCATACAGGGGTGCAGGTCTGTTCAGGCGTCATCGTCGTCACAGTGGCATTGCTCGCATCCACGCACTTCCCGTTGGCCACAGTAGGCACCGTACACACTGGAGGCTCCGAGGGCCAGCACCAGGCAGCCCGAGCGGGAGAATGAATCAAAGGGACCTGTACGAGGACGGCACCGAGAATTGCAGCAACTGCTGCAGCACGTTCTGCCATCCCAGCTGAAGGCCTTCGAAGATGCTAGGCTAAAGCGTTACAGCACTCTCCCTGGCTGCTGCCCTTGCAGCTTGACCCTCAGGCAATGAGGACAGGCAGACTAAGCCGGCTGCTGAAGCTGAGGCGCAGCCCGACAGAACCCTTTGGATTGCCGTGATTACCGGGGTTGAGCTGCTTAAACTCCTGAATCCTGCAGTCTGTGAACTCAACTGCCACATCACTCCACCTGCTGCCACGTCCCCTTCAAGACCATACAAACCCAATGGCTCTAGACAGCAACAGGCCTTAGATTTCTATGAGCTCTCTCCCCAAGACCCCACAGCAGTCAGCTCCCCACCGGCTCTTCCCGAAGCGCTGCCATGCGCCGCGCAGCAGCCTGTACTACTGCTCAGCCAGACGGCTGAAGGCTCTAGTAGAAGGATTCAGGACCGGGGCTCACGGAACTCCGGGCTCTGACTCAGCAACCCCCAGAAAAACGCCCCCTAACTTCCTATGATGCCCTTGGCACCGCGCACGCGCTGCCACGCGGCGCGGCTCCGTCACCACGATGCGCCCCGAAAGGCCGCCTGGAGGTAGCAAAAAGAAGACCATGCTGCTGATGATGATGGTTCCGTGACAGTGTCCACTATAGGGTTGAGGATGCAGGAGTCGGAGCCTGATGCTTTGAAACCAAGAACCACAAAATGTCCCCAACAGCGGGCTGAGGGCTGGGAAGGGGGTGTGCTTAGGCACTGATGTGATACCGACGACCGAGCCCCCAACTGTCTGCAAGATCATCCATCATGGCTAGTGGCACAGCCTGCAGCCAGCGGCGAGCCATCATGAGTCATGGGGGTTTAGGGTTTAGGGTTTAGGGTACGGTGCTGCAAGTACAGTGTTGAGCAGGGCTTTCCCAGAGCGCAGCATCGCCTTCCCAGAAGCACGAAGACCCAATTGTAACCCCGAACTCAGGCGCCATTCCGGCTCTCCACGATGAATCTCCCAGGCCCAGGGCCCAAGAAAGCATCCATGCTGAGGGCACAGCCGTGGTTTTGCCTGCGCCTGGAGGCGCCACCTCAAGAAAGGCGCCGGAAAGCTGGACTTAACGGTGACAAAGACCTTCAAAGTTGGATGACAAGTGTGTGAGCTCACACATGCGCGCCCGCCGCCGTTTTCATCCACGGCCCTGCTGCCACTCACCGAGCAGCCATAGCGGGAACATGCTTCCAATGGGCTTCCGCCTTTTGCAACATGGACGGGTCTTTCTCCGTCTTGGGCCTTGCTCAACAACTAGACCTCATCGAAATGGCTGCGCATTGGCCCGTTCAGATGTGAGGCAGTCCACCCTCACCACCACGCTCCGCCTTCTCGAACACGCTTTGGCCAGTGCTGGCCCCATCGTCGGGTTGCACATGTTGCGGCTCTTCATCACGGTCTGTGCCACGTTGTGCCAACATCCCCTTCAGAAGGCACCGCAGCAGCAGACCGGCGGACTTGGCGGGTCCACCTCGCCTGTAGCGGCATGCGTAGCAGGGAGGCCTCAGGCGCTTGCGCGCTACACCTCAGCCCTCTGGCCGAGCTGTTGAGAGCACCTGATCTCTTGGGGCACTTTGGGGTTTATGAGGGCTTTGGGTTCAGGGAACTGGGCCTTTTGAGGTTGGTGCCTCCAGCACTTGGTGGAGGGGAGGAGGGCGGGTGGTGTTACTTAAGCAGTTCAGTTCAGGTAATGTTCCAGCAAGAGCACCTTTCAGAGTTTGAAGTCTTGCGGAAGAGCTGCTTTGCTGAGGATATCTTCCAGGGTCCTCCGGAGGTGCTCATCCCACTTTGCGACGATGGCCCGCTGCGGGTAGTGGCGCCAAAGCAGGCGCAGGGCTGCCGCGGCCTCGCCTCAGATTTGAGGATTTCAAGGTTCCATTCTCATGCACTGTCATGGCACCTACCTTTCGAGCCCAAATGAAACCCTTCTTTGATTTGCATACAGACCTTTATCGGATTCCTGAGATAACCCGCAGAAGTAGCTTCTGGGCTTTTGGGCTCTTTAGTCAAGCTTAAACCCGAAACCGTTTGGGCCCGCAAGCTGCCCCAAGTCCGAAATCCCTGGGAGGTGAGCCCAAGGGGCCCATGTCCAATGCCGCGGCGTCCAGGCTAGATAGGAGCCTCGTGGCTCTGGTTTTGCTTTGCTCTTGGGGCTTTATACGATGGGGTGGGGGGTTTAAAGAGGGCTTTTGCGGGATTTTGGGCATCCTGAACTTTGGAGCGTTCAGGTTCTGTTGGGCTCGCGGGCTTAGACAGGGAGCGGGGAAGCCCTGCACCAAAAAGGCTACGGATCAGAGATTCTTTCGGAGGCTGGAATTCCTCTGGACGCGCCGACATCCGAAACCCTTCCCAATCTGAGCCTTAAGGCCCTGAGCCTGAGCCGACTAAATGCCTGTGAACAATAAAAACCCTAAACCCTAAACCCTAAACCCTGAACCCTGAACCCTGAACCCTGAACCCTACTAAACCCTACTAAGCCCTAAGCCCTAAGCCCTAAGCCCTAAGCCCTAAGCCCTAAGCCCTAAACCCTAAACCCTAAGCCCTAAACCCTAAACCCTAACCAGAAACCCCGCGATGCCAAGGAGCGCCGCCGCCTGAGCTGGGGCCAAGCCATCCAGGAGCTCCCGCAGCGTCTCCTCTGCATAAGGGCTATAGTTCCCTAACTAAACACCCTAAACCCTAAACCCCAAACCCTAAACCCTAAACCCCAAACCCCAAACCCTAAACCCTAAACCCTAAACCCCAAACCCTAAACCCTAAACCCTGTATGGTCACTTCTCTACATGCTGGTCTCTTGGGATGGCTTACTCTGTCCTGCTCCTGCTCTTCCGGAGAGGCTGCTGCCGCGGCCAAGCAGTGAGGCAGCACGGAGCCAAACCTGCGCAGGGCCGCCAGCCACTCGCGGTGGGGTGGCTCGGATCGGGCTGCTGTAGAGAGTTCCTCCAAGATGCTCACTTTGCTCGCAGCCTCGCGGTTAGGGGAGCTTCGAGGTCTGGACTTCAGGCAAGTTGTGCCTCTTCTGCTGACCTCGCGGGTCTTGCGGGGCTTGCGGGGCTTCTGTCGGATGTTGAAGTGGGAGGCCGTTCTGCGAGCCAGCATCTCGCCTAAGAGGCGCCGCAGCACGTAGGGCCGCGCGGCTTTCGGCTCGCGCGGGTAGCCCCGCCACCAGATGTTGACAGCAAGGGCCATGGGCTGGGCCTCGCCCTCTCTGCCCAGAGTTTTCACATGGTGCCACCATCCCTCGGGAATCAACAAGGCATCCCCCTCGCGTAGGTCTGCCTGCAGGCCACGCGCACGTAGAGACTCGGTGGCCCCATGCACTTCACATGGGGACCTTTCAAAACGCGCAGCCAGGCAACAGTGGGGAGCCCGTGAGTGGTGAGATCGCAGGGGGTCGTGGACTGGATAGGCGCCTATGCTCTTGGCCGCGGCTGGCGGGAAGAGCTCTACCAGCTTCCTTCCGCGAATAACCACCAGAAGGCCATGCTTTGAGTCGTAGTGAAGGTTGGAGTGGGTTTCACCCAAAGACATCCAGAGGTTCACAGAATCCAGACGCCGCGAGAGTGCCACGTCCGCCCCTCGCGCGCCCAAAGCGCCCGCGAAGGGGCCAAGGTTCAGATCTTTCAGCAAGTGCCGTGCTGGGCACTCGGATTCAGTGTCACAGCCACGGGCCCAGAGAGGGCACTGCACCAGGTAGAGCGACCGCTTCTCTTCCAAAGCCTCGGCTGCTGCTGCCGGCAGCCTCTGCAAGGGCTCCCTTTGCAAAGTTCCCCCGAAGCCATGGAATTGCGTGGAGCCCACTCGGCTCACCTGCAGCTCCACGTGTGCATCGGGAGATCCTGCCGACACCTCTTCCAGCCCCCAGCTTCGAGCTTTCCAGCCCTTGCCGTAGCCCCGCAGCACCACGGGGCGAGCACGGAGCAGTGTCTCGGCAAGCACGTCCACATCTTCAACCGGCACGCATGACCTCAAACTGACAGGCCATTGGGTCTCCCTTTAAATCAACTGGTAACTATAAGAGTGCTTCATAGTTACTCAAGATCTGCACGTTGCAGGCCAGGTGCTCGCGCACGTGTTTCACTCGAATCCCGGATCTGTCGCTGCACGTAGCCATGCCTCCAGGCATGGCACGGCGGACGGGAATCCGAGCATACAAAAGGCTGCAGGCTTGCTGAACAAGGTCTAATCTAGCGTAAGAACCAAAAGAATCTTGTAAGAAGTTGTGGGTCCGGATCTTAGTTGCTTCCTCTGGCAGAGGCTCTGAGGCTCTGAAGGTTCAGTCCAGAAGGGAGTGCGAATGCGCACCCCCCTGCCCGAGGCAAGCTTGTTTCCTGGCGCTTTGACCATCCCGCATGGGTCTGACCGATGTGTCCGCAGTGGTTCTGCAACACAGCATCAGCTCTAGGCTGCGTAGTTCTGCGTAGCGCTGGTGGCCTGCAGATCCAGCAAGGTGACACGAAGAAACGCCTGCTCAAGCGACCAAAGGGCCGCTTGCAGCATCGATCAGAAGCTCGTGGCCATTCGCAGCGCGCCTGCCACGAGACCTCCATGAGTACTGTAGGAGTCTCAATGATTAGAACAGGGTTTTGGGGTTGTTGTTATAGTATAAATTATAAAGGGACCATAAGGGGATCCTATTATAATGTAGCGTTATTCCGACCCCAATAGTAGGAAGGAGGACGTTTGTTGACAGCATGTCGCAAGTGACATGCCAGCACTTGCCGGCCTGCGAGAGGGATGTGAGCTGCATGAGCCAGTCCTTCGAAGCATGGCTGGAACTGATGGCATGCAGCGTCGTTGACTTTGAATGGTTGTGGCCGAACCACTTCTCAGCTTCACCCGACTCAAACTGAACCGGCAAGTACTTGGTACAAGTAGAAAACCGGTCCTGTGAGGAGCGGCCACGGTGGCCAATCGGGTCCTCCATGGACGGTGCAAAGCTGAGTATGGGCTAAACTTACCATTCTGCCACATTGATGTTGCACGATGTTCCCTTCTTTTGCTCTTTTAAGACGATGCAACAAGGTCGAGTGACATTCAAGCCAGATGGGTCCTCTTTCCGGCCCGGCCGAAACCAAGAAACATGAGCCATTGTAGGCGGGGGGGGTGGGGGAGTGGCCGCACATAGGAGGGCCCACGAAACACTCAGAGCACAGGGTCTCAAAACTTCAGATATACTGATTAATACATAGATACATAAAGAAATCAACAACTAAAATAAAATAAATAAATATGTATATATATATATATGTATATAGATATTGGTGCACCGTAGATATGGATGTCATACTGTCGTCTTCCGTGATTCTGCCCGCCTCCCAGATCCTCGAAGGCTTCAGAGCCATTGCGAAGCAGCTGCTGGCGCTGCATCACTTGCCACCTTGCTGGTGAGCTTGAGATGTACGTACAGTTTCTATATATCTATAAGAATATATACACATGTGTATATGTACATGTAGATTGATCTGTAGTATAGAAACATATGTATATCTATAATATGATTTATCTGCAGAACTCTACGTATGTAACAGTTGGCTAGCTGATGTTCGCTGCATCGGCTGAAGCCCCCAAATTATTACACCCTGCCTTCCGTAGACCCTAAACTAAAAACCCAAAACCCAAAACCCTAAACCCTAAACCCACGTATGTGCTTTCCAAACCTGACCAGGCTCCGCACGCTATTTCGGTGAAGACGTTGCCGGGCCACCTGGCACTCACCTACTCCCACCTCTGTAAACCCTGAGCCCTACAGTAATAGGCCCCAAAACACCTGCACCCTCCAACTACCCTTTAATAAAGGGGGCTTCTGTACCCTACTATTCGGGTTCAAGGGTAGTTGGGGGGTGCTGGCAGGAAGGCAGACTTCAGAGCCGCAAAGCTGAGTGAACTGCGAGTGCCGGCCAGTGTTCGTGACAAGAAGCCACACTTCCGCGAAGGAGTCGCAGGAAGTATGCCTGCACGGCAAGTGGCAGAGAACAGCACGGAAGCGCCCAATGCCACCTGGGTTGCAGCATGCGTGGGTCGCGGGACATCTGCGCAGCTTTTGCCGAGCAAAGGCCATGCAAAGGCCTGTGAAAATTTTTTTTGCTGCACCAAATGAGCATTTCCCCAAATAGGGGTACCTCAATATACCCCAAAATAGTATAATATAATCTAATATAGTATAAACCCGATTCTAGGAAGCCCCAAAAAGGTACCCCAGTTTTCGGAAACCAGCAAGTGGCAGATCACTTCCACTCGTCCATCTTGGACTCACCAGAGTAGATCCAGCCGTACTTCTCATCCTCCTCCATGATCGATCGCTCGTGCAGGACCCCATCCTTGCAATGAAGCTTAAACTCGACTTCATTCCCTGATGCCTCGATGATCTCCAGACGTTCCAACCTCCGTAGCTTGGAGGGCTCCCCAACAGCTGCGTCCAAGTCGTCCGGCTTCTCCGTGCCGAAACAAAGTGCCCAGGCACGCACCCTGTTGGAGAGTTTCTTCTTCATGGGGTCCTTCTCCGTCTTCGCCATGAACACCGCATCCTTCAGGCGGCAGGCAGAGTAACGAGCCCTGACCATGTCCTCGGGGTTCTGCGCCGTCCCACCCTTCAAGATCTCCTCTACCACGGCCGCTTTCCCTCCGTGGTCTGCCTCGAGCTGAGCCACGTCCACCTTCTTCCGCTGCCGGCTTGCGGGTCGGTCGGGGGCACCGAAGCCGGTGGCCCTGAGCAAGATCGGGCTCTGGCTTCTCGTTGCCTGCCCGGCCGCACTTCCCTGGAAGGCCCAGGGGGCCCATGTTGCGCAACCCACAAAAGTCACCAAGGCAATCCAGGGTGCCCGGCGCCCTCGCGCAGCCATGACTGCCAAAGAGTGGCTGACACAAAGCACAGTAGACTTCAAGAATTCAAAGCTGCTGACTATAGGATCCATTTGCTCCTGCCACAAGTATCCTGAGTCGGTCATGCAAAGTGTCTCGTGACGTGTAGGCAGTGTAGGCAGGAGTAGCTGCTCAAATGTCGTCATCTCACAGACGAGCATCCAAGCCAAAGTAGCAAACAGGATGAGCATCAGCTGTAAGCATTGGCTGAGTTATGGGTGAGGCAATGTGCCAGCTGCGCTACGCTCGTTCCCTGCGGCATCATGTCTTCCCAATGGCTGAATGCGAGAATTGGCGGATGTCAAAAAGTCGCTTATCCAATGTTAAATTACGGGCAAGCCCACGCGAGCCATACTGATTTTAATATTGGCATGATACACAGTGAAAGATCCCCCCACAAATATGATAAGTATAGGCGTGCGTTGACTTGCCTTATACTTCTACTATTGTGCGGGCATGAACGCGATTACTTCGTGCACTTTGTTCATGGTGTTCACTGGTGATGAAAAAGCCCTAATATCTTTTCATGGGGCTTTTGCTCCATCACCAGTAAACATGAGAAGCAAGTGCTATTAAGGGTGCCACAAATAAAGGACTAATCTAATCTAAAGGCCCCTTTAACACCCCCCCCCCCAAAAAAAAAAAAGACCTTTCAATTTGCTAGTACAAATGACAAGGAATTTAAAAATAAAAGCAAGAAAGGATTAATCACCAGGCCCCCTTCAAAAGCCCCCAACAAGACCCTTTTACGAGGCGTGCGTTTGTATGCCTCTCCAGCCAAGCCCCATCGATGGGCTCCACGGACCTTGGGGAAAATCGCGGCTTCCGTGTGCCCCGAAAGCCCCAGAGCCCTCGGAACAACCCTAAACCCTAAACCCTAAACCCTAAACCCACCCTAAACCCTAAACCCCAAACCCGAAACCCTGCACTTCAAAGCTGAGCACAGGGCATGAGGATCCTCTCTTTGCATCCGTTGAAGCTGGACCAAGCCTCCACAAAAGGCAACGCGCCTCAAGCCGAACCCAAACGGCCAGAGCCGAGGGTTTAGGGTTTAGGGCTGAGGGTTTAGGGCTTAGGGCTTAGAGTACACTTATGAACTTATGAGGGTGGCCTTGTGGTCGACCTCCCCTCTCCCCTCGCGCTTCCCTCAAAACTCTTGGTTTAGGGTTTAGGTCTTAGGGCTTAGGGGTTTTAAAAAATGCACAGGCCTGAACTACAGCTGGGGTGGACTCGCCCCAGTACGCGGCGCCGCCGCCGCGGAAGGGATTCACAGAGTCGCGCTCGTCCTTGGCCGGTCGTTGCAAGATATATGCGGGGTTTCCAAAATTAGGGTACCTTATCGGGGTCCTAATCTTACTATTTGGGGTGGACTGTATTCGGGGTCCTGTTGGCGCCTTGTAAGTAGAGTGAGCTAGTTGCCTCCAAGGCTTCTGCTCAGAGACCTCAAGGGGTGGGGAAAGTCCCTCACACATTCCCTAAACCCTAAACCCTAAACCCTAAACCCTAAACCCTAAACCCTAAACCCTAAACCCTAAACCCTAAACCCTAAACCCTCAACCTCAAGGGGGCGGAAAGTCCCTCACAGGGTCTAAGCCTCTCGCGCAATCCGGAGGATCTAGATTTCTTTCGCCCCCTGTCTTTGAATACTTGACTCCGTCTTCATAGGTCTCCTGGGGGGTACGAAGGCTACTTAGTAAGCAGCTTGAAAGATTTGATTTGATATCTATACATATATGTATACACACATCAGACTATATCTAAGCCTACAAACTAGGCTTATATAGGCTAGAACGGTTGGAAGTCTCCCAGGCTGTTCTTGCGAAATAAGAGCTGGGGTCCCCCACATGGATGGTGACGATCGGCAGGGGCTGCGAGGCATTGTTGGGCCTGTCGCAGTCGGTGGGTTTAGGGCTTAGGTGAAGAGGGTTTGTTTGGGCTTGTTTGGTTTTTGAGGTTTAGAGGGTTCATAGGGCTTATGAGGGTTCATAGGGATGTTTATAGGGCTTGTAGGGTTTTTTGTTTTTTTTTCAGTGTTTAGGGTTCCAATGCCAGGCGCCCGTAGACAGACCTCTGAAAGCACCACCTACACGGAGCTCTGACAATCCGCAATTGACAAGCGTGAACGATTTTGCTTGGACAATATAAGCCCGACGAACTAAATGCCTCTCTTGCCTGAGTTAGCCGTCGACGACTCCGTCGACGAACTTGGCAAATCTGCCGACGAATTTGGTAATTATGTATTTGGCCGACGACGAATTTGGCAAATTTCTCTGGCCGTCAACGAATTTGCCTAATTTGTCCGCAAACTTGCCGCCGACTTGAGCCATTGAAGTGTGTGTACAAAGGAAAGAGAGGTCAGGGCTTCGGCCCATAAGCTTTTGACTATAGGGTGCAACATAGGAACTTTTGTTGGGAAATGCCCATATAAGGTTGAGGGTTTCGGCTTATGAATTCAGGGTTCAGAGTTCAGGGCTAGGGCTCAGGGTTCAAAGCGCCAGGGTTTAGGGTTCGAGGCCTGGGTTTGGGGTTCAAGCATGTTCAAGCCGTGGGGTTCTTGGATTAGGGTTTAGGGTCTCAAGCTTTAGGGGTTTTAAGGTTCAGGGTTCATGAAAAATGTTAAACCGTGAGTTTTTTTCGTAAGGACGGTCAGATGGGTCGGTACTCAAGGAGCGAGCCTGACTAGTGAATGCTTGGACTTGAGATGCTGAACCCTAAGCCCCAAGCCCAAAACCCCTAACCCCAAACCCTAAATTTCTAGCCGCTCAACCCCTAAACCCTAAACCCCTAACCCCTCAACCCCAAACCCTCAACCCCTAACCCTCAACCCCTAACCCCTAGACCCTAGACCCTAAACCCTAAACCCTAAACCCTAAACCCTAGCCCTAAACCCTAAACCCGCCAGCGAGCTGAGGGAGCCTTGGAAAGCGCAGCCCGGCGTTTGTAAGGAGGCCGCGGAGGCCCGGGAGCTCCGACCTGGGAAGGCTGTCAGGGTTTGGGGTTTAGGGTTTAGGGTTTAGGGTTTCGGGTTTAGGGTTTAGGGTTTGGGGTTTGGGGTTATAGGGTTTAGGGTTTGGGGTTCAGGGTTTGGGGTTTAGGGTTTGGGGCTTAGAGTTTAGTGTTTAGGGCTTAGGGGGAAAGGGGGGGGACATTGCGGTTTAGGGTTTATAGGGCTTAAGGTTAGGGTTTGGGGGCATTCGTTACGGCAGCTGGCTTTACACATTTCGGCTTCTATGGTGAAGTACTGTAGTAGGTGAAACTGAGGGTATAGGGGTGGGAATCAGACTTTAAATAGGACTACTGGTGTCACCTGCTGACTCAGAAGTACTGTACTTGAGGAGACCCGCTGCCACGAGCTGATGAAGGGCTGCAACTTCAATGACACACTGCACGGGACGAAAGGGACCCAACCATGCTCTCAACCCAAGGCCCAAAACTAGGATCTCCCAAAAACCCGGGGGGGGGGGGGGGGGGGGGGTGCCCCTTGTTCTTCTCATGGGGTTGGGAAGGGGATCCTCACCCTAAGAATAGAGGGGCGGGTGGGACAACCCCCCAGCTTTCGGAATCAAATCTCCGAAAATGAAACTCCCGAGTCCCCCACGCGAGCCGCGAGCAGAAGCGCGCGCCGCGCGAGGAGCCTGACAAGCGCTCGAGGGCGATTTGGGGGGGTTGAAGGTGCATGACGGCTTCTGGCTAAGGCTTTTTGAGGGTTCACCGTCGGGTGTTGATTCTTCTAGGGCTCCTGCGGTTAGATATGAGTGAGGTCTTGGCTCGCGAGATCGGGAGAAGGGGATTCGACTTGGGGATTTCGGGTAAGCATGAGGCAGCGTGCCGAAGAAGTTGGGCAAACCACAAAAAGCACAAAAAACGCCGCGACTTGTACCCAAGATAGTCCTGGCCTATGCAGTACAGGTTGTGCACGTCGAGGCAGGCCCCTGCAAGGTGACACTTGGGCGCCCAACTTTGGGGTTTAGGGTTTAGGATTGAGGAGTGCAAGGGCTGTTAGGAGTGCTTCGGCTGTGCAGGTTGTTGGTTTCCGTTTCAAGCTGCCGTCGAGAAGCTTCCCTGCGCATGGGACAACACCGCGTTTGTGTAACCTGACACAGCGCATGACGTGTGGGCCACGAGTGGCCACGAATTTACAACGCCGGTTGCAACAAACGCAGTGGCTACTTAGGCGGCGGCCCACGTCGTCGGGCCGCGATGGGTCTTCCTGGGCGTCGGCAGCAACGTTCAGCGCGAGGTCCTGGGTAGCGTGTGGGAATGCTACGAGTAGAACCCCCATGACGCCCAAAATGCTAAACTAGGCGGCAGAAAGTCAAGACAAGATCCCTTTGCCTACAGCTCCGGGAACTCGGCTGTGACCCACTGAGGCCGCCGCCATGCCTTCGAGGACGACGAGCGCCACAGAATGCTTCTTCGCAAGGCCTCGGGACAGCATGGGACAGCGGCTGTTGCAGATGCTAAAACGCTCTAAAACGGGTTCAACCACCCGTTAGCACAATGCTCTTTCCTCAGCTCGTTTCTGCTGCAAGCCTCGGAGATCAAACAAGTCCAAGAGGCTCAAAGTGTCCGTCAGCGACAGCATGCCTTCACCGGGCTACTCTGCAGTGCTCTTCTTAATGCTTCTCACTTGGCCACATGGGAAGGCGCACAGAATTGCTCAGTATATGCTCTCTGTATAGTGTCCTTAAATCGCACGCCATCGCTAACAAGCTGTGTACAGTCGGGAGGCGCATGGCGTCCACATTCGTTCCCGGGCACAAGATCCACACGGGCCAGGGCCGCTTCTCCTGACATGAGACTGAAGCATCCTATAAGGATCCTATACCTCTAAGCCTGCACCTCTATAAGCCGAACGAACCCCAAGATGTACAGAATGGACGCCAAACACAGAGCTCGTGCAAAGCAGAGTCCTCGAAAGGAACCTCGGAACGAGTGACTCTGGCGAGAGCGAGACTTTGCCAAGGCCCATGTGGTAGGCGTTGGTAAGCATTGGTAGGCCCCGCACGTACAGAAAGTACAAGCGCTCCGCACCATCGTGGTACCTAGGCGAGCCCGGCCTAGCAACTAAACAAGGAGCCCTATAGACTTTAAGCTTTAAACTGTTGCGCTTGTGGGCCGCTCGGGCCTTGGGAGGCTGCACTGCACTTCGGTTCTTCTGCTTTTGGGGCCCCTGCAGCCTGTGGATCTCCAGCTCTGTCTCACGGGCCGGATAAGCGGCCTGTCGCTAGCACAGTCGCAGGGAGCTGCAAGATCAATTCATTTTGCGAATCGCCGCTGCAAGGCCTGGCACGCAGCCTCCACACCCGCACACGCCCGGCCCAGAAGAACACAGAGAAGGCAACGAAGGCGAAAGCGAAGGTGAAAACTTCGCATGCCGACGATCTTTCCGGGCTCTGGCGCCGTGGCGCAGGGAGTGGCCATCGACGCCCGAAGCTGCCGTGATTTTTTTGTTGTGTTCTGATATCTTTGACATATTGTTCTACTATTATACACTTGTGCGATTCTACTTATACTAATATAATATCATAATATACTCGCTGGGCTGCATCTATGCCGAATTCACGTGGCACAAAGCGGCGCAACTGTCGTATGGATGCCTGAGCATACTTGCACTGTTGCTTGTCGGGATCTTGCCGCAACGATTGGCGTGCTCGGATCGTTGGGCTAATGGTTCCCTGGCGAATCCCTTGAGCCACAGCAGCTGCATCAGCAAGAATCCGCAAGAGCGGAGACACGTGTAGCAGTGTCGCCACTTGCTCCGCGCCTCTCAGCCCTGGTAAACCCCCTAAAACCCCTAAAACCCCAAACCCTCTACACCCTGAGGCAAGACGCGGTGCACTTGGGCCCCGACAAGTACAGCAGCGTGTGGCTCCTCCCTCAGCACCTGCCAAGAGTGAATGTCCGACAAAGTCGGGCGATGTACACTTTCCTCTGCCCTAAACACATGGGTAGACTTGTCTTGTGGGGCCAGCACTACCTTCGCGGTTTAGGGTTTAGGGTTTAGGGTTTAGGGTTTAGGGTTTAGGGTTTAGGGCCACGTGTTAAGTCTAAAGCTTGCGGTGCAGCGAAAAGCTCGCAGATGGTGGCTTGGGAGGTGCACTTTTATCGGCCACCTGCCGTTGGTAAGCCCTAGCTTCCTGGAATCGCCCTAAGTCCTGAGAGGCGGGGAGCGACCAAGGGTTTAGGGTTTAGGGTTTAGGGAGGGCTTGAACTTGCAGAGCCTTTGCACCCTGCCAACGCAGAAGAGGATACCAGGGTCACGGCAGTCAAGCCCTTTGGCGTGCAATAGTTGCACCAGTGAGCAGCCGGTCAGCAAAACTCGTGCAGTCTGTGCGATAGGTTCTGCGCAAATTTGCACACATGTGCAAAGGATACCTCAACCCCTCATGTGCAGAGTCCGCACTCTTTTCTTGCCATGAAATGTTATGACACGAACCAGAGTCAAAACTTCACGAGACAATTACATGTACACCTCAGAAAGCTGCACTTCCACTCCATGAGCTGCCTTGTAGTGCCTTCGAGTATCTAGCTGTTTGATTCTGGTTCACCCTTGCCGCCTCATGCAAACAAGGGCAGCGCCCCAAGGGCGGCAACAAAACTCGAAAGGCAGGCCAGGCCGGCCTGAGAAACCTGCAAGGCACAGGGTGTCCCCTACAAACCCTCGCCCAGCCCCCCAGGGGGTTTTGGAGACATTCTTTGCAGCCCAGTAACCATGTTCCAGTAAGGGCACTCGTTTTGGGGTTGGCTACTTTTTGAGGGAGCCTGAACCACAAAAGAGGGCAGATGGATGCAAAGGGATGCAACAGGGCTACCAAGTATTGGTATCCCACTCCCGCCTCGTTGTTGGGCATGTTGGTTGTGGTAGTGGTGGTTGTCGTGGTGGTCGTGCACAGAGGGTCGTAGGTGGTGCCGGAGGTGTCGTCGTAGATCACGTGGGCCACGCTCAATGGGCAGAGCTGACAGGAGGTCTGAGCTTGGAGGAAGAAAGGGCTGAAGGACCCCACCCCAGACTCCTGCGTGGCCGTTTGTGAGCCGGTGCGGACGTGTAAGGCTGCCATGGCCAGATCGAGGGCTGCTGGACCATTGCGAGGGCCCAAGGTGCTGGCGCTGAAGGGAATGGACACGAAGCGAGCTGCCCTGAGGACCTCGAGCTTGCAGAACTCTGCATCGTTGTACATCCACTTGATCTTGTCGATGGCACTGTCCCACGAAGCATCGACCACGACGATGACATCCGGCGCCGCGGCGATGATGTCACTCACGTTGACGCAGGCCCAGTTGCCGGCGCGGTCAGCAAAAACGTTGCTGAGGCCGCCCTCCTGCATCAGCAGGTTGGGTGCTCCAGCGCCACCACCCACGAAAACCTGCTCCTCCTCACCCGGCTCCGTGTCGCAGCAGTCGGTGCAGTCCAGCCATACGCTCTTCAATGGCGACCCGTGCATCCCCGAAGACACCAGGGCCGCAGCTTGATCAAAGTCTGCCTTCATGTCGGTGATCATGGGCTCGACGTCGACGCCAAACACTGATCCCAGCGTCCGCATCTCGTCGTAGACGATGTCTTCCGTGACCGTGGCCGGGCGCAAGGAGGTGTCTTCACAGCTGTCCTCGAAGACGTAAGTGCCAATGCCAGCTGCGTGCAACTGGGGGCGGCAGGTAGTCCAGTCCTGACCCCAGTCAGAGCCGAACCCGGCACATGGCCCGACAGTCGCATCAGTGAAGATGCCCGACACCCGCCCGTTCGAACGAGTGTATTGGGCGCGGAATGCCGAGTTGTATGAAGCCACGAGGAAGTCTGGGTTATAAGACATGAGGTGGGTCTCGTTGGGGTAGCCAGAAGACAGGACTGGGATCTGGGAGTACGCGGCTGCATACCGTGGCCACATAGAATCATCAAGGTAGGCGGTGCCCACCATGCTGCTTGCAAGTCCCATGCCAAGCAAGAGCTCTGTTGCTCCCTGATTCAAGGTGATGATGCGAGATGGCGCAGTGGCTATGGTGTTTTGCACACCGCAGTTCGTGATCGTCACCGGATGGGTTGCATTTGTGGCGGCTGCTGCTCCCAGCATGAGCGCGGCGCGAAACATGCTAGACATCCTCAAGGTCTGCAAACAGGAGCGCAAGAGGGACAACGACAACAAACTTCTTGAGCCCAGCATGGTCATCTGCTGGAGCAAGCAAGTCCACAATAAAAATGCAGCAGACCCCTTTTGTTGCGAGCTGATGGGCTTTTGGGGAGGGGGCTTTTATACATCGAACAGCTTTGTCAAGAGCTTCGGCAACGATCGCTCAGACAAGCGAACTCCTGCATAATTTTGGATCCAAAATTGTATTTAGGCTCTTGTCTTCCATCTGCGACCGTGTGCTTGGAACAGGCAAGGGTTTAGGGCTCAGGGTTTCAGGTTCAGGGTTTAGGTTTCAGAGTACTGCCGGTTTTCGCCATTGTCGACAAAACAGTACGGCTAACAGTGAAGAGCCCTGGCCTACAGTTTGAACCATTGGGGACCAGAAGAACTCTAAACCCCAATCCCTGAACCTAGTACAGCAAGCTCCAGAAAGTCGGAACAGGGTTGAAGGATGATTAGAGCTACGGGGTCCCTTTTGTATACCTTTTTTCGGTATGGGGATACGGATGTTCCAACTTTGGGGAGTTATTTACTGTAAATCTTGGGTATGGTTCCTCTGGGCCTCTGGGTGCTGTCTGAACCGTGGACCTGGAATCTGCGTGAACGTTGCAGCACAAGCTCGCAACAAGCGCGCAAATCCCGGATTTCTGTTTTTGCTTCGGAGAAAGCATGGGCGTTGAGAAAAGAGAGCCCAACATAGCCCTAAACCCTATACCCCTAAACCCAACAAGTTTGGTGTTTTGGGTTGTCGTGAAGCCCATCAGCCCCAAAGCACAAAAGACCCCATAGCTTGCAAGCTGTGGGATTTACGAACAAGATGTCTCAGCCAACGTGGGGGGTGTTGGTCTTGGTCTGCAAGTTCAGTCATACACCCTTACCTTCGGGATGTTCCCCCCTATACTAACACAGTCCTTACTAGGGATAATAGTACCCCCAATTCTAGTCCCCATGAAGGAGCTCTTAATATAAGGGGGAGCATCCCTACCAGTAACCCCATTGTTGAACAGGAGGAGACCAAGGGCATCCTGGGAGAAAAACCCGTGAGAGCTCGCGCTAGGAAGCAGGCAAAGACAGGCAGCAAACGCAGGCCCAAACACCAGATGGGGGTTTACGATATTGGGGGGTGCCTCATTGGGGTCCTTAGTATCAGGGAACCCCTACTATTTGGGACTCTATTTTGGGGGTCCCCTATGTTCGTAAACCTCCAGATTCAGATGCGCCTTGCAAGCAGTATGGACCTCATGGGCATCGGTTCTTTTAACATGATCTCAAAGGGGTTTACGGTTTAGGGTTTAGGGTTTAGGGTTTAGGGTTAAACCGTCTCAGGCTTGCTGGCGAGTGCGGGCCTTCAGCACATCCGCCAGCACCTCCTCCACAGGAAGCCCGAAAGCCTGAGGCCACCAGGCCAATGCTGCCGTGGGGGGTTAGGGTTTAGGGTTTCTTGGCTCGGCAATGTGGGGGCTTACATTAATCCGAGCTTCTGATTAGTGGGTGGGGGCCCCCCCCCCCCCCTCACAATAAGGAATGCAGGGTTCCGCAATAGTTGGACCGTGGCCCTGTATTGATTCTCTATTAAAAACAATACGATGCAGATCCCTGAGGTGCTGTAGCTTTGCGTCTCCGCAAGCAAAACAAGAAGCCTGCCGACAGATTTTTGAACCCCCCCCAAAAAAATTCCTTTAAATGTGGGGGGTTTGTCCCATACGAAATCCACCCTAATGGAAAGTAGTCTTCCGGCGGACTTCCGGCCAAAAAAAACTTCTTTAAATGTGGGGGTATTAATTAATCAGATGCTCGGATTAGGGGCACCTTATTGGGGTCCTTGTTATAAGGGATCCTACCATTTTGGGGTCTAGATTTGAGGGTCCCCTATTTTCGTAAATCACCATGTACCCACACGTCCCAAAAACTGTCAGGAGCCCTCGAAACCCCAAGAAACGCCAAAGAAAGAAGCCGGGTTTTCTAGCATGCGCACATCAGGAAAGACACGACCATTTGGCCCGCTGCAGCCTAAGCGTTAACCCCCTAGCCCCGACATCCTCAACCTAGACCCTAAATACGCTGAGCCCTAAGCCCCTACATCCTCAACCTGAACCTAGATGCCCTAAACCGGTAACCCCTACATCCTCAACCCTAATTAAACCCTAAGCCCCTACATCCTACACCCGAAGCCCTTAACCCTACAAACCCTAAACCCTAAACCCTAATAAACTCCAAAGTCATCCTAAACCCCCTTTGGCTCTCGAGAAGCTCCGGCGCCTGCCGGACAAGTCGCCCAAGGCGTCGGCGGCCCGAGGCCGAGAGAAGCCTTGGCGTAGGGTCTAGGGTTTAGGGTTTAGGGTTTGGGGTTTGGGGTTTAGGGTTTAGGGTTTAGGGTTTAGGGTTTGATTAGGGCTTAGTGAAATGATTCAGGGCTCAGGTCCGGGAAAGTTCCGAGGAGTTTCGAGGAGTTTCGCTTCGACCTTTGAATATTTTCTCAAGTTCCACGGGGTTGAGGCTTTAGGGTTTAGGGTTTACGTTTGGGTTTAGGGTCATCAGCCCTTCACCCTAAACCCTAAAGAACCTCCACCTTCAACTTGGAATGAGTCGCGGTTTGCAGGGTTTGCTGCGCATGGTGCTTCTCGAACAGTAATCTGGGGCATATTAGGGGGCTGCTGGGAGTAATCGTACGTGGGGCTGATAGGGCTAAGGATTCTGGAGATATCGTTGAGGGTTGCGGAGCTGCATGCTTATCACCCTCCACTCCAAAGAGAAAGCACTCAGCAGAGTTGGGGCCTCTAGGTTTAGGGTTCAGGGCCTTTAGGTTTATGATTCATGATGGTTTATGTAGAGACTCCTTGTGACAAGGCAATGTCTGCATGTCATGTTCTCGCACCATACGCTTGGAATGCTTATTGAGGCCCCCCCCGAACCCCCTGCCCCTAAACCCTAAACCCCATTGTTCAACACCTTTCACAGGGTAATTTTATGTCTGAAGGACGTTTTGCAGTACCCTTACCAAAAGAAACCCTGAACCTTAACCTTGCGATGTTCCCCCTTATACTAACAGTCCTTCACAGGGATTATAATCGGGGGGCACTCTAGTCTCTACTAAGGACTGTTAGTATAGGGGGGAACATGCCCTGAACCCTAAACCCTGGGCCCTAAACCCGAAACCCCAAACCCCAAACTCTAAACCCTAAATCCTAAACCCTAAAGCCCAGATCCACACCTTTGTCCCGGCAGAGGAGCAGCGGGGGGAGGGCCCAGTGAGCCCGGACCCATGGAGATGGGAGCGCCTTCCTCTGCAGCCTTGTGGAATAGGGTTTAGGGTTTAGGGCTTTAGGGTTTAGGGTGCAAGGTTGAGGGTTTATAGGCTTTTTCGGCTTTGGGGGTGGTTTGGAGCCGTTTGGAGCCGCTATTCTGTCTCGAGACCCTATTCATTCATGTGCCTCTTGATCACTCTTGATCTCTCTGCACTGACTGTGCATAAGCGAAGAAGTTGGGCTTTACCGGGGAACGCGAGAAATATTGTTAACAAAACAAAAAACACTTCACAAGCTTTTATTAAAAGATCACTAGGAGCAGAATTTCAAAAATAGGTAAGGCACACAGGAAAGAAGCATGGAGCGCACTCCCATTCAAGGCTTGGCGGGAAGCCCCGAGCCCAGGAAACAGGGCACCTCTTCTACGAATTGCTTCAGAAAACCCCCCAAAAAAATAGCAGTATTCTTCCTTGTTAGGGCAATACAGGGATTATATTATTTTCTATTTACTTCTTATCTTATCTTTTCTTTTGGGGGGGGGGGTCTTAAGCAAATAGTGGTCTTGCGAAACTTCAGGTTGGGTCCCTGGACCATGAAGTTGCAGTGTGGGCTTGGGGGTTCTGCTGTCTTTGGATCTTGATTGACGGCAAGGCTCGCTGTCGCAGTCCTGCAACGGGATCAGGGGGACACTTGGAGATATAGACAAAAGAGGGTTCAGAAGGGCTCCCCTTCAAGGGTCCCCCTAATCCTGCCTAGGATGCTGCGCCCCATGCGGGCCTCCGGCGTCGAGGAATGGTAGCTTGGTGCAGCTGCAAACTGCCTGCAAGATACTTGCACAAAGGCACCAACTGATGCAGCGGAGCTGTCCTTTACCACCTAAACAACGATTTTGCTCAAAGCAGCCCTAAACCCTAAACCCTAAACCCTAAACCCTAAACCCTAAACCCTAAGCCATCTTGAGCGCCTGCTCCAGGCGGCGCGACCCGCAGCGCCATGACACTGCGACCGACTTGCGGAAGTTAAGCAGGTTGGATCCACTTAGGGGTTCCGCTTTGGAGATACCCAAATTAAGGATTTTATACTATTTTGGGGGCATATGAGAGGGTCGATAGGAGGGTCTCCTTTTGCTACTATTTCGGGAAATACCTCTTTCCCCTAGTTACTACGAATACCTGGCGTCATGTCACTTAGAACTGAGATTAGCGGTTGCAGTACCCGGTCCCAAAAAAGGTTAACCTTTCAATTATGTTAGGATTGTAGAACACCCCGAAAGGTTAAAGGTTATCTACTCAGCTACGAAGGAACACCCCAGAAAGCTGCTGGGAGAAGCTGGCTGTGTTGTTGCGGGGGGGGGGGGTGGGGTGGGCGGGGGGTGGTGACCATTACGGTGGTGAATGCCGCCATACGCTTGGGCGCTGTTGCACAACTACTTAGCTAAGTCACTCCGGTCATCTACAAATACACTCCATGATGTGAGATGCAAGCACTTGGGAAATGACGGCAGAAAGGGCAGCGTCTTCCAGCTCTCTTGGCGGTTTTGGGGCAAACCAGGAAGAAGCAATGTAGTCTTGGATGGCTCTTTTGCTGCCGTGCTTCGTGGCAGAACGCCGAAGTGATCAAACGCACTCCGGGGCCATGTCGGCCTGCCTGGTACGAAAGCAGTAAAGAGTTGAGAGTGCCAAGCAAGTCAGGCCTGGGCCATGGAATGACTTCCACCGATGAAGAAAAGAAGGCGGGCCCGTCATTGTCAGGCACGGCCTTGTACCCCCTCGTCTTGTGTACACTGCTAGCAGCATCGATTGAATCTGCCCGGGCCAACAGTGATCATTTCTTCATTGCAGTCTTGCGAACCGCCTTCATTGCCGCGGCCTTCATGGCCTTCATGGCCTTCTTGGCTGTGGCCGTGACCTTGCGCTTGCCAGCGGCAGAGACGCACAGCGCGTTGCTGCGAGTCATGCTCTTGATCTTTGCCACGGCCCTCAGTCGCATGGCACTCCAATCGTCATCCAGGGCGACTTGGCGCACCGGCTCGAAACTGACCTTGCCGAAGGCTTTGAAGCTGTCGTCTCTTCCCACGTCGGAGGCGTATTTCTTCGACCTATACTGAACTTGGAACCCTAGCAAAAATTGCAGTTTCAGCTGTTTCTTCGGGATTAAAGTACCCAAACAAATATTTAGAATACAAAACATATTTCCACGAATCCCCAAGCGACGACTTCTTGGGGTAGGCGACCCAGAGCAAGCCATCCTGCCCCGCCTTCTTCGCGGCCGCGGCGGCCAGCTTGTTGATCTCCGAGCAGCTTTTGACAAAGTAGAGGCTTGCTGAAGGAAGGCCGGGTTTCCTAGAGGGTTTAGGGTTTAGGGTTTAGCGTCTAGGGTCTAGGGTTTAGGGTTTAGGGTTTAGGGTTTAGGGGGTTTTCCCTTTAAGGCCCTCTGAAACATATTCCTGAACATGACCCTTTTAAACCCGATAATAAAGGGAAAATGTAAGTAAAAACATATTCCTGAATATATGACAATGTTAATACCCAACAAGGGAGAACAACAAAAAATGTCCCAAAAGGGCCTACCAAGTTTCGCACTACCTGCCCTCTTGGAGAGCTCCTGCTTGGCCTTCTGGAGTTCCGGAGGAGTTCCTGGCTTAGGGTTTAGGGTTTAGGGTTTAGGGGTTTAGGGTTTAGGGTTTAGGCTGTTTAGGGTTTAGGGTTTAGGGTTTAGGGGTGCCTGTCACAGATAGCTTCATGCCCGGCTTCAGCTGCAGCTTCTGGAAGAGGGTCATGGCTCGAAGTGCCCCAACTGGTGGCTTAGGAGATGTTGATATGATGTAATATGATATGATATGATTTGATATGATATGATACTTTTGATGCCATGCTACTAGTAAACGGGTACCCTTGAAAGTACATGTAGTATTCAAAGTGACTCAAGCTAGTAACACGACGAGTGATTCCATCAAGTTGGAATGCTTAAGTCAGGGCATAGTGCAGGGATGTGGCGCCCTTCCGGAGACCAGCTTGAGTCCAAGCAACATCGTGCCCAACACCACCAAGTGAGCTCTGCAGATTACCGCTTGAGGTCCTGCCTGGAAACGCCGTTAAAGGATGGCTTGAACTATGCCAGGTATTAACAATCATTTCAGCCAGGTGTGCTTCCATAGCCAGTCTGGCAAACCCTAAACCCTAAACCCTAAACTCTGACTCCTGAAACTCTTCCCCACGAGAAGGCTGGTGATCATCATTCTCGTTGGACTGTGTGGGCTCTGGTTCTATGGCAATAGCGGCTCTCAGAAGAACCCCAATCAGGCTCCATGGCCATGCTTGTGAACCTGCGTACAAAGTTGCGCTTCGGGCCCTATCGTGATGAGGGCTTTGGGGCTAGACCCTAAACCCTAAACCAAGCCCTAACCCTCCGGAGCATCGCAGCGCAGGACTTTCGAGCCGCAGGCTTCTGAAGCTTATCCTTCCTGGCCGAGTTTTCTAGGGGAGGAAACCCTTGAGCGTCAGAGTATGGCGTTTAAGGTGATAGCAACACCAGCACGACACCAGAACTTTCGGCGAAACGCAGAGTCTTTGGCGAATCGTTCGCAAATCGTTCGCGGGCCATCGGAAATCTCTGGTAAAGTCGAAGACAATGTGCTTCTGTAAAGGCCTGACACGGAAACTGAGAAGCAGTGCGATGGGGCATAGACAACCGGAGTTTTTGGACACTCCTGGGCCGCCAACTGCGCCGGTGACTTGGTGCCCAACACCCAGAAGTGATTTAGGGTTTAGGGTTTACAGTTTACGGTTTATAGGGTTTAGGGTTTAGGGTTTAGAGTTTAGGGTTTAGGGTTTAGGGTTTAGGGTTTAGGGTGAAGCTCGGTGCGAGGTCTCTTTTGTCTCAGACGCGTAGAAAGGCGGCGCGGTCTTGCAGCCAATTGGCGGTGTCGCGCACCCATTCGCTGGGCGCGCGGGCCCCCGGGGCCCCCCGGGGGCCCAGGGTAGCTCTCAAAATAAGGTTCCCTTTTTGGGGCCCCCTTATATATGTATATATATATATATATAGGTTTTTTTGGAGATTCTCTATTTATATATATATATATATGGCACGGCACCCTTCATGAAGGACTTCTCAAGGGGACCCGAATTTAGAGAGCTACCCAATAAGAGACTGGGCTCAGGCCTGCTGCTGCTTGGCCAAGATTTGTCGGGTTTAGGGAGGTTACTTGGGCTCGACTGCTCACCTTCCTACGTGAACAAGAAGCAAGCCCCTTCAAGTAGCTGTGAAAGCGCGGAAACACCCCACTGATCGTGTCAAAAAGCTTCAGAAATTAGACAGACCCAGCAGGGTATGATAGCTCACTCTGCTGCACTCCTCGTGCGATGCTGCGGCTCAAACCTCAACCTCGTGATGCCCTTTGAAAATGATTGGAAACCCTGCCCCAGCAGCAGCATCCCTGCAGATGTCAAAAGCAATCAAGATTCTCTCCCCACACCCAACATGGCTGATCCCCTTGATTATCAGGCCTATGTCCAACACCGAAGCTCTAAGACCAAGATCCCCAAGACCCTCAAATGCCCTAAAATCCTCAACCCTGGCCCTGGTCGGAAGAGACGTGTAGCCTGGCTTCATAGCTGCAGGCTCACACTCAGCTGGGCCGACAGGCCCCTGCCAACTTCGAAATTTCTAGTTAGCTTGAGGAGCTTTAGCATGCTTTAGAGCTGTAGCGTTTCAGGTTTCAGGGTTTGGGGCTCGAAGCTTAAGGGCCTTGGGGATTTGAGGCTTAGGGCTCAAAGGACTGTATGCTAGGGTCGTCAAGGTTTAAGGTTTAGGGATGAGGGATGTTTTAGGCTTCAGGCTCGAGTAGTTGGGCTTAGGGTGAGGGCTCGCTCGATGTCAGCAGGCATCCACTGAGGCAGGGGCACATCGACACAGACATTATCAGCTCAAGCGCAGGCTAAGCCGGATCCCATTGGGGGGGGGGGGAGGTGGGAGGGGAATTCTTCTGAGTTCGGGTCAAAAGCCAATGACATAAAGGTACAAGTATCAGTCTACAGTAAGTAGTAATTTCGGAAACCCCCATGTCACGAACAGGCTCAGCCTGCAACTGAGCATCAAGGCTGGCACACGTGCTGAAACTTTGAGCACGCTGCCACACTAGAAAGCTTCCAAAGCCGCAGCCAGCTAAAAAAGAAGCCTAAAAACCCTAAACCCTAAACCCTAAACCCTAAACCCTAAACCCTAAACCCTAAACCTCTCTTACCTATATATATTTAAACCCTATAGTCAGCAAATCGACCGGCCCTGTTGGTCACGCCCTAAGGGCAATCCTTCCAAATCGACCGGCCCTGTTGGGCACTCAAGGGTCTGGCCTTGTCCTGGCCCACGCGCGCGCGGCCTTGGCCTTGGCCTTGGCCCTTCCAGATCGACCGGCCCTGTTGGGCACTCAAGGGTCTGGCCTTGTCCTGGCCCACGCGCCGGCGGCCTTGGCCTTGGCCTTGCCCCTTCCAGATCGACAGGCCCTGTTGGGCACCGGCGGGTCCGGCCTTGTCCTGGCCCGCGCGCGCGGCCTTGGCCTTGGCCGTGGCCCTTCCAGATCGACCGGCCCTGTTGGGCACTCTTGGGTCTGGCCTTGTCCTGCCCCGCGTGCGGGCGGCCTTGGCCTTGTGGCCTTGGCCTTGGACTTGGCCCTTCCAGATCGATAGGTTCTGTTGGGCACTCGCGGGTCTGGCCTTGTCCTGGCCCGCGCGCGCGCGCCTTGGCCTTGGCCTTGGTGCTTCCAAATCGACCGGCCCTGTTGGGCACTCGCGGGTCTGGCCTTGTCCTGGCCCGCGTGCGCGCGCGCGGCCTTGGCCTTGGTCTTGGCCCTTCCAAATCGACCGGCCCTGTTGGGCACTCAAGGGTCTGGCCTTGTCCTGGCCCGCGCGCGCGCGGCCTTGGCCTTGGCGCCTGGTCTTGCTTTAAACCTTAGTGGCAGCAAATCGACCGGCCCTGTTGGTCAGGCTCTGGGGCCAATCCTTCCAGATCGACCGGCCCTGTTGGGCACTCAAGGTCTGGCCGTGTCCTGGCCCACGCGCGCGCGGCCTTGGCCTTGGCTTTGGCCCTTCCAAATCGACCACTCAAGGGTCTGGCCTTGTCCTTGCCCACACGCTTGGCCTCGGCCCTTCCAGATCGACCGGCCCTGTTGGGCACTCAAGGGTCTGGCCTTGTCCTGGCCCGCGCGCGCGCGGCCTTGGCCTGGGCCTTGGCCCTTCCAATTCGACCGGCCCTGTTGGGCACTCAAGGGTCTGGCCTTGTCCTGGCCCGCGCGCGCGCGCGCGGCCTTGGCCTTGGCCCTTCCAGATCGCCCCCCCTTTCCCGCCCCTCCCCCCCCCGGCTCTTCTTCTGGCCTCTGCGGGTCCATGACAGAGTGAGGTTGGAGGACAGGGCTTGCTGATGAAAAATGTAAACTTTTTTGTTTTGGGATTCTCTGGGTGGGTGGGTTTTTTTCGAGAGCCCAAACAGTTGCTCTACTAGAGATTGCTCGACCCGGAGCTGCTGAACCCTAAACCCTAAACCCTAAACCCTAAACCCTAAACCCTAAACCCTAAACCCTAAACCCTAAACCCTAAACCCTAAACCCTTAATCCCTAAACCCTAAACCCTAAACCCTAAACCCTAAACCCTAAACCCTAAACCCTAAACCCTAAACCCTAAACCCTAAACCCTAAACCCTAAACCCTAAACCCTAAACCCAAGCCTTGGGATGTTCCCCCTTACACAAAGTGTCCCCCCTATTATCATCCCTATCAAGGACTATTAGACTGTTTGTATGAGCCCCCCCCAAAAGAGGACACCACGTCTCCCCGAAACCCTAAACCCTAAACCCTAAACCTTAAAGCCTAAACCCTAAACCCTAAACCCGAAGCCCTAAGCCCTAAACCCTAGACTCTGAACCCCTACACCTTTTTCCCGGCTGCGGCCGAGGGCGGTCAGAATGCCCACGGTTGCCAGGGGACCGGCAGCAAAAAGGGGCAGCTCCTGGCAAGGGAGCCCAGAACCCCGCCCAGAAAGGAACACACCCTCAACCCTGGTTTAGTGCACTACAGGTATATTCCTGAGACAGCCCTAAACCAAACCCTAAACGCAAATTCCTAAACCTCTGACTCTGAACTCTGACTACACCATAAACATCCTTAAGCCTTAAGGGAGAGCTATGAGGTTTTCGCTTCGCCGGCAGGGAAACGTACGGGGCAAGAGATGGCGGCCGTACGCGGCCGTACCCTCAAAAAACAGGAGCACCGCAGAGAGTCTAGGATGGCCCTCAAAACCCTGTGAAAAATTAACCTCAGTATGGTCCTATCCCCAACAAGGGAACATGGTGAAATACCCCCAAGGGCCTACCGAGTAGTGACTCATGCACCGGATCCCATGGTTGATGGCGGATGCATCACAGATCTGCACAAGATTCGCGGTTCACATGACACGGCAACTAGCTTTCTGGAAGATATCTGGCCCCTGAAGTTGTGTGCCAAAACTGTGCGACTATGCCTCCAAGAAGTGGTAGGACTCCAGTATGAGAACCCCCTCCCCCCCCCAGCCCCGAGGCTGCGTTCAGTAAATCTCCTTTTCTTCCCAAAGCTCACTGGCCGTCGACTCAACTTTGTCGGAGTCTCCGAGGTCTGCATTATCGCGGGAAGTCATCCCCAAATGTTCCTAAAGCCAGCCCCAAAGCATTCCGAAGGCTGGGGCTTGAGGGTCGTGAAGATCAGGTAGTTAGAAGGGATCACAAAGGATTGTTGGGGGTTTAGGGTTCAGGGTTCAGGGTTTAGGGTTTAGGCTTCAAGGCTTAGGATGTGTAGCTGGGCTTATTCGGGCTCTCCGGGATGCTTCGGTCTGCCGCGCCAGGAGGCGGGGCGCGTCATTAGCTGGAATCCATGGGGCCTTGCGGCAGATGGCTCACAAACTCCCGTCATGCGGGGCAGTTCCCTAGATTAGGGGTCCCTTCTTTGCGGGGGGGGTCCTTGTTATTAGGGCGCCATACATTTTTAGGGGATTGAAAGGGACCCTGATTTAGAACTACACATGTGCCCTTCATACTTCGCGGCCAGAGAGTGCTCTCAAACTGACTCAGGGTCCGGCCCACACCCTAGGCTTCTGCGCCACGGGTCCTTCGTGTGGGGCTGCGTCGGGGTCAGGTTGAGGGGTTAAGGGTTCCGGGAAGAATCGGCAGTGCTCTGCTGTACATAACTGTCGCAGTAGTGCTGGAATACGGTACGGGCGCACCTTCTACACGAGTGTGGAAGAGCCTCCCTGCTCTGCGTCTGCAGAGGCACAGAAAGTAAGACGTTAACTCCTTCTCTGAAGTAGGACCACCGAAGAGGCCGTCCACCAAAGGCGAATCCCTAAACCCTAACCCCAGACGTGTGAGCCGACCTATCGGCACAACTATTTAGGGTTTAGGTTTAAGATTGAGGATTAGCGGATTTCCGTTGGGATGTTCCCCTCTTCCTAACACAATCCTTCATAGGGATTGTAGTACCCCTGTTATTAGTCCCTACTCAGGACTGTTAGCATAAGGGGCACATCCCAAGATTTCCCCTTTTGTTTAGGGTTTAGGGTTTAGGGTTTAGGGTTTAGGGTTTAGGGTTTTTTGAAGAGCAGGGGCCGTTGCGTCCTGGGCCCCTTGGCCGCCACAAGGAAGTCATGACTTCGCCGGGCCTGAGCTTCTTGGGCTTCGCCTTTTAGGTACCCTTTTTGGGCATGTTCCCCCCCTTAGACTAAGAGTTCTTAAAAGAGATTAAAATCGGGGGTACTATAATCCCTATTAAGGACTGTCAGCATAAGGGGGAACATCCCAAGCTCGAAGTCTTTAAGACATTTCGTAGCCAGAGTTCCTTAGTTGCACAATATGGGGGTGCTTCGAGATGATAAAGTGGTACCTAGGACCTAGTTAGAGGACACTGAGCTGATCTCGGGTACGAGGGCCGGTAGCTTGAAGCACGTAGGGTGCGGTGTTCACAGGCACCGCGCTGTAGCAACCTGATGTGCACAGGCTCCAAACCTTAAGCCCTGACCTAAAACCCCCACCCCCCCAACCCCTAAACCCCTAAACCCCTAACCCCTTTTAACCCCCTTCCCTATAACCAAACCCCTACAAATACCCAACAAAAGCAAAAATAAAACAAACAGAAAAAACCATGAAAACACAACGAAAACACAAAACACACACACACACACACACACACACCCAAAACACACACACACACACACACACACACACACACACACACACACACACACACCCACCCACCCACACACACACACACACACACACACCCACACACACACACACACACACACACCCACACACACACACACAAAACACACACACACACACACACACACAAAACACACACACACACACAAAACACACCTGTGACCCCGACAGACGCAGAACACCATCCTGGGATCCCGGGCCCGTGTGATTCGCACCAGGGGCCGCGGGATGGCCAAAGCAACTGGCAGCAAGGGCTTCCGTGCGTTGAGGGTCTTTAGAGTTTTTAGGGTTTTTTCAGTCTTTTCAGGGTGTTTAGGGTTTTTGAGGGTTTTGAGGGTTCGAGGGATTAGATTTCGCATCCAGGGTTTTGGGCTTTGGGCGTAGGGTTGCCGGGAAATATACCTATGACTTCACAGGGGCGCAGCTGAAGTCACCCTAAACCCTAAACCCAAAAAACCCCAAACCCCAAACCCCAAACCCTAAACCCTTACAGGCTGCCAGCAAAGCCACGCCAATGGAGAGTCGCGGAGCTTGAGATCAGCTTGTAAGTGACCCAGAAATCAGAAACCCGACACGTCCGGGACTTTCCATCTCATGTGCCTGCCAGTGCTCGGGCGGAGCTCTCGATGGGCTCGGGAGCCTCGCGTGGCAGGCGAAGGCATCCCATACGAAGAGCCCTCCCCAAACTGCACATCAGCAAAGTAACCCTAAACCCTAAACCCTAAACCCTAAACCCTAAACCCTTAGAAGCTACTTCACCCACGTCAGCCAGTCTGCCGAGTCTCTTCCTGCTCACAAGGCTCACAACTACAGTTTTTGACTATGCGAGTGCTGAAAAGACTCCTTTCCGCAACGCGCCCCCTTTTCAACTCGGCTATGTTTGCTCCTGCCGGTGCTTCACAGCTTCGATGACAGCCGTGGAATCGTCTTCCTGGATACGTGCGGGGCTATAGGGCTACCGCCGTCGCGCTCGGCAACAGCCGCAGCAAAGCCTGCGGTTGCAGCGCGCTCTTTGAACCACATGCCCTCCGGTGAGTGCCGTGTGACTCCGTCAAAGATCGTCGCTAAACGCTGGGAGGACATCATGCTGGCTTCAACGCTTTGATTTACCACCATCTTTTGCATGATAAGTTGGTTCTTTGGCACGCTTGAGATTCGCCGCGCCAGCTCTAGCGCGCGCTCATCCAGTTTGTGGGCAGGGACGGACTCCAAAACTAGTCCCATCTTCGCTGCCTCCACTCCCGAGACCAAGTCGCCAGTGAGCAGCATTCTCTTGGCTTTCTCGGGACCTAACCTGTAGCACCACATGGCGGTTGTCGGGCAGCCCCATACGCGGGCGGGCGGATAGCCGATGCGCGCATCGTCGGCCATCAGAACCAGGTCGCAGCAAAGCGCAATGTCACTGCCACCGGCAACTGCAAAACCGTGGACTTTACAGATTGTCGGCTTCAACGACGTCCACAACGACATGAAGTTTCGGGTGTTCGCCCACATGAACTTGAAGTCAACTGTGGGATCCCAGGGCATGTCTTGATTTGGAGAAGCCTCGCCCCCAACCGGAGAGCCTTCGGAATACTTCTTCAGGTCGTAACCAGAGCAAAAGGCTCGTCCTGAGCCCTGAAGTATGATTACGTGCACTCGGTCGTCTTCATTCGCCCACGCCACACAGGCTTCTATCTCCTGCGGCATGTGATCGTCTATTGCGTTCAAACGTTCGGGACGATTCAGTGAGATGGTGGCAATCCGAGACGCCGCGTCTACATCGTAGCATACACTGCGAAGGGCCATGGCAAAATCCAACCCCGCAGTATCTTTGCGCAGACACGGCTAGAGAGCGAGCGGCTCCTTGCACACGTGTGAAGCTGTCAAGAAGCGTTGACCCAAAAGCTCACAGTGAAAAGCCCATGAACCCACAACCTCCCAGAATCAAATCCAGCGTTCTGAAAGCCCTGAGTGCCTGCCTCACCAGGGCTGAAACGCGTCATCTTGAAGGGCATCACGGGAAGCATCTTGGCATCTCCGGAAACTCTAAAAGCGCTCGTGGTCATAGCAAGGAACCCCAAACCCCAAACCTCTCCACCTCTTGGCTCGGAGTACTTGTAGCAGGATCCCAAAGGGATCCTGGCACTGAGTGGCAGGCATCGAAGTCCAGCCTCCCATCTTTGCCCTGCCAGGAACTGGCAGGAGCTTCACACCCTTTAGGGTTTAGGGTTTAGGGTTTAGGGTTTAGGGGTTCAGGGTTCAGGGGTTCAGGGTTTAGGGTTTAGGATCCCGCCGTGCGCCTTTGGTAGCTTATAGTTCTCGACCATCACGTGGGGAGCCTCGGTGCAAGACGTTACTGAAACCCTAAACCCTAAACCCTAAACCCTAAACCCTAAACCCTAAACCCTGAACCCTGAACCCTGAACCGCAGGTCTGTCTCCACAGTCACACTTGCAGGTGCCTGGCTTCCTAAAAAAGATGTGTCGAGTCTGCACAGCCGCCCGAATGAACGTCATGCTTTGCCACCCCGAAACGAAGTTCGCATATGTAGGGTTCTATAGGGGTTTACAGGATTGCATAGAGGGGGGGGGGGGGGGGGGGGAACCCTAAACCCTAAACCCTAAACCCACCTTAAACCCTTCTTACAGGGGCCTGAAATGGGTTGAAAGAAGGGGCCGAAAGTGCAACAAGAGGCATACGGCTTATGGGCACAGGCTCAATTCTTTCTTCTCCAATGACCAAGGGGAAAAAAGGTTATAAACTTTAACATTCCTACTAAATAAGGAAACCCACAAAGTTTAAAGTTCAACTAAAGGCGAAGCAAGTATTACACATTGCACATGAAAGTACAAAGTGACACTTCCGAAGAGAAAGTCATCGAATCACAAACAGCACCCTGTAAAGGCACAGTACTCAATGATGGGTTCGGGGCGCTTCTGATACAACCTCAGAAAAACAATCATAAACCCTGCGACCCTAAACCCTCATTGCCTAACCGCGGCCGTAGTCCTTCTGTGTCTTTAAGTGGGCAGTCCACCAAGCCTTCACCTTTTTACACCTGGGCAATGCATATGCCATATGCCAGGGGCCGAGGCTCCGACTGTGCTGTGGACTCGTGCCACCCGGCTAACCCAAACTGCAAACTCATCGGAACATGAAGTCAACTGTCAGCCCGACTAGAAGCTCCAAGCACAACCTGATCTGCGATCAACGAAAGCGTGGCGCCACTCTGTTGGGCCTTGTCCTTGTCCGCATTGGCCTCCAGCAGGAGCCGTACAACCTCCGACTGTCCTTCCTGAGCCGCGACGAACAAAGGGGTGGCGCCGTTCTGCTTGGCCATGTCCTTGTCTGCATTTGCCTCCAGCAAAAAGCGGACAACCTCCAACTTTCCACTTCGAGCTGCGATACAACCTCCGACTGTCCTTCCTGAGCCGCGACGAACAAAGGGGTGGCGCCGTTCTGCTTGGCCATATCCTTGTCTGCACTTGCCTCCAGCAAACAGCGGACAACCTCCAACTTTCCCCTTTGAGCTGCGATGTGCAGGGGGGTGACACCATCTCCCTTGGCCGTGTCCTTGTCCGCATTGGCCTCCAGCAAGAGCTGTACAACCCCCGACTGTCCCTCCTGAGCCGCGACGAACAAAGGGGTGGCGCCGTTGTGCTTGGCCATATCCTTGTCTGCATTTGCCTCCAGCAAACAGCGGACAACCTCCAACTTTCCACTTTGAGCTGCGATGTACAAGGGGGTGACACCATTTTTCTTGGCCTTGTCCTTGTCCGCATTGGCCTCCAGCAGGAGCCGTACAACCTCCGACTGTCCTTCCTGAGCCGCGACGAACAAAGGGGTGGCGCCGTTCTGCTTGGCCATATCCCTGTCTGCATTTGCCGCCAGCAAACAGCGGACAACCTCCAACTTTCCACCTTGAGCTGCGATGTACAGGGGGGTGACACCATCTTCCTTGGCCTTGTCCTGGTCCGCATTGGCCTCCAGCAAGAGCCGCGCAACCTCCAACTGTCCTTCCTGACCCGCGACGAACAAAGGGGTGGCGCCGTTGTGCTTGGCGGCCATATCCTTGTCTGCATTTGCCTCCAGCAAACAGCGGACAACCTCCAACTTTCCACTTTGAGCTGCGATGTACAAGGGGGTGACACCATTTATCTTGGCCTTGTCCTTGTCCGCATTGGCCTCCAGCAGGAGCCGTACAACCTCCGACTGTCCTTCCTGAGCCGCGACGAACAAAGGGGTGGCGCCGTTCTGCTTGGCCATGTCCTTGTCTGCATTTGCCTCCAGCAAAAAGCGGACAACCTCCAACTTTCCACCTTGAGCTGCGATGTACAGGGGGGTGACACCATCTCCCTTGGCCGTGTCCTTGTCCGCATTGGCCTCCAGCAAGAGCTGTACAACCCCCGACTGTCCCTCCTGAGCCGCGACGAACAAAGGGGTGGCGCCGTTGCTCTTGGCCATATGCTTGTCTGCGTTTGCCTCCAGCAAACAGCGGACAACCTCCAACTTTCCACTTTGAGCTGCGATGTACAAGGGGGTAGTGCCACTGTGCATGGGCTTGTCCTTATCTGCATTTGCCCCCAGCAAGAGCCGTACAACCTCCAAATGTCCACCTTTAGCTGCGATGTACACGGGGGTGGTGCCACTGTGCATGGGCTTGTCCTTATCTGCATTTGCCCCCAGCAAGAGCCGTACAACCTCCAAGCGTCCAGTCTGAGCGGCGATGTACAAGGGGGTGGCACCATCTTTCGTGGCCTTGTCCTTGTCCGCATTGGCCTCCAGCAAAAGACGTGTCACATCCAAGCGACCACTCCCAGCTGCCACATACAATGCTGAATCTGGGTCTTGGGGCCTCTGGAGAAGCTTCTCCACTTCTCGGGTTCGGCCGTTGCTGGCAGCCTCCCGAAGCGCTGTTGTTTGTGCGCTAGATGTCGGGCAGAAGGGTAGAAGAACGACCTGAATCTCGCCGGTCCTCAGGGTGCGACCGTCGTCTAGAATCGCATTATCACACGAATATACCAGCTTTTGCCTGAACCTCGACAGCCCGCACGTGCTTTGCAAGTGTTGCTTCAATCCACGAGCTGCAGACATCCCTTCAGGAAGCGTCTCGTGAAAGCGTGCGAAGGCGTCCGAGTCGAGAGCATCGAGTACTTCCCCGGACATTGCCGCCCGAATGGTCAGCACGCTTGGCCGCATTGCCTGTTTCTTATGAAGACGGCTTGGAGCCGGGGAACTTGAGCCAAACTGGCGTGAGCCGTCGCCATTTTACCTAAACCCCAAACCCAATAAAATCCTGCCATGAAGATGTCAGATTTCTGGGTAGGAAGTCCCGCCCTCCCAAGCCTGCTCCGCTGTCCAGACCATCTTCACATCGTCGTACCCTCGGTAGCGAGTCTCACACACTTGCTGCAAATCCTGACCGTGAACCCTACAACCCTAATCCCATGTAAACCCTAAGCCTGAACCTGAACCCTAAGCAGTCAGCCAACCCTAAACACGAAGCCCCAGCAAGCTCCCGGCGATGGACGGGTAAGATGGTCTTGTCGGACCTCAAACGTCAGGTGTTGCGGGGCTTCGAGCTCTTTTTGTGTGGTGGAGGGGGTGGAGAGGGGGGGTGGGGGAGGGATTCTCGCAGTTTAGCGTTTAGGGACACAGGTTTTTGGGGAGAATCGGAAGAATCAACTCATCCGACGTGCACGTGCAGTGTCTAAACTCGCAACACCAGGAGGTTCAAGAAGGCAGAACGCCTCCCACGCGCGGGGATGTTTTGGGTTTCAAGACTCAGGTGACGACGCCCTGAGATTTCTCGGGCTTGGCTTGCTACTGAAAACCTCCCGCAAATCCTAAACCCTTTCGATGTCACAGGCCGGGTTGTTTTCCTATGACAAGTGACACACACACACACACACACACACACACACACACACACACACACACACACAGACAGACTTTTCACTTAGAAGGCCATCCGGTGTTCAGGGCTTTTGGGCTTTGGGATCCCAGGTCTCCGGCTCCAGGGGGAGGCTGATGCCCGGGATCTGAAAGCGCGTCCCGACGACGCCGCACTTGCCTGGGCAACACCCCACCGTGGAAACCAGCCTGGGCCTTAATATAGGGGTCGGAAGAATCAAATATACTGTTCCCTTAGTGTCCCTTGATACTTATATTCATTCTAAACACCCCAAAACTCTATTCTGACGAAAGCCGCGTCTGATCTACAAGCCATTCGTGTTGATGCTCGTCTGTCGGATTGCGGTAATTCGCAGGTTCTCCGCATCACCCCTATCCAGGTTTGTAATGTGGTTGAGACTGTTAGCGCAAGCCTTATGACCATGCCGCTGTCGTCTTCCAAATTTCGCCTTCCTTGGGTTGATCAGATTTTTGATCTCCGTAATGATTGCAATGAAGGGGTCCACAGAAACATCCCTTGCATCACCCATGTCACGCTATAATGGAATTCTATGACTGCCAAGAAATTCGCGGTGCCCTTCCACCCAAGCCTGGACCGCTGAAGCGCTTCAATGCAGCTTGCAAAAGACTTACGAGGTTGAAAGACTGCTTTGAAAGACTCAAACAGAGCCAGCTTCTTGAAGATTACTTCCGCACACATGTGCTTGAACCTGTGTGGGCTCCTGCTGAAGAATGTGTTTGCTGCAAGAAACTTCTCAAATACTCGATTGAACCTAGGAATCTCACACGTAGATGTCCTAAGCCGCATGATATTCCTGTACAGATTCTGGACCTTTGGTCACAGAAATATGATGCAATGCTTTACTGCTGCAATCCATCTGCAGCAAGTTGTAGATTTGTTCAGTGCTCTGAATTCTTGCTGAGGATGCAGATGACATCTTCTTTTCTTATTGACTTCGACAGGCTGTCGCCCGCATAGCACAAAACCCTATTCTAACTATTATGGCCCCTATATTAAGCGGCCTAAACCCTAAACCCTTTAAGAAACAGCTTTCGGTACTGGTGTCTCGGACACAGCCACAAAGGTTGTGGACAAAGCTGAGAGGACTGGAGCCTGAACTGAGCTCCACACCCTCTTCCTGGCAGCGCAAGTGACAACGGAGGCGCGCTGTTTAGGGTTTAGGGTTTAGGGTTTAGGGCTTCATTCTGACCTCCTAACAAGCCTTCAGTTCTACTGGCTGGTTCTTAGTGGGGTCAATAAGGCAGAAGAGCCATGTGCCTGAAGCACCGCGTCATCGTCAGAGTCGCAGACGAAAAGCCTCCCGAAGCAAAGCCCAGATTCTTGCGCTTCGGCGCGCCGGCTCTTTTTTCTGGCACATCCATGAAAACGATGGGCTACTGCGGTAAACCCTCAACCCTCAACCCTCAACCCTCAACCCTCAACCCTCAACCCTCAACCCTCAACCCTCAACCCTCAACCCTCAACCCTCAACCCTCAACCCTCAACCCTCAACCCTCAACCCTCAACCCTAAGCCAGCAACTCCCTGAACGCCATGATGGGGAGTCCAGACGGCTCCTTCTGCCCAACACGCGGAGCCCGTAGGGGCTAAAACTCCGCACCTGAGTCTTCCAAGGAAGGGTTTAGGGTTTATGGCTGGGGAGCTTGGAGTCTTCAAGGTCACCGCCTCTGTAGGGCTGTAACTTGAGGTTTCGGGACGTTGGCGGGTTTCAAGTAAGGGGCTATCCGGGTGTTTGAGCGACCTTCCAGCCATCCCTAAACTACTTCTTGCATGATTTCAGAAGAATATCCTACCATCAGGCCCAAAGCATCTGCACAAGTCCTGTACCAAGTTACGCGCCCGAACACGCACGCTACAAGAGCACAGTTCCCCAACGCTGTGCTCCTGGTTTCGGCCTTTGCCTTGCTGGGCGCTGGGGTAGCCTCCATGTCCCCTGAACGAGGGACATGTCCTACGACTCCTAACCTCCTCCACGTTGTTGCAGCCCTGCATCCAACTTATTGCGTTACCATGACATGGTGTGAAACAAAGGATAGGGCCGGGACTCAATATGACACAAGGTGACACAAGGCGGGACCTGAAACCTGCAATAGCAGCTGCTGGGTCAGTCAGTCCCCAACCTGCTTCTCTCGCAGAATGTGCTCATCCAGGAGCTTCCGGGGCACGTGTGGATCCGCAATGTCCTTAGAGTCTGAGAGTCTCAGAGTCTGACGACGGTCGGGTGCTGCAGAAGCATGGCTTCATGTGGAATATTAGTTATGTTCGAAGCATTCAGCAAAGCAGCGTCCGGACCCTCCGGTATGCCATCCTCTGGATCACCGCCTAGCAAGGCTGGGACTAGGGCTTGATCGCATAAGGCTTCGGATGTCGGGCTTTGTAACTCAGGGCTGAAGTTCTGACATCAGCGAGCTGCACTCGGCATGAGATTAGAAAATGCCCCGCGGCTTGAAAGTACCTTGCGTGGGAGCCAAGAACTCTACAGCCGCGCAAGTGGCTACAGCATCAGTCACAGGCCAGAGTCTAGTAGGTCCCGGCATGTAGAATGTAGATTCCCCATCGATCAATTGGAGTGGGCCGACCTACCTTTGGAGGAGAGTACCGGGCATCAAGAGAACTCCTCCCATGCACCATGCCCCCGGCCTGGTAGGTGCATTGCTTCGTTGAGCTGTGCCCTCAGCAGCAGAGCGCCGAACAGACCGGCGCGGAAGGGCCGCAAAAGCTTGCAGGCTTCAGGATAACTCACAGCTGCGTCAACTGCAGATGAGCTTTGCTAAGGTGTCACCAGAGTTCTTTCAAGCCACCCTTCCGTGTCGGAGTAGAAGGCGGATGGCCATGACACCTTAAGTCCACGCAACGGCCACACATGAGTCGTCATCAGTTCGACCAAGCACCCACAGCAACGCCTACGACAAGCTCCGCTTAAGGCATGGGAAATTCTGCACTTGACATGCTGATCGGAAGTTTGAACGGCTGCACGCGGGCACCACAGCTGCTATGCTGCTGCAAGTGCCAAACTCTCAGCGTAGAGCTCGGTCCAGCACCACGTTGTGGGGCATGATGTCGCGGCGACAGGCGAGGGGGGTGGGGGAGGCGACTTACACAGTATGATGTATGTACAGGGGTCTCTTAGAGAAAGCTAGCCTGAAGATTTCACGACAGAGGGTCATGATGTGAGCATCACGGTGGTTCCCTTACGGGGCGCGAACCAAGAGTCTATGTGACCAGATCGCCACAAGAGAACTCGCCCCTACTGAGAGAGGAATCTTCGATGCATGAGATCTGTGGGACCTGGTGTTTCAGCATGCTGGCCCAAGAAGATACAAAGTTCGTGGATGTGTCGGATATGTGCAAGCAGCTCTTAGTTGGGGCTCCAACCTACAAGGAGCTGAGCCGTGCAAGCAAGTCGTGGCAATAACTCAGGGTTAGCCCCTAAACCCTAAACCCTAAACCCTGAACTAAGTGCCATGATCTCGGCTGCAAAGCAGCGGCAGACATGCAGATGCCAGATGCGGCAGGGGTTGACCCTGACTGTGCTTCATACCCTCCACCCTACATATCCCGTAGCAATCCTAAGCCTAAGCCCAAACTTCACAACGCTGCGTTCCCCCCCCCCCCCCCCAAAAAAAAAAAAAAGAAGAAAAGCTTGAAGCTTGCAGTTGTGTTGAGCTTGCCTCGCCCTAAGGCCCTAAGGCTCCTGGCAGCCACCGAGCAGAGGAGAATGCCCTGAAAGTGCAAAGTTAACAAATGTACAGAGCGAGGGATCAGGGGCTGGGGACGGTTCAGGGTTGAGATTGAAAAGGCTTGGGGCGGTAGAATCAGCAGATAACAGATCGAAATGCTGCGAACCTGGCAGCCTGAAACCCTGTAAATGTTCACCCCCCCCCTTCAGATGCAACCATCCACCTCCCACGTCTCCTTAGGTAGTCGAGCTCACATCGGACTCTTCCACATCTTTCTCCTCTATGCGTGGCCCGTCCTCTCAGGCTGCAGGGCTTACGGTTTAAGGGTCTTAGGGGTTTTTAGGGCTTATTTAGGGTTTAAACAAGGGTTTGTATAGGGTTTATTTAGGGGTTTGTGTGGTTTATTTAGGGTTTATATTAGGTTTTTGGGGGGCTTTAGGGTTCTTAGGCACCTTCTGGCTTGGGCGAGGCGGCTGGGCAGTCCTCTTGCAGGAGATCGACTTCCACGATGTGCACGAGCTGCCGGCGTGACCTCTGCAAATTCACATAGGGTTTAGGGTTTAGGGTTTAGGGTTTAGGGTTTAGGGTCTTGGGGGGCGGGACCCCGAACTCCTCGTGCTCTGGATTTGGGCCTGCCCTCCCCGTGCCACTTACAAGCCCTAAGCCCTACACCGGCCCCCAACGGTCAACCCGAAGCAAGTGGTGAGTTCTCAAAATTCGGGTCCCTTTTGGGGGGACCAATTGGAGGTTTACGAAATTAGGGGTACCTTATTGGGTTCCTTGTTCTAAGCTTTCGGAAACCCTAAACCCTAAACCCTAAACCCTAAACCCTAAACCTCCCTATTTTTCAGAACTGACCATGTCGATGCAAGCATTCTGTGGCCCTGGCGAGGTGTCACTTTGTCCGCCAGGCTGCAAGCGGTGAGAGGGTTTGGGGTTTAGGGTTTAGGGTTTAGGGCGTAACTTATTTGTGTTACCTACTTGGAGGTTCATGGGTGCTTATAACCCCAAATTACAATAAGTCTACTTTTTACCTAAGCCTTAGGGGACTATAGGGGGCCAAGTAGGTTCGTGTTAGCGCAACAGTCCCTAAACCCTAAACTTCCCTAAGCCCTAAACCCGAAACCCTAGCCGTCAGCTCTCATCCTTCAATGGCGAGCCGACTGCAACCAAAACCCTCTGCCTGATAGGTGACGCTGCGATCTCGCTTGGTCCGCTGTCCGCGCTCCTGCACATCGAGGGACAATGAGGGGCCCTTATAAGGAACCTTGGGAGCAGTGTTGGGGCTACTTAGGTATATAGAGACTGTATGAGGTATATGTAGGGGTTGTGGCGTTGTATTGAGGACTAAGATGAATTAAGGGTTCCTTCTGGGGGTCATGATATCCCATAAGCCCAGCCTTGAAGCCTTGAGGGTCTCAGCTTTCCAGGCATTTTAATTCAAAACTCATTGTTTCGTTTTTGGCTCCCTGCCCCCCCGGGATCCCCGGACGACGAAGTTCGCATCATTGCGGGTAACCCAAATCAATAGGGGTATCCCGAATTTTTTGGACATTTGCATAGTTGTGGGTAGTGTTGCTAAAAAGCAGCGCAACATTTAACCCTCTAACACCTGATATCCAACTCCTGCATCAAGCTAAACACCGAAACTCACGAGTTCCTAAAGCAGTAGTTGTGCCATGATCGCAAACTTCGCTCCTCCGGTCTCGCGGCATCAGCCTGTCCAGCTGCCTGATACATGTGGAGCTCTGTTGGGTGAGGGCCAGGGTGGCTAGGATTCAGGAATGGGGTTTGGGTGCTTCCTGAGCAATTCAAAGGCGCTCTTTTTTGGTCTCCGTTCTCATATACTGCTTCTCTTAGGGTGCAATAATTTTAACAACGGCCATAATGTAGCTACCAGTACTTTCTTCCTCTTTTCGCCAAGATACTTGTAGAAATCATATTTGTTGTTCTGGTTGCCTGTACGAAAAACTCGATAAGTGCTAACTCCAAGCACACTCAGCAGACAACGTATCTCGTGTTCCTTCCTATACCATCGGAACAGCAAACCACACAACAAATCCCCGTTGATTACCCCGGCCCCCCCCCCCAACCCCCCACCCCCATGGTGCTGATCAACGATCCCTTCCGGTCTCTCTGCGCGCGCGGCAGGCCTTCAGCTTGTCGTGGTCAAACTGCAGCACCTTGCGGCGTCGGAGATTGGAGTTTAGGGTTTAGGGTTTAGGGTTTAGGGTTTAGGGTTTAGGGTTTAGGGTTTAGGGGAGACACCTGGAAATCCAAACCCGAACCCCACGAAGCTCCAAATCCCTGCAAAAGAATTCCGACGCCGGGCCTTCCATCTCTTCTCCATGTCACTCAGTTTCTGCTCCAGGCCACTCCTGCAAAGTGGCTTGGCGCTTGGGTGTTTCTGAAGGCCCTTAACTGGGGGTTTCTGGGCTTCGGGTCTAGGGTTTTGGGGTTTGGGGCCCCTGGGCTTTCGGTGACAAGGGAAACATTAGCCGCAGTCATCGCAGGCGCAAGGCCATCGCAGCGTTGGGGCGAGCAGGGCTCAACTGGCTCAGGGTTTAGGGTTTAGGGTTTAGGGTTTCCGGTATCTACTGTAACTTGTTGAACGAAGGCCATGGGTTTGGGGCTTCGAGTTGCAAGAAACGGTTGGGATGAATTTGCACACCAACTTCAGCCGCGGGGGGAAAAACCCAAATCAGAAGGATGTCAGAAGTATTGCTGCAGTGCAAACACTGGCATCATGCAGGTCGTCACGCTTCAGGTTTGCTGGTACCCGTATCTTGGCAACACATTGAAAGCAATGCGATTCTGGGCTTGAGACACCTCCATTCAACAGCTTATTATCCGGGGTCTCGTAGGTTGCACGCCTCCTACAGCGCAAACCCCAAACCCTCAACCCTCAACCCAAGCCCGAATTCCGCCCGAAATGCTCATCCCTGAACCACAAGCCCCAGTTGAACCCTGGCCCTAAACCCTGACCGTAAACACAGAACCTTCCAACCTGGAAAGGGGGCGCACATCTCACCCAGTCCCCACGCAGGCCTCTCTCTCTCGAGGTTCACCACCTCTAACCTCCGGTTGGGCTAAGCTTCTGGCTCGAGCTCGAAGATGTTTGTCTTATGGCATCGGCGATTTTAACTTCGGATTCTGACAGTAGCGACGATGCATAGCTTCCCAACTCTCACTGCTTCACTCAGAACTAGTACTATGATAACCCTAAACCCTAAACCCTAAAGCCTAAAGCCTAAACCCTAAATCATGCTCTCTTTGCTTCTGACGGGCAAGCTGTGTCCGCTTCGGCTGTGGCTTCTGCTGTGCTAGAGGCCACAAACCCCATAAAGCTTTTAGCTCTAGGGTTTATTGAGCTTAGAATCCAGGTCATGGGGGGTTTAGGGTTTAGGGTTTGGGTTTAGGGTTTAGGGTTTAGGGTTTAGGGTTTAGGGTTTAGGGTTTAGGGTTTAGGGTTTAGGGTTTAGGGTTTAGGGTTTAGGGTTTAGGGTTTAGGGTTTAGGTTGTAGGGTTTAGGGTTTAGGGTTTAGGGTTTAGGGTTTAGGGTTTAGGGTTTAGGGTTTAGGGTTTAGGGTTTAGGGTTTAGGGTTTAGGGTTTAGGGTTTAGGGTTCAGCATCTCAAGTCCAAGCATTCACTAGTCAAGCAGCTTGTCAAGCGTTGGAAAAAAAAAACACCCACCCAAGAAACCCATAACATTGATAAAATACACAGTTCACTCAATACATTCCCAGTAGTTAGTTTTTAACGGACCCAAAACCCGAAATCTAATTTAAGACCCACAATAGGCCCTTTATGCTCTTAGGGCCCTAAACCCTACGGTTTAAAAGCCCCTGTCGGTGAAGGCTCGGTTTTCGTCGAAAATCCGGAAAACGAGAGGCCACCCAGAACCGTCGATTTCAGTACTAAAAAATCGCATTTTATAAGGGACCCGGGGTCAACCGGGGGTAAGGGACCCGGGGTCAACCGGGGGGGGGGTGGGGGGGGGTGGGGGCGGGTGGGGGGGTTGGGTTGGGGGGGGGGGGGGGGGGGGGGGGGTGGGGGGGGGGGGTGGGGGGGGGTGGGGGGGGGGGGTGGGGGGGGGGGGTGGGGGGGTGGGGCCGAGAAATTCGCCCTGCTTGAAGCTCCCCGAAATTCGACTTTTGAGGCCCCCCGAAATTCACCGTTGCAGACTTTTGAGGATTCACCTTTGACTTTTGGGGGGCACGTTGCCGACCGCCCCGAAATTCACCGTTGCCGACTTTTGAGGACCCCCCGAAATTCACCGTTGCCGATTGAGAGGCCCCCCGAAATTCACCGTTGCAGACTTTTGAGGATTCACCGTTGCCGACTTTTGGGGCCCCCCGAAATTCACCGTTGCCGACTTTTGAGGCCCCCGGAAATTCACCGTTGCCGACTTTTGAGACCCCCCGAAATTCACCGTTGCCGACTTTTGAGGCCCCCCGAAATTCACCGTTGCCGACTTTTGAGGCCCCGAAATTCACCGTTGCCGACTTTTGAGGCCCCCCGAAATTCACGGGGCCTCAAAAGTCGGCAACGGTGAATTTCGGGGGGGCCTCAAAAGTCGGCAACGGTGAAATTCACCGTTGCCGACTTTTGAGCCCGAATTCACCGTTGCCGACTTTTGAGGTGCCCGAAATTCACCGTTGCCGACTTTTGAGGTGCCCGAAATTCACCGTTGCCGACTTTTGAAAGCGAAATTCACCGTTGCCGACTTTTGAATTAGGGTTTAAATTATCATATGATAGAGAGGTTCAGGGTTTAGGGTTTAGGGTTTAGGGTTTAGGGTTTAGGGTTTAATTAGGGTTTGGGCACCTGACCGTCAACCCCAAACTTTTCAACACAGTCGGCCTGAGGCTCTCTTCTGCCTTCTTCCGCTCGGCATCTGCCTCGCGGGATGGAGGCGATATTGACCCAGAATCCTAAAAAGTCTTGAAACCCCCGGCTCTGTTCTCGAAGAAGACCCTTGATGTTCTACATTATTCAATAAGGTATGTTCACATTCATAAAGTCTCGAACCCCCCCCCACCCTTTCTCTGTTAGCATATTCAGCCCAAAGAAGACCCTAATTATTAGGCATTCCCCAACATGCCATGTTCATAGATTGGGGGGTGCTGCCTTGCGAAGGTGACGCTTGTCCTCCTCCTGCGCAGGTGAAAAGACTGGAAGTGCCGAACGCAGGGGCCTCTGCAACAGACAGTCTCACTGTGGAAGCATCTGCAGAAGCATTCGCCGCGTTTAACCTTTTTTCTGCAGCTCAGAACGGACTGTACAGTGGGTCTGCCCACACGACATCGCGCCGTGATGCTGGCGAAGCTTCCATTCTTGAGACAAGCGTTGGTCTCCGGGCTCCAAAACGCTCTGAGGCTTAAGCTACCAGGCGAGACGACGCCTGGGAGATGCAAGAAAACTGGCCGGTGAAACCGTCCGTCTTCACCCTGCTTTAGCTCTTCTTCAGCTGCCTGACAAGGGGCCCCAACACGAGCAGTCCCTAAACCCTAAACCCTGAACCCTGAACCCTGAACCCTAAACCCTAAACCCGTAACAGACCATTGAAGCGACAGAGCAAGACATGAACCCCCCCCCTCGGGCCTTCGGACAATCACGGCCATGGCCTCGACGGTTTAGGGTTTAGGGTTTCGGGTTAAGGGTTCAGGGTTTAGGGTTTAAGGGTTAAGGGTTAAGGGTTAAGGGTTTAGGGTTTAGGGTCGGCCCCAAAAGGTACTCGATAGGAAAGTCAGGCGCTTGTTCAACGGTCCAGTGCAGCTAGGCTGCTGTCACCATGGCCAGGCCCAACCCAAGCAGCGCCACCGAGCCTGCGCTTTCCAAGATGCCCTCAGCAGTCCCTTTTGAGGGTTCGTTTGCAAGCCTGGTAGGGGAGGAGGGAGGCCTGACATGATCCTGAAATTCAAAGCTGTCCCCAAGCTGATCCCTAAACCGACGAAGCTGTCAAGGGGTGACGAAAGGTGTCGGGTTATGGCTACCCAGGGACCTGTCCCAAACACAGGTCTGGTGCTGACGGGGAAGACATGGCGAAGGAGTTGTGAGTTTCATGGGCGAACCGCGTCCAAGAAGTAAGAAGGACGTTCGCAGAGAAAGAGTCATGTTGATGCCTGCACCCCCCTACAGGGCGAAGGGGGGATGGGAAGAGGGTGGAGGGGAGGGGGGTTTGCTTCAACTAGTTTCGAACTGCAGACGACTATAATAAGTAAGGGAAGGAGGGAAGGAAGGAAGGAAGGGCGGGAGCTCGGGCGCTAGCTAAGGTGATGAATCACCACTAGTTTTTGGACAACTAGAGCATCAGACCCTCCGTAGAGCCCCAACTTATGCTGCAAGGGAGGGTGGAGATTCGAGTAGTGGATAAGATGCTGGGGTGGGGGGGGGCATTCAAAGGCTGTGGCCTGTGGAAGGAAGCCACGAGCTGCGCTTCTGCAGCCTCATGGCTGCCTGGCCAAGAGTCTACGAGTCTTCTCTAAGGCTGGACCTTTAAAACCTCCGGCGGATAAACAGCCCATGAGACCTCACAGGATGCCACTACTCGCCGACAGAGTCTTGCTATCGCTGTCACTATGGCTAAGACTATCACTGGTCCCTACTACTTTGACTATGACTGCCACGCGTATGATTGCCATCGCTATCACTCTCACAAAGGCGGGGAGGATGACTATCACAATTCGGGCTGTGAGTTCTAGTGCTACTGCTACTGCTATTACTAGTACCACCACCATCACTACCATTGCCACTCTCACGTATCACTATGACTATGACGATGAGTAGTGCCATTACGATTGAGTTTGCCATTGCTCTTACTATTGTTATTGATGAGTACTTCTCTAAAACACCCAAAGCACAAGGCATGAAAAGCCCTAGCCTGGACTCTAAAACCCTAAAAACCTTAGGGAATAGTAAGCCCTGAGGAAAAGCGAGCTTCTCGAGACATTTTGTTGGTAGCGATTCTTTGAGTTCTAGATAACCTTCTCAGTTGAGGAGCCTTTTGAAAGGATCCTGTTCCTGAATGTACTTGCATTCCAGGAGACCCTATGCAGAATCCGTACGCCCTAAATAAACCCACCCTGAACCTGACAAACTCTAAAGCTGTTATAAAACCCAAGTAAACCCTAAACCCGAAGTAAACCCCAAGCCACTTATTCCTGAACCTTAAAACCCCGAAACCCGAAGAAAACCCTAAACCACTTATACCCTTAAAGCCCAGAGCAACCCCGAGATCCGCCTTCAAGAAGGAGGCTTCGAAGTCCTGTGCAGCACGGCCGCGATCGGCTTCGGGGCAGGGCGGCAACTCCTCGACGCTTGCAGGGTTTAGGGTTTAGGGTTTAGGGTTTAGGGTTTAGGGTTTAGGGTTTAGGGTTTAGGGTTTAGGGTTTAGGGTTTAGGGTTTAGGGTTTAGGGTTTAGGGTTTAGGGCTTCGGGCTTCGGGAATTCAGGTTTCAGGGGCTTGGGGCGTTTTGGAGACCAAGTTTTTGAACTTGGAGGAGCGTCTCTTTGTTTGATTTTTTTTCTGGCGGGGGGGGGGGGGGCCGGGGATTGTGGGGTTCGGAGGAACAGGGGCCTGGTGTGCTCAAGTCGCAAGCGCAGCATCCCGCAACCCTGAGATGAAGGGCGAGCTCTTGAATCACAACTCAGTGACTCAGGATCCGTCGACCAAGTTTAGTCTACGTGTTTTGATTAGGGGGGGGGGGGGAAGTTTGGGAGTCTTCGAGCTGAGTCCTTGATGAGGTACTGCCCCTCCCCACCTGGGAACCAGGGCGCTTCTTGAAGGAAGGAGCCGATGGAGGTTTTTGGTGGGTCCAATGGATCACGAGAGGTTCGAATGGTCGGGTTTAGGGGAATATAGGGTTTAGGATTTTCAGCGCTGAGGGTCGTGTCTCTATACTGTGAGCACCTGGTGAGGACCTGCATGGGTGCGTACAGGAACCTGGATTGAGATTGCTGGCTGCTGATGCCGCCCAACCCTGGCAGAGATCAAGGGTGCAAAGGGGAGTGATGTTGGCTGCCGAGACTCGCAGGCAGTAGCCCAGCTTTCGATAGTAGTTGCGCACGCCTTGGCCACTGGCGCATTGGAAAGCAAGCGCAACGAGACCAGCGATCGAAGGGGAACATCATGCTTGAAGCAATGTCTCAAAATCTCAGAATCTGGACAAGCGGTCTTGCACAAAGTGATTCCTGCACTCAAAAGTCGTGCAAACTCAGCGCGGCACCCACCCCAGCAATAACTGAGATCTTCTGGAAGCCATGGGCTGCAGCTATGAGCTCGGCGGTGCCCATGAGCGTTTTGCCGATTCCTTGACACTACTGTGTGCCACCCCACACCAAACTAGGGGCGTTATAGGCATGCACAACTACACTATGAGATTCTGTTGTGGGCGAATTTTCTTGGGACTAGATGTGTCACGCAACCATCCCCGGCCATCCCCAATGCGAACTATCCCTATAGTTCTTACAACTGTACGAACAAAATAGGGAAAACGAAACCATAAACAAAATAGGGAAAAAGAAACCATAAACAAAAAAGTGAAAAAAGAGACACGATTCTCAAATTTGCTGCCCGGAGGAGCCGATGTGCTGCGGCCGGTCATCAGCCAGGCTGCGCGAGGACTCCTCGCGCCCAGCCGCAACGAGCGCGCCATAGACGTGCAGCTCTCGGATCAGGGCACAGCCGCTCAGCTCCTCGCAACGCGATGTGGTTCAAGGTTAAGGGTTGGGATGTTCCTCCTCAGACTAGCAGTCCTTCATAGGGATTATAGTACCCCTACATACCCTTACTATAATCCCTATTCAGGACTGTTAGTATAGGCGGGAACATCCCAACTTAAGGGTTTAAGGGACCATGACTAGTCAAACAGGAACGACACAACACATCACTCCTAACCAACCTAAGCCTCATGAACCGCCAAAGTCCCCAAACCCCCGAAAGAACCCCATGCCCCCCTCCCCCCGAAACAACACACACACACACACACACACAGAGACACACCAAAACAGCAAAAAACAGAACAAACTACAAGACCCCAGAAACAAAAAACAGCGCGGGCGTTTAGGAAAGCCAGCGCTCCGGGAACACGGGGCTCGGTGCTCGCGGGTCATCGTTGAAGCGTAGGCGCAGGAGGCCGTAGAGGGTGGCGTTCTCCTCGTCCGCTTCCTGGAGCTCGGAGTTTAGGGTTTAGGGTTTAGGGTTTAGGGTTTAGGAACCCTATAAACCCCACATACAAACCCTGCCTATAAACCCTATATACAGAATACGGACCCCAATAAACCCTGTGCAACTGACGACCCTGCCCGCGAAATGTCCGTGGCCATTCACATGCTTTCCAAAAAACTACGTTAAACCGGAACTCAAAAACCTAACACTTAGTAGTAATCCGCCGAGGCCTCGGGCCGGAGGTGTATAGGTTGTCAGAACAGGCACCCCCACACCCAAAAGCCACTTTTCGGACCCCTTTTTTTGCCTCAAATGGGTACCAACCCTAGGAAACCGGGGTCCGCAAGCGGACGGTTCGAGGCAGTTGAAGGCCTTCGCAGCAGGCGCCCCCACCCCCCCCCCCCCCCCCCCCCCCCCCCCCCCCCCCCACCCCCCCCCCCCCCCCCCCCCCCCACCCCCCCCCCCCCCCCCACCCCCCCCCCACCCCCCCACACCCCCACCCCCCCTTTTCCCCTTTTCCCCCTTTTCCCCCTTTTCCAAGGCACTCAACCACGCCCTCCCCTTCCCCCCTGCCCCCCCACTCCCGCTACGCCCCTGAGGGGCCTGGCTCAACCCTACGATCAATCCAAGCCGAACCGTCTTGAACCCTACTCCCAAAAAAACCCTAAACCCCAAAGCGTGAACCTTGAGCCCTAAGCCCTCAATCCTAAACTAAACCATAAACCATAAACCCGGAACCCTAAACCCTAAACCCAACCCTTATTGCTTGGGGTCCAGCGACTTGGGCGCTGCGGAATCACCATGCTCACGCGGATGCGCTGGGCCGGGCCGAGGCGGGTCGCGTAGCGTTAAAATTACCTACAAATGTACAGCAATTAGGGCCCAGCTCCTACTTCTGAGGAGCCTCTGACACTGTTCCTGTTTGCGTTTGGGAGGAGGCCTCTGTTCGGCCAGAGCCAGCGATCAAGAAAAACGCCTCCTCGTTCCCCATGTGCTGAGATGCGAGCTTGAACCCACCTTTTCTACTCCAGGTGCCTCCTTGGTTCATTTTTGTCCTGCGTTGCGTGTCCTCGCTTTTGAAGCTGCGGGCCAAGAAGTCGTGCAGCTGAAAGACACGTGCGTTCAGCTCGAGGGGGTGACTCGCAGCTTTAGCTACGAATTCAGACACACCTCATGTTCCTAAATCGTCCAAAAACCCTAAACCCTAAACCCTAAACCCGAAACCCTACACCTTAAACCCTAAACCCTAAACCAATGGCCTGCTCCACCTCAACCGGCGCCGAAGTCTTCTGCGCGGCAGCTGCGGCCAGAGCTGCCGCCGCCGCCTTCGTGTGGGAGGGCGGAGGATGTGCTCTGGCTTAGTGGGTTTAGGGTTTAGGGTTTAGGGTAAGCATCTTCTTGCATGCATTGCAATGCTTTCCACATCTGTCAGCCCCAAAAGCTTCAGAACTATTCAAATTCCTCTCTAGCCGTGAGGATCCAAGTGGTCGAGGCCGACAAGGCCGACTTGCTGGGCAAGTTGGTGCTACGGTTCCGACTTGACACTCTAAGTCGCACAAGAACGGTCGAGTGCTTTGCTGGCAGAGATACGATTCTCACAAACTGGGCCAATTGGCAAGCCTGTAAGCTCATCCTGTGTCCCTAGTCGCCTCTCTCTCTCTCTCTCTCTCTTCCGTGCCTTCTTTCGCTCCTCACGTGTGCCGCCAGCTGCTGATGCAGCTTTGGCAGCCGCCTCCAAGGTTTTTCGGGGGATTGGGGCATAGGGGTACTGCGGTTTGGGAAGTTTAGGGGTCTGGGTGTAGGGGCCTTGTTTTCATGGCCGGGTCTGCCAAGCATGGTTTCAGTTCGCCAGGCTGCACATTGCTCCCCATGTGCCTCTACACACCGGGGCGTCAAGTAACCAAGCACCGGCTGTTCATGCGACTTTACGTAGGCTTTGTCATGGGGCGAGCGCAAGTCCCCCGAATTTGTCGCATCTTGCCTGTTATAGCTCCAACACCTCCCGGAGAGAAACTTTCTTTATGAAAGTCTCTGAACGGACCCCCAGACCGCAAACGCCCCACCTTCATCTCAGCCTGGGCCGATGCGTCGCGGAGCGCGGACTTCCGCTCCTTCTTCTCCCGCTTCGTGGCCTTCTGGCCCCCTGCCAGGGCCCGCTGCGTGGCTCCGCCGCCGAAGCCCCGGTGCCCACCCTCGATGGAGATGAAGAACTCCGTGCCACCTCATCACGCAATCACGCAATCATCAAGGACCCCAACCTTGTTTCCAAAACCCGAAATTAAGCCCTGAAGCCCACCCCTCCCCCCCGCCAAGCCCCTCAACAAAGAAGATCTTCTGTAAGATCTGCAGGCCGAGGTGCTGGAAGATCGGTACTCGCGAACCTCAAGGCTTCAAATTACAAGGCCAGACTATGCTTCGGGGTATCTTCAGTGAGAGCTTTAGGTTTCCGGGTGTTTGAGGATGTACGTATCGGATTATTGGGAAAGAAGCACAAGGCGACAGCCCACTCCAGGGCGCTGGCACGGAGGCGCAGGCCGTCGGTGGTCTCTGGCCAGTCTCGTACCTCCGGCACTTGAAGTGTAGCATCTCTAGTCCCAAACCCTAAACCCTAAACCTTAAACCCTAAACCCTACACCTTAAACCCTACACCTTAAACCCTAAACCCTAAACCCTAAACCCTAAACCCGGGCCGCCGGGGCGAACGATGGCGAGGGAAGGTGAAGAAAATGAGGACTCCCTTGACTTGAACGCAACCCAAAAGCCCAAACCCTCCAACCCCCTAAACCCTAAACCCAAAACCCCCAAAACCTCTAACCCTAAACCGCTGAACCGCTTTGGTGCATGCGAGACCAAAACGACATGGTTCTCCTTCTGAAGCAGGAGGAAGCGATGGCTTGCTGAATGGGCAATCCTCACCCTAAACCCTAAACCCTAAACCCTAAACCCTAAACCCTAAACCCTAAACCCTAAACCCTAAACCCTAAACCCTAAACCCTAAACCCTAAACCCTAAACCCTAAACCCTAAACCCCAAGCAAGGTCCCCTGAAGCTTGAGGGCGCCTCTCGGCAGCGGATGCATCGGCAACACTGGCCACGAGACTTGAGCACCTCCTTGGCGGCGCACTGACCCCCAGAAAGCCCTCCCTCGTATATGGGTTTAGGGTTTAGGGTTTAGGGTTTAGGGTGTAGGGTTTAGGGTTTAGGGTTTAGGGTTCAGGGTTTAGGGGTTTCCGAGAACAGGGGTACCCTTTTTGGGGTTCCTTTGAAAGGATTGTATAGTATTTTGGGGTATATAAGGGTACCCCTATTTTCGAAAAGTCCCCATATTTCGAGTTGCTTCTTTTGCACGGCTGCGCATTTTGCTTTCATAGGTTCGTTTCTAACTGCAAACTAGTCTGAAATTGATCTATGAGCAACCAACACTTTCCTACCGCCCCCTCGGATTTTGGCCAAGGTGCAAAGATGGCCTGCCGGAGGTTCGTCAGCGAGTTCCCAGCAACAATCGACACCTGGACAAGTGTTTAGGGTCCGGCATGTTGAGTCACTGGAGCCTGCTATCCTCCATGAAAGTCCCCAACCAAAACGGCCAGCACTTCTGCGAGCCAAATCCTGAACCCACGGAACAGCTCAGGCCTCAGGGATGTCCCTGATCACTCCTAGGCGTACACTGCTTTGGGTCTTTGGGTTTAGGTGCGTAGGGTTTGGGGTGCTGCTCCGGGGGTAGATTGGATGTGTTCAGACTGCCACAGCCAATGCATCTGTGCCAAGCCACGGTTCAGCCGAATCCATGGGTGCACTTCTGCCTGCGACGGGGGTTTCAAGAAAGAGAGAAAGAGAGAAAGAGAGAGAAGAGAGAGAGAGAGAGAGAGAGAGAGACGAGAGGGACGAGAGAGGATAGAGGATAGCGGATACTTGGAGGTTCATGGCGCTTATTCGCCAAGTATAACTGTACTTATAACCATATTTGGGCACTTAAGGGGCTTATCAGTGGATTGTAAGTACAGTTATAATTGGCTGTTATAGGGGTGGGCTGTCTATCCGCCTTCTGCGAGGCAGCGGGCGGTTCTGCGAACTTTTCCCCTAGGCAATTGTAGTCTTTCTTATAGGTTCTGCGTTGCTGTGCAGGGCTCGTCGGGTTCTGCGGGGGTGTCATGGGGTGTCTGCAGTTCTGCGCGGGTCATTCAGCAGGGGGTCGGGTAAGGCGGCCCACCCCATAAATTGGCACCCGAAATCAGTGCCATGAACCTCCAAGTAAAGGATCGAGGATAGAGGATGGAGGCCAGAGGACAGAGGACAGAGGACAGAGGACAGAGGACAGAGGACAGAGGACAGAGGATAGCGGACAGAGGATAGAGGATAGGGAGGGGAGGGAGGGAGAGAGAACACACGATTCGCATGCGCAGGTGGTGGTGTTTTGGCATCCGTGGGCCTTGACCCTGGCCAGCAGCTCTGTGAGCAGTCGAGGGTCTTTCTCGGTGTACGGAATGTACTTGCCTTCCTTGTACCAGGTCCTTTGCAAGTAGATGTGTGTCTCCTTGCTTGCAACTCTCGGTCGTTTTGCGAGGACTTCGCCTGCGTATTGTTGGCGGATTCCTCGATTTTTGTTGCTTGCCTGTGACATTCGGGTTGCAGCCTAATTACAACTAGGCGATCTGAAACTCTGACCATCTTTGTCGGATTGGGTAGGGGCTCGTATTCTTCCCCCAGTCTTCTTCGACCCCAAATGGCGGGGTCGAGCTGAGCGACCCCAAAAACCCTAAAGCGGACCATTTTTACCAACGCGCAAAAAAGTAATAATAATAACAACAGTTTTCTGAATGGGATCGACCCCATTTACCCCGACAAATGTTCGGTCATTATCGCTCGACTCGACCCCATTTCCCCGACCAAGCCTTTGATCCTGAAATCTGGCCTCGACCTAATGTCCTCGACAATGCCCGACCCTGTATAGGGGCTTGCTTCAGAGCGATTTAGCCCCTGATCCTTGCCCGTACCCCACACACACAGAGACACACACGGAGACACACGGAGACACACACAAAGACACACAGAGACAGACAGACAGACAGACAGACAGACCAGAGACAGACAGACAGACAGACAGACAGACAGACAGACAGACAGACAGACAGACACACGCACGCACGCACGCACGCACGCACGCACGCACGCACGCACGCACGCACGCACGCACGCACGCACGCACGCACGCAGGCACGCAGGCACGCAGGCACGCAGGCACGCACGCACGCACGCACGCACGCACGCACGCCGCACGCACGCACGCACGCACGCACGCACGCACGCACGCACACACGGACGCACGCACGCACGCCCGCACGCCCGCGCGCGCGCGCGCGCGCACGCGCGCGACCACCAAAAAACCGTGAGAAAACCGTGAGAAATCGTGAGTGCCCCGGGGCCGTGCTTTCCGCAAGTCGTCGTTTAGCTTTCAGCAGCCCAAAGCCCCCACAGTGAGAAAAGCGTGAGAATGCGTGAGAAGGTGCCAGTCGGATGCGGTTTGTTGTGCAAAGCACCCTCTAACCCTGAGCGAAAAGCAAACCCAGAGCTTATGTAGGGATGTGTGGGCTGTCTTCGGCTACAAAAGGAGCGGGATGAGTTTTCTTCAGGCCCCAAAACCTAGACTTTTCTCTAAACCCTAGAGCCGAGTTCGTCGAGGGGGTTTTGGGGCTGTTCGGGTTTCGGCCCTAGATGTTACCTGGAGGGGAATCGTGGTCTTTGGCCCAAAACAGGTGCCAAACATGGAAGGGGGGAAATGAGGCTGTTTGGGTTTTTGAGGATTTGGGTTCAACAGTTTAAGGGTAGGGGGGGATCGGGGTTGTTCAAACCAGCAAAACGCCTCGACCCGGGAATCCCGGGTCGAAGGTTGAGCGGCCCCGTTTCCCCCGGCTTTAGGAAGATTAAGGTTCATTCTTTACATTTCATGATGTCCAACCCGTTTTGGGCGACTGGTGCTGGTCTCTGTCCACCAGGGTTCCAAGGCTTGTGTGAGTCGCGTAGCACTTTTCAAGAACTAGGCCTAGGCGAATGACACCGTCAAACTGCCTTGCCTCCCCGCGCTCACCCCAGAAACGAGAGCAAGGTACAATAAGCAAAAAGCAACTAAGGATGCTACGTACCATGAAAAGTGGTGCGAGCTGAGCATCAAGCTCCTACTGGCCGTTACCTCCACCAAGCCATCAACAATGCAGTATCCATACCAAAACCATGAGCGTCATCCATTCACAGCTTGAATGCAGGCGAGGCGCTCAATTCGCGTGAAGGGAGTCACTTCCTTGGAAGTGCAAAGCCTTGGACCTGTGCCCTAATACTGGACACACAAATCGTGCCATGATGGCACATGATAAAACCTAGGTACACGGGCTACGATCAAACTGTGCTGCAAACAGTGTGTTGCTTTGCGATCGTTGAATGTCGTGATGTCAACTGTCCCGCACATGACCAGACTTACTAAAGCCCCTGGTACCTTTCCAAGGCTTGCAAGGATTCCTTATGCAAGTGTCTAAGTTTTAGTGAATTGCGCGTGCCGACCTCTCCAAACCACCATGCTTCCAGGCTTCACACGGATAGATCTTCCAGTGGTCTGCCTGCAGGTCCTCTCCATGCAGCACCTGTCAGAAGCTGTTCTTAATCAAAAGCATGTCATGTGCATTGAGTAGATGCCTTGCTTTTACTTCTCCTTTCTGCAAAATAGCCATCACAGGTGTACCCTCTTTGAAATAGGGTTAATAGACTTAGTAACTATGGCACATCTCCCGACGTCCTGCTATGAAGGACTGAAATCTTGCTTGAAAACTAAGCCCCTCAAGTTCCTCTAAACCCTAAACCAGGGAAAACAATCTGCACCCTGAACCCTAAATCCTTGGCGCGGGACGTCCTGGAACATGGCCCAATCCTTCTCCGTGTCCGAGCTGGGGAGATCTGGCCTTTTCTGACATGCGGGCACGGGAATCTCGCAGCCTTCGGGGAACTTTGCGCCGTTTGGGAGGGAGGGGGGGGTGTAGGGTGTAGGGTTGAGGGTTTTGGATTTAGGGTGGGAGTGTTAGGAGTGGTAGGTGGCTTCGGCGCTCAAGGGCGATAGGACCTGATCAAGGTCATGGAGTTGTCAAAGAGCTGGGAGGGCGTGCTGTGCAAAGCTCCAATATTCTTCTACTCATATTCGTAATATACGATGATATCACAGTATGTTGTTATACTATCATGCGAATATATTGTTATACTGGTATACTCTTGTTGTTGGTTCTAAGTTTGGGCTTCCTTGGAACTAACGAGGTACCTGGTTCAATAACAGCCAAGGGTGTGGCCTTATTGAGCACCACACCCCCCCCAACTACCGTAAAGATGAAGTGCTGTGGCACTCCGATGCTTTAGCTGCCCTTGTTGTTTAGGGTTTAGGGTTTAGGGCTTAGGGTTTAAGGTGCTCCGCCAATCTTGCGCACACGGACTTGCCCCTTCATCTTGCATAGGTCAGGTCAAACATGTCAAACAAGCTTGACTTCAAACTTGACCCTAGATCCCTTGACTCAGGACAAGTGGCATGAGGTGAAGGTCCACCTTGAAACCGCAGGTCTTCAGCAACCGAGTCGCCCGCACTGCCTGAGCTGCAAGCCACTGCAAAATGTTGCACCCAAAGGCCTACATCCACTACATCCACTAGGGCCAGGGGCTTGAGAGGTGGGGCTTGTAACACCATAGCAGCCGGAATGGCACTCAGCAGAACCACGCTTTAGGGTTTGGGGTTTATAGGGTTCAGGGTTTATAGGGTTTAGGGTTATTTGGGTTTAGGCCCACTCCACAGAACCCTGGCAGCTACACATCCAAGTCGCCGCCGCCCGGTCGTGTCCTCGGTTGACGTATGCGAGGACCGCGTCGTCCGTGTGCTGCACGCCGATCTGGACGCGTGTGCAGCCGTAGCGCCTTAGCCGTCGCACTTCCGCTGGGGTGATGTGATCCGGCCGGGTCTCCAAGGTGAGGCCAATGATCTTTGTGACCGCCTTCTCATTGAGCTTCTGCTCCTCGAGTAGTGGGCGTCGCTCACGAGTCTGGGCCGCACCCTCACCCTTCTGTCCTAGCTTGCTCAGCCGCTCGTCAAAGGTGTTGGCAGCATAGAAGAGGTCTCGACAGAACTCTTCCTGGTAGTCACGGGGATAGTGCGACCAGGTGCCCCCGAGCACAATGATCTCTACTTTGTCCACCGTGTGGCCCTGCTTGGCTAGGGTTCCTGCCCGGTCGTAGAACTGCCGCACTGGGTCAAACTCGTTCTGGTTGGCCCTGGCAACAGCAGGCTCTGTGCTGAGGTAGGATCGTGGCTGGCCAGGCTCATCCGGGCAGTAGTAGCAGTCGTTAGGGCACGAGAACCGGCCCGGCGCTGTCACGATCGTGATGACCACCACCCCAGAGTTCGATCGCACAGCTTTCTTTGTCGTAATCCGCTCGAAGGAAGGGCTTCGCTCGATGCGCTCGGCGTCCCGCAGTCGATAATAGGCTCGGACAATCTGTGGCTTTGACAGGGTAGTCTTGAACTGTCGACGAACTGCCTGGATGCGGCTCTCGTACTCTTTCTCGGACTTGAACTCCGGACCCGAGAGCAGTGCCACCACAAACTGCTCAAAGCCCTCCAGATCCTCTTCCGTGTGCGGCTGGGCGTGGTAGGACATCCACTCCTCGCAGCCCTGCTCGAAAGCTCTAAGGTGCTTGTCAGCAGCCTCAGAAGTGGCTACCACTTCCTTGCTTGGCACCATGTACATCTTACCCAGGCGAGCTGTGAGGTACTCATCTTCCACTGTCATGGAGCACCCCTCACCCCCAGACCACGCAGACCGCCACAGGGGCGCGGGTCTGAGAAGCACAGGCACGAGATTTCTGAGAAGTGAGTTTCTACACACAACGTTGTTTACTCACCTTGTGGCTTGCGTGCCAGTGGCTTTGGAGGCTTCTACAGTTCGGTCAACTTGTGCTACATGTACGGTCTTAAAAGCTGCGAAATGGACACGTCCTGCTGGAATGTGCAGTGTACAGTGGGACCAACCATTTCTGAAGCCCCAAACCTCAAGCCTCTGAGCCCGAAAGACCCACACAACCACAAGCAATGCTTGGAGACTGTAGACATCCCGCCCTAACCATCCACGCGTCTGACCCTGACAGCTCCCCGCCCTACTTGCAGCCCTCAACCTCACGCATCCTCACACCCTTCCAGCGCAGATGCTAAGTCGGGAACCCTGCGAAACACGAATAAACCGAATCTTCGCGAAGTTTCCATCCGATAATTTCACAAAGTGAGCCCCCAGAATACCCCCCGAATCTTGTAGAAGTTTCCTGAAGAGGAGCCCCAACCATTTAGATCGCTAATTTTCGAGAATCCCCAAAACCCTAAAAACATCTAAAAGCCCTAAACCTCACAATCTGAAGACAACCCACGTCAGGGAATTACAGGTACCGTACAATAGCCCCTTGTGTAAACGCCCTTTAAGGGCCTTTGTAGGGTACCTCAGTCCCTGATTCCCTGCTCTTAGAACCCGTACATTGGGATGTTCCCCCTCTTTCCTAACAGTCCGAAAAATGGATTCCCAATAATTAGGGGGCTTTATCGTAAACCCTAAACCCGAAACCCCGAACCCTAAACCTAAACCCTAAACCCAAAACCCTAAACTCAAAACCCTAAACCCCAATCCCTATGAAGGAGCTGTTAGTCTAGGGAGGAACATCCCTAAACCCTAAACCCTAAACCCTAAACCCTAAACCCTAAACCCTAAACCCTAAACCAGCCGGGTCCAGCTCGCTGTTCTTCGACCGCAGCTCGGTGAGCTCGCCCTGGAGGCCCTCCATCAACGCCGCCTTGCCCTGGTTTGGGGTTTAGGGTTTAGGGTTTAGGGGTTTAGGGGTTTAGGGGTTTAGGGGTTTAGGGTTAGGGTTTAGGGTTTAGGGTTTAGGGTTTAGGGTTTAAGGTTTAGGGTTTAAGGTTTAGGGTTCAGGGTTTAGGATTTAGGGTTTAGGGGTTTGAGGTTTGGGGTTTCGGGGTTGCGGGCTTCTGGGGCTGTTTCGGAAGATTTGAGGAGTTTATGCTTTAGGGTCGTTTAAGGGTCAAGGCTTACGGCTTAGTACTCTGGGTGTCGGGCTTAGGGTTTAGCATCGGGTGCGGAGTATGTATATAGGGTCTAGGACAGGGCTGAGCATTGGGATATTTCACTGCCTTGGGGTATATAAGGGTTTAGGTTCTTCAGGGTACGGAGAGAGAAGACAAGGTAGTTTAGGGTAGGGTTTGGGGTATTTAGGGCACGGATAGGGTCATCAGGGTGTGCAGCATTTCGGGTCTGGAGGGTGATCAAAATGCAGTCGTGGTACCTAAATCCCTCCCCACGTTCGAGCCCACAATGCTGGGCCTGTAAGGCCCCAGGCTTCAGGGTTCAGCACCGTGTTGCCTAGAAGGGCTTAGGGTTTAGTGGGCTCGAAAGCTATAAGCCCTGAAACACATCAAACCCAAAAGGCCTCCAATACAGGAGCCTTTGTAATCACCAAAATTCTCCCCTTGCAACCCTCTACATAAGTATCATTTTCTCCGGTCCCAAACATGTCCACTGGGGTTTTGGGGGTTTATGGTTTAGGGCTTAGAGGGTTTAGGGTGTTAGGGGTTTGGGAGGTTTCGGATTTAGTAAGGGGAGGGGTGTCAGCAAAACCCTAAACCCTAAACCCTAAACCCAAAACCCTGACACTGTAGCCTGCAGGTCCAGGATCCGCTGCTGTAGGCTCTGCCGCTCCTGCGCCGAGCGCTGCACCTGGCATTTGGCTGCTCTTGGGGTTTAGGGTTTAGGGCTTTAGGCTTTAGGGTTTAGGGTCATATTACTGGTTCTTAGCAAGGAATGAGGGAAGGAGGAACCCTACAGCCCCCTACAGACACTAAAGGATTCTACAAGGTACCTGATTCCCTTCATTCCCGACTAAGAACCAGTAGGTCATTGGGTGGGTGAGGGGTTGGTGATGCAGCATTCAGGGCCATGGGTAGATAGTAGCACATGCTTGGGATATTTTGGGATAGTGCAGCCGGCACGGCTAGAGAGACTTCTCTTAAAGAATCGGCTTCCACGCATCCCATGATACACAGAAGAGGTTTGAGGGCGATTGGCCCTTGAGCAATAGAATCATTAGACTCCCGCGCGCCAAGTTTTTGCGCAAGACTGAGGACATTCACGTGGCTGCGACGTGCACTGAGCGAGGAACCCCGCAGCATATTCGTTCCGAATCTTCAGCTCATGCCCTTTTCAAGGGCACACGCCGGGAAGACGAGAAGGGACTCAGGGCAATCCATGCTCGAGTGGGCATGTAAGGATGTCTGCTGAGGGTCTGGCGGTCTTGTACCCTGTCCCCCTTGCAAACCTCGACTATGTAGCCACACATGTGTGCAGTCTACTCGGTGACACATCCGGCTCTTGGATCTCAGAAAATTGCAGACCTGCTCTTGGAGAAAAGGATTTCAGGGCTATTTTTTGGCACGAAGTGAGATCCTTGACTGCAAAGCGCCGACACCGGATAAATTCCGGTCTCACCAATCATTGAACTGTAGAAATTTCGACTTTACATGAAGGCGACTCCTGCTTGTTTCGGTTTGGCAACTTGGTGTTTCTTCGAATTACAGGTGCAGAGTGCCTGACGTTCTCGGCACTCTATGTCTCAAAAAGCAAGCGGGTTCCGACATCACAATTTGACTGCGGGCTTGTCCAGAGGTGCAGGTTGGCAAAAGCATGACGTACCTATGCCCGGAACCTTGCTCAACTAAAAATCCTTAGAAACACGATCTGCTTTGGATCAACTTCCGTCACTGCCACCACTATCGTCACTCCCGCCCGAGTTCGCACCAGACAGGCCAGACAGCAAGCTCGAGCCATTATCTTTCTTCCTGCGCCTCTTGCCCCCCATCTTCTTTGCCGTGCTCATGAACAGCTTCTCCAAGCGGTCGAACCTTGTAACGGGGACTGTTCAGGACGTCCAGTTCGGGTTCTTCAGGTTTGAGCACGGCTGGTTCGAGGGGCTACAATCCTATTTTGGGGGTTTACGAACATCAGGGACCCCTATAATACTAGGGTTCTCCCTTATAACAAGGACCCCAGGAGGCACCCCCCTAATTTCGGAAACCCCCCCTAAACCCTGAACCCTAAAGCCTAAACCCTCAACCCTAAACCCGGTTTCGGATTCCCGGCCTGTCTTCCATGGAGTCATCCTCCTCCGGCCACGGCATGGTCGTCGCGCTGGAGCCCCCGAAGCGGCGGATGGAATCCACGGTGACGATGTGCCTAGACTCCCCTTAGAACCTCAATAAAAATAATATGTTTAACACCCTCTTGGGTTTTATACAATTAGAACCTGACTAAAAATATTATCTTTAGTACCCTCTTGAGGTTTATATAAACAAAAATGAAAAAAATGATAATTCCCAAGGGGGATATAGGTGCGCAGAGGCGGGCTCCACAATCTGCACGCCCCCGGGCAAGCCCACGTCGCCCTCGTTGAACTCGAGGCGGTCGTTCAGCTTTAGGCCTCTGCAGCCCCAATGTGGAGGGATTTCCTATACATCAGGGGCCGCTTTTGGGGTTGCTTTTCGAAGGCGGCCCCTCATATTGAGGGTACCAGAAAGGGACCATAAGGGGCTTTGCTGCACATCCCCTGAACCGATGCCTGACAAAAGGACCCAAGACGGCCAAGACGGTACAAGTATGGGTGTAAGGTGGGGCACAGCATTGTAGAACCGGACCTTCGCACGCTGCTTCCAAGAAAGCGAGTCCCCCCCCCACTCTTCATCCTCGTGATTCAAGGATCCGAAGGATACGGTATTGAAGGAGGAACCAAGGCATGATCTCTTTGTGTGCTAGCTGCTAGCTGCTAGCTTTCAGGGTAGTCGGGTGAGGGGTCGTTCTGGAGGTCAACTTGAGCCACTTGGCTCCATGCGCCGACGTCACTTTTGACTCAGGCCTTAAGGCTTGGGGTTTCCCGCGGCATGTGGTCCGCTTCATCTCCCGCCTTCCAGGAATCGTGCCCATCGCTTCATGGAGATCTGCTCCAGAGTGCTCACCTCAAAAGGCAGGTCCGGATCTAGCCATGTACGGAATTTGTAGGGTTTTCAACGTAATCACATCTGGATTCGCGCTGGTCTGAGGCCAAGGCGATAACGGATGCACGGTTCAGGCGAGCATAGCCTTGCATGTCGGTGTAGACATGCTGGTAGGCCTGGTTCAACTGGGCGACAAGGAGGTTGACGAGAATGATGGACACCATGAGAATGAAGACGCTGATCACCATGAGGATGCCGGCCTCGGCTTTCATCTGCTCGTAGTTGTCATGTGGGAACATTCCCAAAGCCATCTGCGTCAGCGAGATGAGCCACGTGCTGATCCCGGAGAACTCGTCGATCTCATGCTCGATCGCACTGACGGCGCTGGCGAAAGCAATGATCATGAATATGAGGGCCATAACGAAGAGGAACACCTCGGACAAAACTCTGCCAAAGACCAGCACATAAGCGGATATATGCATGGAGAAGATGGTAAAGTCAAGCACCAAGGTCCAGTATAGCAGAATCGCGATGCAGGAGAAGGCTGAATACAGCCTTCGCCCCGCGCTGGATCCAGACCCAGCAGCGCAGTGTGTCGTAAAGATAAGGTACTCGTCGGTGCTGGTGAACTGCGCGCACCACCACAACGGCTCCTGAATGCACATGCCAAGCAGGATCCATAGCAGCACAAAGTTGCCAGCTTCCTTCAAGCTGAAGAGGAACTGTGGAATTGGTATACAACATCTGCGATCAAAGGCATGATTTCTGCAGTCCGTTTGCAAGAGCTTCAGCTGATTGTACAGGATCTTGCACATGCTGCCGCAGTAGATGAAGATGCGACAAGCAAAGATTACTATATTTCTCTCGTACGTTTCCTGTTCGCCGGGGCCCAATGACAGAAAGGACTGGCTGGTCACTGCGACACAGAGAGTAAAAAGGAAGTAGCACCTGCCAATTAGGAACTGGTAGGCCACCAAGCGGGTCCACATTAGGTCAGCTACCAGCACCACGGTAAACATGCTGATGGTGATAGGGTTGCCATATTCCACTAGCCACTGGAGTGCCTGATGCGGCTTTCCATCTCCATCCTGTACCAAGTGCTTGAGGTAGCAGTTCACCCGTCGCGTGCCGTTGACGATTACCCGAGACCGCCAGATTAGTCCGTCGAGCAGACAGTCCAAAAGCGAAGGGGCACTGGAAGCCAGCTTTTTGATCACCTCGGGGTGCCGTGTAAACAAGGCATCCGCTCCATAGTAGTAGTTATCCCGGTCGGCCCTGATCGTCAACAAATCCTCCAGCATTGCCTGCGCACAGATCAGGCTACCCGACTCAATGGCCCAATAGAGTGGAGAAATGGACTGTGTGCCCACTGTGATCTTCAACAGCTCCATGGCCCTCTTGCCACGGGGTGCTACCTTGGTAGCCCAGCAACCATATTATAATAAGGGTACCCTTTTTTGGGGTCGGTTACTTTATAAGGGAACCTTGAACCAAAAAAGGGGAAACAAAAGTACCACTGGGCTACCAAGCTACTGAAATTGCTCGTCTCAGGTTCTTCTCGACATTGGTATTGATCGCCTGCATGACAACTGTCGATCCTTCCACCAATGTCCGAACCTCGATCAGAGAATGATGTAGGGTTTAGGGTTTAGGGTTTGGGGTTTTGGGTTTAGGGTTTAGGGTTTGGGGTTTAGGGTTTAGGGTTTAAGGTTTAGGGGCTGGTTTTAAGAAGAATGGGCAGTTTGTGTGTAATTAAACTCACCGAGACAAATGTTCTCGCGCTGGCCAGTTTTCATTGGCCTCAGCCAGCGTTCAACGCAGTAGCCCGTGAACTAATTCTAAAAAACTCCGTTGCCTTTCATAGCAAATCTTCCAGTTCGTACAAACTGGTGGACGAAGAATGTTGGCATTCAACGTTGGTTTGTTTGTCGACCAGGAAATGGCACTACGATACTGCCGTAGGAAGTGACGACGTGTTTGGGCATTCTCCATGTTTAAATGAATCCTCTATTATACCAGGAAGAGCTTGTTGCGGGCTCTTTGCGGGTGATCTTTGGCAACCCTTATACAGAAAATCATATACCAGTGCAAGAATATAAGAGTATATACACAGATCATCAGATAATTGTACAACCTGAAAATCATGTCATGAAATTATTCTTGGCTTCACGGGCCAAATGTTAAAACCTCGGATCTAGGTGTCGATTTCAACAGTCCCCAACATTATTTGGAATTCGGGCTCCATTGTTAAATAATATGTCCCCCCTAAACCCTAAACCCTACGTAATCCTAAACCCTAAACCCTAAACCTGAACCCCTGAACCCCTGAACCCCTGAACCCCTGAGGTCGGGGCCATGATCTTGGCAATCAGTGTCAGCGACCACCGGAACGCTGTCTCGGTCGTCTCGTCGGTGGTCATCGTGCGGATCACCTCGACGGACGCGGAGACGTACGGGGAGAAGAGCTCCGTGGGGACGCCGTAGCCCACGTGCCGCAAGCCCAGGCCCGAGAGCTCCTGTATCGGAACTTCAGGTCTGCGGATGGCTGAGGATGGCTTAAGATCGGGCCATGGCTTTGGGAACCTCTACTGCTAGTTCGTGCTGTAGCAGAGGCCTCTATTTTTTTAAAAAATAGAAAGGAGGGAGCGCTCCTCCACCATCTTCTTGGGAGTTCGGTACATCTCCACGGTCATCTCCACGATCTTCTCGGCGATGAAGAAGAGCCGCGTGGTGGACTGCTTGAAGAAGTCCTGGCCCGACGGGGCCAGCTGGAAGAATCGCTTGTAGACGTCGCGGCAGTAGCCCGTGAGGGACTCCTTGGGAGGAGGAGTCAATACGAGAAAATATAGGGGAGACCCCCAAAATCGTGAAGCCCCCCCCCCTCCAAAAAATAGTAGGATGCCCTTCTAGTAAAGGACCCCCAATGTAAACCCTAAACCCCCAACCCCAAACCCTAAACCCTCAACCCTAAACCCTAAGCCCTAAGGTACCCCTTATTATCGTAAACCCCCTCCTGGGAGAGGTTGATCAGGAACCGCTCGATGGCCTTCTGCTTAGGGTTTAGGGTCTAGGGTCTAGGGTCTAGGGTTTAGGGTTTAGGGTTTAGGGTTTAGGGTTTAGGGTTTAGGGTTTAGGGTTTAGGGTTTAGGGTGGCCTTCTGCTGTGTGCGAGGCCGTCCGAGCTGGGCTCGCAGAAGCCTTTCGACGTTCTCCCAGAGCCAGTTCCAAGCAACTTCGTGTTGCGAATTCCAATCCTTAGTTGCTGAGTCCATAAGCCCCCAAAGAGTGTACACTTTCAGTTCTATAACGGGGGTTCCAGTATCTCCAAAAAGTGTCAAGTGTATACTCAGTCAGCTTCTAAGAGTCTTTGGGCACCAGGGACCTCAGGGACGCGAGCATGACGGCCTTGAATTCTGGCAAGTTGATCTCGCCTTTGCACTTGGCCAGGTTCAGCGACAGCACGTCGCACTCCTCCTGCAGGCGGTAGGAGTTGGCTACGTTCGTCACAATTGGGTCGAAGTACTCCAGGATGAACTTCATCCAGTTGCTGTTTGCATAGCCTTGGTACCCCAGCAACCATATCATAACAAGGGCACCTTTTTTTGGTTGGTTCATTTATACGTTTATAAGGGAACCTTGAACCAAAAAAAGAAAAAGGAAAAGGGTACCACTGGGCTACCAAGTAGCCCATGACCGCCGCGTTGAAGAGGAACATCTCATCGAAGGTGGTGGGCACCTTCAACGCCGATGCTTTCGTCACTCCCTCCTGCCCTTCTTGGGTCTTGGCCACCTCATTCGCAGCTTCGGTTTCTTGAGGCACTTCTTCCTCCTCCTCGGATTCATCTGACTTGCTATCCAGGTCCTCTACCTCCCCTACGTCGGCCCCCTTCTTGGCGGCTGTGTTCCAACTCCTCTGAAGCAGGCGAATGCGAGCTGCATACTCTCTCCTGCAGTGGATGTAGGCCCCTCCGGCGTATGTCATCACTGCAGAGAGGCCGAGGCGCGCACGCGTGCCGAACAGCGCACCCAGCTCCAGATCGAAGACTTCGAGGGTGGACTCCCGGAACAATTCTACCCGAGGGCCCGTGACGTCCAAGTCCAGATGGTTGAAGGCAATGGCCTCCACCTCTTTCCGCAAGCCCGGGGGGTTCCCTGCGTTGATGATGAAGGTTTCCATGCCGGCTAGAATCCGCAAGCCCATTGCGGCTCGTGGTGCCCGAAACATGCCCTGCAGATTCGGGGCGGCATCGAAGAAGGCCCCGTAGAGTGCGTCGGCCGCAGTCTCGCGCTTCTCAAAGACGGACACGAAACCATTCCACGCCCTCTGGGTGGCTGTCACCACTTTGGGTGGTAGCTCCATCTCCTCGAAGGTCTTGTCGTTGACCTGCATCCACTTCCTCATGACTTCTGCCTCCTCTTCATCCGGTTCTGAGTCGACGTCATCATCGCTCCCATCCACCTCGGAGGAGCCGCCCTGCGCATTCAGAAGATGATGGGTTCATGTGGGAACTGCTTTTGGGCTGGGCGGGTGTTGGGGGGGGGGGGGGGGGGGGGGGGGAGGGACTGTTGCCGTTTCGACTTTGGGCTGCGAACCTCCTCGGACTCCGACTCCTCCAAATACTCCGATGAATCTTCAACTTGCTCCGACATGCCCGTCTTGAGCTGTCGGAGCTAGTTTACCGCAACCGACATGAGAAGAGCCGAGTCGGCTGCAACAAAGGCCAGGACATGCTCACGTCATGTGCAAGTGAAGCACAAGTCCGTCTCTGGACCGCATCTTAGAGGACTTGCACTTCTGCAAGTCATCGACCGGGGCTTAGCAGGCTTCCTTCGAAGGAGTTTCCTTTTAGGCTCGGAAGACCCAGAAGAGTGACAACACGGTGCATCGGTGCCTCTTGGCTTCCTTTCTGCAAGGTCTCGCCTCAGCGATTGCGAGGTCCCAGCATGAGAAAACCCTAAACCCTAAACCCTATAAACCCTAAACCCTAAACCCTGAACCCTAAACCCTAAACCCTAAACCCTAAACCCTAAACCCTAAACCCGAACTAAGGGCAACAACGCCAACCGCCACCGCCACCGCCACCACACCCCCATTGCTGCGGCTCCTGCTGCTCCAACTTGCTGCTCCTGCTCCCGATCACCACTGCCACCAGTGCGACCACCGTAACAACCGCAATAACCATAACCACAACCACCGCAAAAATCACAACCGCCACAAAAACCACGGCCACCAGACCCACCGCAACAGTAAGCAACGGCGTGCGCGGACCACGATGAGTGCAGCGGCATAGGTGCAGAAGTCAGTAAGTGTGTTCACTCTTCATATCACGTATTTCCATCTTGTGTCATTTCGCCGCTTTGCTTTTTCACAGCGTCACTCATGCCACGCTGGCACATCTCTCTTAATTCCGAGGGCTGCGTGAGAACAAAAAGGCAGAGAGACCAAGACTCGCGCATGGAGCTGCGAACAACAAAGCACACGCCAGCGAATAGGTTGCCTAACTGCTTTTGGACGAAGGCCCCCTTAAACTCAGAGCGCACAGCGGGCCAGTAGGTAGGCCCAACTGCAACTTGTCCGGCAACATCTCTTCCAGCTCGCCTAAACCCTAAACCCTAACCCCTAAACCCTAAACCCTAAACCCTAAACCCTAAACCCTAAACCCCTTCCTGAGTGCCTCACGCTGCTCGGCCACCTGCCTTTGCAGCTCGGAGGCTCGCCGCTCAAGGGCGGCCTAATCGCTTGTAGGAGGCTTTGTGTAGGGGTTTAAGGTTTGGGGGTTTAGGGTTTAGGGTTTAGGGTTTAGGGTTTAGGGTTTAGGGTTTAGGGTTTAGGGTTGTAGGAAGCTTTGCTTAGGGGTTTAAGGTAGGGTTTAGGAGGTAGGGGATGTCGATTTTAGGGCTTATAGGGCTTATAGGGTTTATAGGGTTTATTGGGTTTAGAGGGTTTAGAGGGTTTATAGGGTTTATAGGGTTTAGGGTGTAGGGGCGCCCCTCAGTGCTCAGTGCAGGGGGGCCTTGCCGGCAGTGGACTCTTCCAGTTGCCGCTCGAGCTGGCGCAGCCTGCTTTCGGACCTCGGAGGATGTTTGGGGTGGAGGGCTTAGGATTTAGGGTTTAGGGTTTAGGGTTTAGGGGTTTCGGTTGTGGAGTTTAGGGCCGAGCCACACAAACATGATAGAAGTCACCTTGAAACAACTTGAGAAGCCTTGGGGCTGGATTGTCTTCAAGCCTCCTAAACCCTAAACCCTAAACCCTAAACCCTAAACCCTAACCCTAAACCCTAAACCCTAAACCCTAAACCCTAAACCCTAAACCCTAAACCCTAAACCCTAAACCCTAAACCCTAAACCCTAAACCCTAAACCCTAAACCCTAAACCCAGCCCTCCAGCTGGCGTCACCGGCGCTCCGGTTTTCGTCTCCGCGTGCTGCGACGTGGTCTGCTGGCTGCCGTCTTCGGCGAGAGGTCAAGAACCCTAAACCCTAAACCCTAAACCCTAAACTCTAAACTCTAAACCCTCTGGGAAGTTTGGGATTCTTAGGGCTGAAAAGTCTTTCAGGTTTTCAACTGGGCCTGAGAAGCTACGACGTGCAAGTTTAGGGCTTGAGGGCTCTGGGTGTTCAGGCAGGTCGCCGAAGCCGTGTCTTACCACCAGAGACTTGCAGGCCAATCATTGGAGGGCGCGCAGATCTGAGTCCACATACCTGGCAGAAGAACGACTCTCAAGGTTCTTAAAAAAGATATCTTATAAGTTTTGGGTACAAAAGCTTTGGCAGCCTTGGGCTGTCGAGACCTCCAGATTCCTGCACCTGCTCATGCCTTTATTAATGCCGCATTCGAGCCTCAAAGTGCCACTGGCGTCTCTGAAGTAGAATGCCTGTCCACGGAAAGCTCTTCGAGCCATGTTGGAGAAGCGTAGGGTTTAGGGTTTAGGGTTCAGGGCTTCGGGCTTATAGGGCTTAGGGCTTAGGGCTTAGGGTTTAGGGTTTAGGGTTTAGTGTTTAGGGTTTAGTGTTTAGGGCCTCAAAGCAACAGCAAGTCCGCGGTGCCTTGGAAGACGTGCGCGATCTTCGCAGACGTCGCTGCAAAATCCTGTCCCACGCCGAAGGCATCTGCACACAAATCAAGTTCGGTACTTCTGGAAGCACATGGGTCTCTCCCGAAATCCGGGTACCCATTTGTTATACCCCAAATAGACGAGAATCCCCTTGAAGGGACCCCCCAAAAGGGTACGGAAACCCCCACATCGTAGACCCGGCCTTATAGGGAGTTCCTCAAACTTAAGAACCCGGGCTGGCAAAAACCATGGAGGCAGACCTGGGCGTGGCAAAGAGCCACTCCAACAAAAAAGCAACGCACAGAAAAGAAACAAAGAAGATTAGGGTTGAGGGTTTAGGGTTTAGGGTTTAGGGTTTAGGGTTGAGGGTTGAGGGTTGAGGGTTGAGGGTTGAGGGTTTAGGGTCACAAGAATCATGAGCAAAAAGAAGGCTAAAGAAGACGAGTGAGAGAAGAAGAGCTCCCATCTTCCCGGCTCCTGAGGATTCCAGCAAAGGCATCCTGAGCGGCTCCCGACGTGGAGAGTTTTATTTTAGGGTTTAGGGTTTAGGGTTTAGGGTTTAGTGTTTAGGGTAAGTTGGGAAGTGAGCGTACTGGCTCTTTGAGGGAATGCGGGAAGTAGGTATCTCATTGGTACGCACCTACTTTCCCTCATTTCCCTGCTAAGAGAACCCAAGTAAGGGTTGATGAAGAGCCCATGAAGCCAAATGCAGGTGTTTCTTGGCGACTATAGGAGCCTTAATAATTAAAATAGGGCTTGGGGGATGTTCTGGAGACCATTTGGGAATACTATCTGCAATTATTCTGACCCCTACATTTTGTTTACAATGCTCAGGCTCCCAGATTTCTGGGTTCCTACATGGCAGTCCTGCCCATCTTCCGCTGGGCAAACGCGATGTTGTCGCTGAAGATGTGCTCGCACGTCCAGCTTCTGTGCCAGGGCTTCTCAGTGCTTTTTTGCATACTCACAGCAGGGTAAGTAAGGTAGAACAATATAAGCCCAGAGTAGTAGAGGTAGAACAAGAGTGGCAGGTGCCCTTGCAGATTTTCACTGGCGGATTCGGATTCTTGTGGAAGCAGGCACCGGCCAGTGGCATTAACGGACTGCTGTTCCGCAGGCGAGTCATGGCTTGGCAATGCTCTCAGCCCTGTTGGCCGCTCAGAAGCACATCTCCCTGCGGGAGTCATGCCCAGTGAGCCGCTGGAGATCGCGAACCGTGAGATGTTGCTGCAACAGCCAGCAATTTCATCTCCAGCGGCGCAAGCAGCGACTAAGTCAGCACATTATCCAAGAATCTAGGCAGCACGTCGGGCGCACCGCTCCGGCCTCTGAACCCTACACCTCTGGTATTCTCGCTGAAGCTGCACTCCTGGCGTGGTCAGTGCACCCTAGCCCTTTGCGTCAGGGAGCGGCGGCGCTACCTCGGAAGCTCAGGCAGGAGAGGGCTTGGGGGGGGTCGGGCCCTGTGTCATCAGCATGGGTGTCGCTGTAGCTCCTTGCCATATGGGTTTGGTGGAGATTGCTTATGATTATGTGATTATGAGAGTTATAGAAGGATTATGAAGGGCACTTTACTTTGGCTCCTTCTATTCGGGCCGAAATAATGTTTGGGGTGTTCGAACTGGGGCAACCAACGAAACCGAAGCTTGGGCCGCTTGGCTCCAAGCTAGGATGGCCCTTCGAACCCGTGACAAAAAATATTCCTGAATATGATCCCCTTAAAACCCATTAAGGGAGAATAAGACATATATTCCTGCATATGATTCCCTTAAACCCAATAAGGGAAAATAAAGGATGTCCCCAGGGCATACCGAGCAAGCCTCTCAGAGCTTTACGCAGGCGAGGCACGTCGCCCACGTACTGCGGGGGAGGCTTTGCTGGCGCCACACCTGGCCAGATGGCCCTAACCCTAAACTTTGCCCTAAACCCTAAAACCCTAAACCCTATACGGGGCAAAAACTCCGCCTTATTGCTGGTTCTTCGCAGGGGGAAGGCCCAAATCATGAAAGCTTACGAACGCCCCGCAGCGATCTGAACCTCTATGACCCCACAATCTTCCAAGTCTCGCAGGGAACCCTTCAGCATTTTCCTAAATCCTTCAAACCCTAAACCCTAAACCCTAAACCCTGAACCCTTGCGATGGACCCTTGTACCCCTGACACCAGCTCCCACACCATGCACGAGCGCCCCTAAAGCCCTACACCATGACAGCCATCCTCTAGAACCCAAGAGCACCTAAACCCTAAACCACCCCAGACCCTAAACCCTAAACCCTAAACCCTAAACCCTTCGGGTTTCGGGCTGAACCCACGCCAGGGGAACCGCAGAGGTGGCCAAAAGCCCTCATCAAGGAGTCCAAGAGACCCCCGTCTCCTCGGAGCGGACTTATGGCTTAGGTGGGTTTAGGGTTTCGGGGGTTTTAGGGCCTAGGAGTTGGGGGGTTTCGGGTTTAGGGTTTAGGGTTTAGGGGTTCGTCTGATCCTTCCTGGTGCTGCTAGTCCTTCATTCCCACCTCACCAACTGCTGCCCCGGAGCAATAGGAGCAGGCTTCCAACCGCGGTGCATTACTTCCTCATTCAAATGCCTCTTGAGATCGACTATAAAAACACATTACTCATTTTTTGAACTCGCAAAATGTTGTGGCTTATTTGAAAGATATTTGAAACCATCTTGGCCTTCATTTTCTTAATTTGGTGCACCCCCAACGAGAAAGCACCCACAGCAAGAAAAGATCTCTACGTCTACGCATAAAAAGCATGGGTTCGCCAAAAACATCCTACAAATCCTACTAGACTACCTAAACCAACTATCAAACCGTGGAACCCTACACCATGAGAACCCTAAGCCCTCAACCCTCAACCCTGAACCCTGAGCCCTAAACCCTAAACCCTAAACCCTAAACCCTAAACCCTAAACCCTAAACCCTAAACCCTAAACCCTAAACCCTAAACCCTAACCCTAAAAGCGGGACACTTGGGCGCCTGAGCGCTTCGGCGGCTCGTAGCTCAGCAGAGGCTTCGAGCCGAAGAGGGACAGAATCTTGGCGCCAAAGGGTTTCGGGGTTAGGGTCACGCCACCCACAGCCGGGATAACACAGACAGACGGCAGGTTGGACATGCTGCGCTGGGCACGAGGCCATGTCATTGAAGTTCACGCGCCCTGCAGGCGAAGCAAGCACGCGATGGCTTTGGATCACAACGTGGGGGAGATCCAAACCATGGGCCCTTTCTCCAGCACAACTGCTGGGCCTTCACGGGTCGGATCGGCCTTCTTCATGATGTCAGCCATCTGCGGCACAGAGACACGCGTCGTGAGTTCAAGAGGCACTGGTGTGCAGCATACCACGTTGGGGTTGAGGTTGAGAGCCTACCCTTTAGGGCCATACATGCACCTGGTCCTCCTCCATGCCATCCGGTCCCGACAGGACCAGCAAGACCTGGAGATGAAACAAGCAGGGTTTAGGGTTTAGGGTTTAGGGTTTAAGGTTTAGGGTGTTTGGGGTTTAGGGTTTATTAGGCTTTAAGGGCAAGAAGAGCGCAATTGGCCACCCAAGCAGCCACAAAAGTCTAAGAGAAGGCTCAGGCCTTCGATGAAAAAACCCTGCAAAAGCCACCCCAGGAGCTCCTGGCCAAAGGCCTGCATCTCGCGACCTTTCAGTGCCCGTGTCTCAAACCACCTAAACCGTAAACCCTCAGCCCTAAACCCTAAACCTTATTATAAGCCCTCAGCCATCCGCTAAACCCTACAAGCCCCAAGCCCTAAGCCCTATGCCCTAAGCCCTAAGCAAACTCTAATCCCAGATCCCGCGGATGCCTAGGAGCTCCTAAAAAAGGAATATGACAATTCTTTTTCAACATACGAATACTTTAACGTCAGTATCATATATTTTTTAACATTCTCGATCATCACATACTATATAATAATGCACAACAAAATAACTTAACGAAGCAAATCTTATCGAAAATGTGTGTTCAAGACCCTCCCGGCAACACCTCACGGAGCTGCTTCGTGGTGATGTGGCCTGTGCCGTCGTCCTGCAGCGCCCAGGGTTTTGGGGTTTAGGGCTTTCGGGTCGTAGGGCTGTAGGGTTTAGGGGCCCAATTTGCCTCAAAGATTCGGAGTCTAGGGATGCGGAATCCAGGATTTGAGGGGCAGGGCGGGTCCCCGACACCGTCCCTCATGGCTCCTTCTCCTGGAAAAGGCGCATGAAGTCCTCCACACACACTAAGCTGCTTCTCAGCATGATGCGCTCGTTTCATGGAGTTGCGAAAACCCAACTGCCTTCTCCAAGAGTTTTCGGAAGGCCTGTCCCAGTGCAACAAGAGATTGCTGGGCAGCGTTACGCCCGCACAAAGGAAAGGCCGTCACACTTCACCCTGTCAGCCCTCCGAAACACAGGCCTGTAGCTTAGGCATCATGTTGACGAAGTCTTCGTAGGTGATCCTGCGACATGCGACTCTGCCCAGAACATGCAAGAGCAGCTCGAGGAGAAGCCCGCAGAAAGCTGGAAGCACAAAAGGTATCAAAGAATGTTCGCGGCACTTGCGACAGAAATCGCTTCGCGGGACTTCTCTGGCACATGGACAGGACATTTGTTTCAGGCAGCATGTGTCCTGTCCACGTCTCGTACCTTGGCTCGTGTGCTCAAGAAGCTCTTTAAAAGCCCGAAGCCTCAGGTCTAGCCTAGCCTTCAGCAACAAGCAGGTTGCCCAAAATACTGTTCCCTTTGGTTGGGGGGGGTCCTGCCTACAGGGAAGTGGAGTCGCATTCGCCGCCAAGCAGACGAGTACATGAGTAAGTCTGAGTACATGTCTGTGTGCAATCACAGCGACCTCTGGTAAGCCCTAGACCCTAAACCCTCATGCCCAAACCCTAAACCCCACACTAAAAGCTTGACCCGGATTGAAAGGCAGCGCGAATCATTGCCGCCGCGTGGCCCCCGCGAAGTAGAGCAGGTTTGATGCTGCCTCCACCTTGGTGTTCCCAGCTGCACTGCGGGATTTGTGGGGTGGTGGCTTCCAGGCTCTGGGCTTAGGACTCAGGGGTTTATGTAGGTTTGGGCTGGGGTTTGGGGACCTTGGTTTTGCGCGCATCTGCAGTTGCAGGTCTTAAGGATTGCTGGCTCATGCTGGCTCATTTCTGTAAAGGGGCTTCTTCCCTAACTCCTGGACGAAGAGTTTGCCGCCACGGCTTGAGGGCTGCAGACTGGGGCACGGACGCTGGTGGCGTAGCCAACATCTGACATGCCTGGGCCAGCGCAGGGTTTGCAGGGGTGCGAACAGAGTTTCAGGACTTGTCTAAGCAATGCAATGGTTGCTGTAGTGAGCAGAATCACCAGCTGCTCTGATGAAGCCTTTAGTAAACTTGAGTAGACAAAACTCAAAGTACAGTGAGTCTTCCACCCACTCCGTGAATCCCAAACCCGTGAAAACGACTGTAGAGCCGAGTCACGCTGAGCCAGCTCGATAGAGCCCCAGCTAGTATCCTGCGTGCAGTATCTGTGTATCGGGCACAATAAGATAAGTGGTGTAGGGTTGAGGGTTGCTTGCATTCTGCGTCTGCTATGGGGCAAAGCTATTCAATTTTATTCGGTTCGTTACGTTGTGGGGCGACACCAAGCAACTTCAAAAAGTGCAAGTGGCAGGCTAAATCTGGGCTAGGTAAGCACACTGTCCGGAATCCCTTGCTGATCCTTCAATGGTTCTGGGGTCTTAAAGCTGCTAAACTGCGCTGCACGGGTTGAATGTGTTGGGGGGGGGGGGGGGGCAGATTTCGGGCTTCAGATCATCTTGGCTGTGCAGCTTGGTTAGGGTTGTGCATTCCGCGTGCGCGGGAATTTAGGTGGCCTTTGGGCTCGAGACATTGGAACTGTCTCGCAAGCGTTTGGGCACCGGGGTCCCTAGGCACCCCAACCTTCGATCCACACCTATGATAGCTACGGGAACCTGCAACTAAAGGGCCCCCCCCCCCCCCGAGAAACCAGCTGACTCGATCCTTGTCCGCATCGAAGTAGTTGAAGAGCTCCTGGGTACAGATAGAGCAGGTCTTCTCCCAAATTTCGACCTCCAATTCAGCTGCCTCAGCCTGTCCTGAAACTGCAGCTTCTCCACCTCACTGGCGTTGTCCAAGATCTTCGCCGCCTACAAATCAATGCCCCTGAATGCCCCAAGCACCCGCACGGCCTCCGGAGGGCGCCACGAAGCCCGGCATTCCATAAAGCCCCCCACGCCAGCTGGACTTCGCGCCTTCTTTCGAACCCTCTCGTCCTTTCGATCTCTGCCGGTCTGCTGTAGCATGTCTCAGAAATGATCACAGGAACACAAGAACAAGAGAGCGGACGGCGTCCAAGAGGTCGTCTGGTCCTCCATTTCGATCTCGGTCTTCTGCAGCCTACTTGCTTTGCTCTTCTGATGCTTCTTCTGCGCCTCTTGCAGTCGCACTCTTCTGACAGTGTTCAAAAGGAGACAGACGAGACAAGGACATCTCAGAGGTGTCTGATTGTCGGATTGCCCTCTTTGGGACCTTGTACTGCTTCGCCACTTTTGTCATTCGCTCGTCCTGACTGCCAGCCTGCACACGACGAGCAGCCTTTGTTGTTGGGTTTAGGGTTTAGGGTTTAGGGTTTGGGGTTTAGGGTTTAGGGTTTAGGGTTTAGGGTTTAGGGTTTAGGGTTTAGGGTTTAGGGTTTAGGGTGTCAGGGAGTTCTGCTCTCAGCACAAGTAACATGCGCCCAAGGCCTCTTTGGGCCTGTCATCCATGACACCTGGGGCCATGAAGAGCACGGGAAGGGATTAGAGAGTTTGGATCATGAAGGCAAACCAGTGAGCCCAGGGTTTAGGGTTTAGGGTTTAGGGTTTAGGGTTTAGGGTTTAGGGTTTAGGGCTTCGGGTTTAGGGTTTAGGGTTTAGGGTTTAGGGTAACTCAGCATGCGTTCCAGGTTTTTGCACCGGGCATGGGCCGCCAGCCTCCCGCCGGGGTGTAGAGGCCACCCACGCCCCTGCGCCCATCGCGCGTGACATCCTGGAGATGATGACACAAGCGCACAAATGGTGAATCGTCACCCTAAACCCTAAACCCTAAACCCTAAATCCTAAACCCTAAACCCTAAACCCTAAACCCTAAACCCCGCACCCTTGCTGCCTTGAAAGCGCGTTTCAACTCTGTGTCTTCCAGGAGCACAGATTCGGCTTGCAACCTCAAGTCCGCAGGCAACTTCAAATGTGAGCTACGGTGGCCTTTATGCGACAAAACCCTAAAACCCCAAAACCTCTAAACACCCAAGCCCCAATGAGCCCCCAAAGAGCCCCCAAAGCCCGCAAAGCCTAAAAGCCTAAATCCAAAGATGCCCTAGACCCTGAACCGCTAAGCCCCGAGCGCGCCCTTGTCCACCACTTCGGAGGGATCATAGAGCTGGCGGCGCAGACATCGTGGACCAGGCAATGTACTTCTAGAAACTCTCGGAAAGCGAGCGAAGACTTCTTGCGACAGCAGGTGCCTACCCCCCCCCCCCTGCAGCCCTAAACCCTAAACCCTAAACCCTAAACCCTAAACCCTAAACCCTAAACCCTAAACCCTAAACCCTAAACCCTAAAACCCTAACCCCCCCCCCCCCAAGGCCCTACGCAACAGCAGAATATGGGCCTGGGAGTGCCGTCGATTCTGCGGCTGGTTCTTGTGGGCCATGCTCCCGCCGGCCGTGGCATGGAGCGCGGAAGGATCGGAGGCTTAGGGCTTAGGGCCTAAGGGCCTGAGGGCTTGAGGGAGTTAGGGGCCCTAAGGGTTTTCTAGGCCAAAAGGAGCTCGAGTGGGCATCAGAAGGGCTCTTAAGACAACCATCAGGTGCGGGGGCTTCTGAGAGGGGTGCTTGGGAGCTGTCTTGCATGTTCGGTGTCCTGCATGTCCTGTAGCGGCAGCTCAACACGGCAGAGTCAGGTAGGGTCCTTCCCAATATTTCCAAACAAATAATATATATATATATATGTATACATATACATACATATATTTATATTTATTTTTATTTTTATCTTTATATTTATATTTATGTAGAGAAAGAGATGCAGCTTGCAGCACTGGCATCACAAGTAGGGAGCCTTTGGCGGGTAGAAGTACCTAGGCTTCTTCCGACATGAGCCGGTGGATTATCGGGATGAGAAGCAGTGGGCAAACCAAAGGGGCTCCACCCTGCCAACGACCCACTCCATCCCACTCCATTCCACTCCCACTCCTCCCGCTTCTGTGGGCAAGCATCGTGGTATCTTCAGGGTTGTGAGAATCTCTGTTCGCCTGCACCTCGAAACCCCAGCTCTTCACATCTTTTCACACCCTCTTCCCCACCCCGTGCCAGTGTCATGAGCAACATCACATCATCACGTCTCTCTCTCTCTCTCTCTCCCTCTCTTTTCCAGGCCTGGACGCCTCAGACGGGAAATCACCTCCGAACCCCCACTCCAAAGAGCCCAAGCCTGTTAAGCTCGGCTTACTTCGTCGGCTTGTGGCTCCCGCAAGGAGCTTACGTGATCAAACATGCACAGGCTGACAAGCTCTTTTATCAAGTTGGCAGAACAACCCTTCCCACCCAAAATCGAAGTGCAGCCAGCGTGCCAGCACCGTATCCGCTGCGCCTCGAACTCCGAAACCCTAAACCCTAAACCCTAAGCCCACAAACTATAAAGGGCAGGGATGGCAGGGGACAACATCAGCTGCAACCCCCGCTCTGGCACCAACGAAGCAGCCTCGTCCATGTAGCTTTGCACAACGTTGTCCGGCAGCGATCGCAGGTATGACACTAACCTTGGCATGTCTTTGCCAGTGTCTTTGCACATGTGGCGGAGGGTTCCACCGGCATGAAGGGCTCGAAAGGCTGGAATGACCACGGTAGTTCCAATAGGTGGCACCACAGCCGGCTTATGCCCGCTTGCGCAACCACTGAGCCCAGCCGAACTCTCAATCTTCAAACTCTCCCTCCGCAGCGCACTTGCCCCTTGCCTGTCTTCAGCCAGGTCACTGAGGCCCTATCTGCGTGGAGGGCCACTTGATCACGAAGCGCGTGACATCCAGGAAGTCCTTCAGGGGTGTTCGCGGTCCCCGTGTTGTTCGGCTTCATTTGGCCCTAAACCCTAAACCCTAAACCCTAAACCCTAAACCCTAAACCCTAAACCCTAAACCCTAAACCCTAAACCCTAAACCCTAAACCCTAAACCCTAAACCTAAACCCTAAACCCTAAACCCTAAACCCTTGCTTTGTGACCTAGCTCCTCGAAGGGCAACTCCCACTTGTCGGAGATCATGACCGGGATGCAGCCAGCAAACAGCACCTGAGATCAACGCGTGGCTGTTCCAAATGCGGCTGGTTTAGGGTTTAGGGTTTAGGGTTTAGGGTTTAGGTTTTAGGGTTTAGGGTTTAGGGTTTAGGGTTTAGGGGTGTCATAATCATGGCGCTTTTGCACAGGCCCGATGCGTTCTGCCTACTCAAAGCCTCCAATGGAGCCTCCGAAACCAGCTGCCCTACCCCACCTCGAAGAAGCGCAGCGACCAACCTGACTTGCCTGACAAACAAAAACTGTTGCTTTGCCTTTGTGTCCTTTGGGACGAGAGAGATGGGCATGCGATGAGATGGTCCAAACTCTCAGGCCTCGTGGGACAAAGCAAAAGCGGGCGTCCCCGTAGGCTTCGTGCATCACCTCGGCATCTCCAGACGCACGCAAGGGAATGATCGTTCGGATGGGGAGCAACCTAAGAAGCACAAAACAAAGACTCCTTGTCAAATGAAGATTCTCAAACAAGGAACCCGAACTTAACCCTACAGAGGAGGAACGGATACCACTTTGGGGGGGGGGGGGGTGGGGGTTAGTCGAATGGGCCTCTGCAACGCCAAAAACCCCTCAATGGCCTCCAGGGTTGCCCCGTCTCCGAACTTCATGTCCTCGGTACCTGCGTGGGACGTGTAGATGCATGGACCCAGGTGCAACCTCACACGTCACAAACATGGAAGCTGTCATGCAAGCATGCCTCCTCTGTGTACACTTCGCGTCAACTCTTGCAGTCTCTTTTCATGCCGCAAACAATGCTTGCCTGCTGCAAGCCCCACAAGACACTGCGGGCCGTTGCGCTCCCTGAACCAGCCCCGAAAGTAAGGGACCCCTAATAGAGACCCCCAAATCGTAGGATTCCCTTGAAATAAGGACCCCAATGAGGTACCCCCGAATTTCGGAAATCCCCCCTAAACCCTAAATCCTAAACCCTAAACCCTAAACCCTAAATACAAGCAGCTAGAATCTCAGGCAGCCGTGGCTAGATCTCCGGAAGCTCCAGCGGTGCCAACTCCAGGCCTGAGCCAGGTTTAGGGTTTAGGGTTTAGGGTTTAGGGTTTAGGGTTTAGGGTTTAGGGTTTAGGGTTTAGGGTTTAGGGTTTAGGGTTTAGGGTTTAGGGGATAGAGAGCCATTTGCAGCAAAGGTAAGACCATCGACACTTCAAGCTCCTCCAGCTTAGAGCTAGGATTTTCAGGATTTAGGGATTCATCCAGCTTAGAGTCTAAGAGTGTCTAAGAGCTTGGGATTTTTAGGATTTAGGGGATAATCTCTGGGCTTTTGGGGCGTTGCGGCTCTGGTGTTTTCGGGTCCCGGGGTTTGAAGAGCCATGCCCGCGCGAGGTCCAGGCGCCACCACAATCCAGGCCTCGTTGGGCGCGTCATGCTTCCGAATGAAAGGCACGGGACCCTAAACCCTAAACCCAAACCCTAAACCCAAGAAAGCAGGCAAAAAAACGGCCCTTCTGAGCGCCCGGCATCCCAAGCAAAGGTGAGAAGCCATGCGCGGAGAGTAGCCCCTCAGTCCGCTCTTCTCTAAAAAAGCAGCAGAGGGAGCCCTAGGATTAGGAAGGGCGCTGCACTGCCAAAGCAAATATTCCAACCAACAAAGTACAGAGGCAGGAGAGAGCTGGAGCTCGAAACGATTCTGAGAAATCTCCCAAAATTCGCACCAAAAACATGTGACCGCCTCTGCACTCGGCGTGGCTGCAGGGCGAGCGAAACTGAACCTGGCCAGATCAGAAACTGCTATGGCACGTGGGGGCTTACCATGTCGAACTTGCTACAGCGGAGCAGAAGAACCGACAGATGTCACGAGTTTTGAGAGCCACCAGCCATAGCAATGCCGAACGTCGGAGCACCCACCCAGTGAAAGTGTCGCGAGAGCGTGGCAAGTTCCGAGATGTGCGACCTACTCGAACTCAGCTGCGGCGCACCAAGGCACCTCAGCCGCGCTGCACATGCCGCCGAGCCAACGAGGTGCCTCGAGACGAATGGGGCTGTTTGTAGGATTGTCACTTAACGCAGCAACCGATTGGGCCGGCTGGGCTTTAGGGATCGCTATGGCGCTATGGCTATGGATGCGATGTGGGACTGCCAACGCTCGACACTATGACGCCGAAGCTGAATGCCCAGATGCCCTCTTCGGCAGAGTTGCGAGTGCTTGGAAAGTTCGACATTGCGATAATTGAAGGGCTGGGTTGCTGGTAGTTGAATAAGGCTGAGCTGGTCTGCTGTCTAGATTAGTGATGATTAGCGTCCCTTGGGGGGGGGGGGGGGGGTCCTCCTATGATACACTGATACGAAGCCTTATACATGGGGCATAGTCACAGGGTGTCCATTCTTAGCCGGAGGTGGACAACCAAGTCTCCCAACCAGCTGACCAGGAGCAGGAAACCCTAAACCCGAAACCCCAAACCCGAAAACCCTAAACCCTGAACCCCTCAACTGTAGATGCGGCCACGGGCGCAGGCACAGGAATTTGCGAATCTGCAGCTCAAGCTCCTTCCGCCTTGGCTGTCATTCCGGCAGGCGGTATCCCTGATCATTTAGGGTTGACGGTTTAGGTTTTGAGGCTTAAGGGTTTAGGGTTTAGGGTTTAGGGTTTAGGGTTTAGGGTTTAGGGGGGGGAAAAGGGCCCCGCAATTCTGATCAATCCTGTTGAGGGTGTCAGCTGGTTTGAGAGCTCGGGGTCTCAGGCCCCTCTTCCCCAATCCCGGCAGCCTGTGAGCCAGGATCCACATTTGGACTTTCTAGATAACTTCTATAAGTGCAATATGTCTTATAGCATATTCTGTATATATCCCTGTATATACATATATATATATATATATTGAGATATACATATAATATATATATATATATATATACATATATATATATATTCATATTCTGAGTATGTAGTATCGATGATATAATAGATATACTATGGATACAAACTAGGCTCTGCTAATTAGGAATACAATGACTGCAAAGAGCACCTTTGGGCTCTGGAAAAAACATGCTGCAAGACAACGCTTCACTGCGCTCCTGAACCTGCGCACCTTTGCAAAGGCTAAACCCTAAACCCTAAACCCTAAACCCTAAGCCCTCTCTACCCAAGCGAAGAAGCAAGTTCAGGAGTCATCCACTCCCAACCCAACCTACAGTCCTGAACCCTGAAAGGGTTCCCAGCAGGCCGTAAACCCTAAACCCTTAATCCCTTAAACCCTAAAACCCTAAACCCTAAACCCTAAACCCTATACTATACCCATGCAGCCCAGAAGCCCTGGAAAGCCCAAGAGCGCCCAAGAACTCCAAAACCCCAAAGCCCCAGAAACCCTAAACACCGTACACACCCAAAATGTCTAAAATACCCCAAAAGCCCCACAAACCCTAAACAAAAACCATTCTAAAACCCTTGAAAAAAACCATGAAAACCCCTTTTTTGAAAGCACCATCCTAAATGCCCTTAAGAACAACATTCAAAACCCTCAATTTACAACGCTTAAAAGCCCAGAAACCTTTTAAGCCAAGGCCAGGCCACGAGGCGCTTCCCTCGGCCCAGAGCTCACGCCGGGCACGTTCTAGCAGGCGCTCCGCCTGAGCGCTTCGGAGCCTTTAGGGCCTTTGGCGTTTAGGGCCTATAGGGTATTAGGGTTTAGGGATTACTTCGCATTTCGGTGTTAATTCGGGTTTGGGGTGTCGAGAATGTCGAGACTTTCGAGGGTTTCGAGGGTTTGGGGGCTTTAGGGGGTTAAGGGGTTTCGAGGGCTTTGGGGGGTTTAGGGGGCCTGAGGGGAGAGTAGCTGTTGTCTCCCGAACCCTAAACCCTAAACCCTAAACCCCAAACCCTAAACCCTAAACCCTAAACTCAGGGGCTCTTAGGGTCACTGCGGAAAGCTTGGGCCTGGAAGTCCCCAAACCCTCAACACCGAAACCCTGGACTCTGAACCGAACCCCTACCTTAAAAACACCCAAAACCTGCCGATTTGTAGGTTACCTAGGAATCCTATAAGGGGTTTTAGAACAACCTACCAAAAAGGTAGGTTACCTAGGAATCCTATAAGGGGCTTTATTATTCATAGTAACCTACCAAAAAGGTAGGCTTTGGGGGGGTTCTTAAGGTATAGGCCCTGCACCGCAAAAGGCTTCTTGGGGGAGTCTGGGTCCTGCCTCCCGTTCGCGCAGATGAAGGCCGGTCTGATCTGCAGGAAGGGACCAGTACCTCACAAAATCATCCTACAGCAGGAACTACAGCAGGGTTCTCAGGGTTTAGGAGTTTCGGGGTATAGGAATTTCAGGGTGTGGGAATGTCAGGGTTTAGGATGTTCAGGGTTTAGGGCTTACAGTAGGGTCAAGGGGCCAAGGGCGGAACTGGGATCCAGGATTCAGGGGCTCAGGGCTCGGGACTGTTGAGGGTTTGTGGGTCTTGCGTGGTTGCCGGACGCTGCTACAGCGTAACAGCTTCTACCGTCGAGACATGAACCGCAACTTCTGCGATCTCCCCCCGCCCCTGTACTCAATCACACGCAGACACAAATTCTCAGACGCGCACCCTCGCTGCAGGGATGTGCAGATATCCTAAGAGGACGGGGGAATCACTGCTGAAGTGACAAGATCCAGAGTCTCTCTGATCTATGAACTCTCTCTGTGAACCACAGCCTGAAATTATCTGAAGTTTTTTTCGATCACAGTCTCTCTGATCCATGACTCTCTCTGTGTACCACAGCCTAATAATATCTGATTATTTACAAATGGATTGCCTGAGGATCGTGCCTCTGCTGAGACCTGCCAGCTGCCACTGTGACGCACGAGCACCTGTCAAGTTTTACTTGGAGGTTCATGGTATTTATTTATCAATTATAACTGTACTTATACCCCACTTATAAGCCCCTCAAGTGTCCTAATATGGTGACTATGATTGGTTTATGGTACAGTTATATTTGGGTTACTAAGTACCATGAACCTCCACCTGTCTTTACGACCTTCCTACGATGGGTAGCTACAAAGTCCCCAACTCGGCGCCACTAACCATCCCAAGCGACCCAAGCCCTGCAAAAGCCTTGTAGCAGAAGCTGAAATATTTATACTTGCTGTTGTAGAATAAAGACCTCAAGAGGGGCTCGAACTCGGCACCGTTCTTTCCCAGGGGCCACCGCCCCCATGCCGGTGGCATAAAAGCCCCTTCCATGTGAATTCAAGGACTCATGTGTAAAAGAGGCGCGTCGTGCTCGACCCAAAGCCTTACGAAAGAAAAGGCCCCAAGCAACGCTGGTGATTGCAACTTATTCGCATTGATCGCTGCAATCGTGCCCTCAAGCAACAGAAGTAAGGCCAACTTGCGGTGGAGCAAGCAGCTGAAGGTAGCCTAGTGGCCGGATCATGTTGAGGGACTCTTCCAGCGTCCCAAGGTCAGGCTCGCGAATTACGTATATTCTTGGGGCTGCGAGTTGAAAGCTTCTGGGTTCAACACCTGAACCCCGGTACCCTAACAAACGATGAAAGGTCCGGGTACCGCCGAAAGAAGCTCTCACGACGTACCTCGCGGAGCTCGGACGCCGCCGGTCTCAAAGAAGGCCCTGAGGAGGGTGCGTCAGTTGGGGGCTTAGGGTTTAGGGTTCAGGGTTTAGGGTTTAAGGCTTGGGGTTTTGGGGCTCTAGGATTTGAGAGAACTTGAGCTTTCTTTTTGAGAGCCGACCCGACAGCAAGGCTGCAACGAAGCGGCGCCTCCGGCGCACTGCGCTCGCCTGGGATGGTTGGGCCCATCTGGGCAGAGGGTATCTTGGACCCTTAAGATTGCACCCTTGGTTTTGGGACCCCTTTAAAGATCTTTAGGATCGTATAGGGGCCATATTAGGAGTATGTTCAGGGGAACCTTAGGGGTACAACCTCAGGGCCACGAGTCTTAACCCCATGACTCAACGGTAAGGGCCCCAACAACTATTATTAGACCAAACGCCCGAAGCCCCACCCCCCCCCCCCAAAAAAAAAAAAAAAAAAAAAAAACGGTTTAGGGTTTAGGGTTTAGGGTTTAGGGTTTAGGGTTTAGGGTTTAGGGTTTAGGGTTTAGGGTTTAGGGTTTAGGGTTTAGGGTAATGCCCAGTCACAGAATCATGGGCAGCAAGGCGTAGGCATCGCCCCTGGAGTCCAGTAGCTGAGCCTGCCGCTTCTTGGACTTCGCTTGGATTCTGGGTTTAAACCAGACACTAAAACCTCAAACCTCAACCCTCAACCCTAAACCCCAAACCCCAAACCCTAAACCCTAAACCCGAAACCCTAAACGCTGAAGAAGGCCAAGGGCGGGACCAGAACGGTGACCAGTGAGAGCTTGCTCTCTGCCGGGCCGCCTGCAACATGTGATGTGTGTCGAACTTGCGGATGCAAATGTCAAGGGGCTACTTGGGGTTTCGTGGCATTTCGTGGTACTTGTTAGGGTTTAGGGTTTAGGGTCTTGGGTTTAGGGTTTAGGGGCACTTACAAACCAATTATAGCTGTACTTATAACCCAATTATGAGGGCCTTAAGTGCCCTAACATGGTTGTAAGTACAGTTCTAGAAAAGTTATATAAGTACAGTTATAATTGGCTAATAAATACCCTGAACCTCCAAGTAAAGGTCAGGGGCTACTTAGGTATAGAGGGGTTTTTGAGGCATATAGAAAGCAGCTACATTCAGGCTACTTGCGTGCAACCCTGCAATTTGGGAATCAAGCTGCATTCGAGAAATACAGACCCCAAACCCTAAACCCTAAACCCTAAACCCTATCGAGCCAAGTTCGGAGTTACATATTTCGACAGGGTCCACAAACAAATCCTCAGGCTGCTGCCATGAGAATCTCTCGTGTTTTGCACATAACCACCGCAGCCTCTATTTCGAGTTCAGGAGTTTCAGTTTAAGATTTAGTGTTCCCTGAAATTTCCGTACTGCGAACCTTTAAGCACCATCTTTTGAAGGCTCTCGAAGCGAAATGCAGCAGCCGAGTGGGGGCGCCAGGCATGGCACTACCTAGTCACGAGTCCTGCCACCCCATGCTCACAACTGGGCAGATAAGCGCTGACACCCTTCTGGAGAGAGGGGTTTTGGTCTCAACTACAGGCCAAACGCCATGTAGTTTAGGGAGCCTAAAAAGGATCCCCCATTTTGTAGTTTAGGGTACCCAAACAAGGGATCCCCAGCATAAGATAGATCGCCTGCGGGGGTCTCCCCGAGCTGCATGAGCTCTCCAGCTTCTGCCATGGTCGCGGCGCCTTTGCTGTGCAAAGGCGCATCGGAAGAGCAGGGACGACGCACGTGTCTAGCGGCCCCACCGTCATTGACCAGCACCTCATCAAAGCATGGGTTGCCAGTTGCCATGACATGTTTAGATGTCTTTTTTTGGGAAGGGGGGGGGGGGGGAGGCAATAGCTTGTGCAACTTCTGCCTTGTGCGTATGTTGGAGCTACATAGGACTTTAGGGCCTGCAGAACTGTTGCCAGTATTCCAAGTTCACCTCTGCGTTCCCCAAAGTTCCTCTGAACAAGCTGGGCCGAGCGCCTGCAAACGACCGGACTGCTCCTTGTCAGACGCCTGTTCAGACCAAGGAAGCAAAAGAATCTGGGCAGTTGTTGGGAATACCTATTGTAAAAGACTGGCGGATGATCTTAGAGGTGGTTCTGTTAACAGCTACAACGACAATGAGCATGATACAGAGAAATCCATCGCCATCTCATAATCAAAATGGCCATGGTGTAATCTCATAGTCAGAACGGCGATGCACAGCTAGAATTCACGCTTCCCACACCCTAAACCCTAAACCCTAAACCCTAAAACCCTAAACCCTAAATACTGCCGCCTCCAGGAGTGCCTCGAGAGCACGCACAACTCGGTCTTTGCGCCCAGAGAAGAAGTCGGTGGCGCTGTACCTGCCGAGAGCAGCTGACAAGGACCTCAATTGCGTGATTGAGCCGACTTGGGGGGTTTTCCGATATTAGGGGTACCTTATTGGGGCCCCTGTTATAAGGGACTCCTACTAGTTGGGGTCTATTCTCCGGTTCCCTTATTTTCGTATATATTTTCGTAAACTCCCACTTCTTCGTGCTTCCTGAAGCTTCTTGATCTTCAGGGCACCGGCCACGCTTGGCCATTTCCGTGGACCGCAGCAGGGACTGGTCCTGCACGTGGTACAGACCTGTCGCGAAGCGCCATGGACTCCGCCCGTAGGCCGCAAGGCTGCGAGGCTGCAGAAAGAACAGTTGCTGCAGGCGGTTTGCGACCTGGCTGCCCGTAGAGGTCCAGCAACCCAAAGCCCGGCATCAGCTCCACCGTCACCACGCCCCCCTCACGGCCAACGGTCAGGTGCGAACTCTCGAGGGTGGCTCGTGCTAACCGCAGGATCTGCGCGGGGATACAGCCGAAGGCCTAAAATTGCCAATGTTTATGTGGGTCAACAGCAAGACGTGGATGGTTAAACAGATGGGCAGTAGTCCAAAGCAGCATCCCCATCAGCAGTCCTGATTAGAACGCCGTACTGTCACAGAACCCATACGGATCCAGAGAACTCCCATTAGCATATTCCCCCTGCTAGGAGCAGCCTCAAGATGAAGCCACAACAAGGGGGGAAAGCTGGCACAAGAACTATGAACCCCAAAACCTTCAAACAAGGTCCCGAAACGATCCCAGACACTTCGCCGGCCCCAACAAAACCTTCAAAGCCCGCTAACAGGGCGGGGGGGGGGGGGGGGGAGATACCAAGATAGAGGGGATCCAGGATCACGTGCGGGGGATTGCGGGTCCCTTCTCGGGATCCTTCCGCTTATCCCTTGAAAAATCAGATCACTGTCAACTCCTTGCCTCGACCGCTTCTGAGGGGCAGCCATCGGCTACGCGGAGGCAAAGGACCTTGCTTAGCTGAAAGGTCAGTGTGAGGGTTTTCTTGTGAATTTTAAGGCAGCTTACATGGATAAACGCAACCTCACGCGACCTCACCCCGCCCTCTTCCCACACTGGCAGAATTCATCGCCTCCGACCAGCCTAAAACCTGTAATCCTGAGCCCTTTAACCCTAAACCCTAAACCCTAAACCCGAAACCCTAAACCCTAACCTAAACCCTGAACCCTAAACCCTGCCCTCAATCCATGGCCACCTCGTCACTTGACTTGGCACCGAGGGAGGTGGCCTCGACAGTGGCTTGCTTAGGCTCCAGAACTATGTAGGGGGGTTAGGGTTTAGGGTTTAGGGTTTAGGGTTTAGGGTTTAGGGTTTAGGGTTTAGGGTTTAGGGTTTAGGGTTTAGGGTTTAGGGTTTAGGGTTTAGGGTTTAGGGTTTAGGGTTTAGGGTTTAGGGTTGGGGGCTGCCTAAACCCAAAGTTTTATGGGCGTTTGTATGGCTCTGGGGTCTACGGCGGGCTTCAGAGAGTGTATAAGGTTGGGGGCTGAAGGTCTTCTGAAACTCTTTGGGGTCTTAGGGCTTAGGCTTCCGAGTTTAGGGCTTGGGGACTACTTTGCCCCATTCCCGAGCAACAAATCGATTTTGGCAGCCACAAAAGAGGAAACCATAATCAAACACACGAAAGCAAACCTAAGAGCCTGAAAGTTCGGCCCCAGGTCCTTCGAGGCATTTTAAGGATGCTTAGGGCGTAGGCGGGTTTGGAAAGGTTCTAGGGGACAGCTTTGTCGTTCCTAGGGGTTTTGGGCCTTGATCCACAAGCCCCCCGTGAACCCTAAGCCTGCGTAAGTCCCGAATTTTGGCAAAGCGCCCCCTAAAGCCCTGAGCGTGCCAACTAATTGCAATTTGCTCACAGATCTATCGGCACATCGCATGTTCCAGAGGAAGCATTCAATGCAAAGCAAAGCAGACCAACTGGCCATCTGATCTCACTGCACATGTGTGATCGTGACCTGCTGAGACTTGCGCGACCTGCCCCAAATCCGTCGGCACATCGCATTGTCCACTCGAATTACTTCCAAAGCAGATTAACTGACCATCTGATCTCACTGCACAAGTGTGACGACCTCCTGCTGAGACTGCCACAACAGTTCCCAAATCCGTCGGCACATCGCATTGCTTTTTGGTATTCAACCCAAAGCAAACCAACTGACCGTCTGATCTGACTGCACAAGTGTGGTCGTTGCCGGCTGAGACATCCACAACTGCTCCCAAATCCGTCGGCACATCGCATTGTCCGTGGGTGTTATCTCCAAAGCATACCAACAGACCATCCGATCTCACTGCACAAGTGTGATCGTAGCCTGCTGAAACTTCCACAAATGCCAAGTCCGTCGGCGCATCGCACTGTCCGTTTGCATTGTTTCCAAAGCAGACCAACTGTCCATTTGATCTAACTGCACAAGTGTGGTCGTAGCCTGCTGAGACTGCCACAACTTCTCCGAAAGTCGTCGGCACATCGCACTGTGTGTAATCGTTCCATCCGAAGCATATCAACTGACCATCTGATGTCACCGCGCAAGTGTGACCTCCGCCTACTGAGACTGCCAATACTGCTCCCGAATCCGCTGGCACATCCTGTTCTCCGTTGGCGTTCCCCCCACGTCCGAAGCTGACCAACTGACTTGCTACTCTCACAGCGCAAGAGTGCCCGTAGCCTGCTGATACTTCCACAACTGCTGCCAAATCCGTCGGCACGTCGCACTGACCGTAGTCGTTCCATCCAACGCAGACCAACTGACCATCTGATTTCACAGTACAAGTGTGATCGTAGCCTGCTGAAACTGCCACAACGGCTCCGAAATTCGTCGGCACGTTGCATTGTCCATGGGCAGTATTCAGCCCAAAGCAGACCACCGGACTATCTGATTTCACTGCAGCACTGTACCTACTGCCAGCAGATAGGTAGCCATCCACAAACGTTGGTTTGCCATAGGACAGCTGTCGGGCATGCTTCCGGGACAACCTACATGGAAGATTCGCTGGAAAGCACCAGGATCTGAAACAAAGTGAGATAAACCAGTCCGCTGCAATCCAGCATGCGCAGGAGGAGAGTATGGTGAGTCCCAAAGCGGCTCTGAAAACAGACATTGCTTTAACACGAATTCACGTGATTGTTTTCCTCATATTTCATGCCACGCGATGAACTGCACACGTTGTGCGAACATTGCACCATCCGTTCGTCCAAGACATTCATAATCGTTGATAACACCAAGGGGGAGGAGGAGGAGGGGGAGGAGAAAACCCCAATACCCGAAACCTAACGACCCTGAACTTCAAACCATGAACCCTAAACCCTAAACCCTAAACCCTAAACCAGAACATCAGCCAAGCACTTGTTTGTGATGGAGAGGTCGTTACAGAGTGCCCTTCCCATGATCTCTTCCGACACCAGCGGCATGGATACAAAGGTACACAATCTCAGCCCTAACGCTGTCCCACTCACTCCTCCCCAAAGCGCTCTGACGGCTTCTATGCGATAAATACGTAAGAGAACTCGACGGAGCAGGGTTCACGTTTTTCGGCTCTGGGCTTGGGGGTTGTTGGGCTTGGGGTTAAGGGTTTAGGGTCATTAGGAAACTTCGGGCTTAGTAACTTAGTACTCTCCAGACCCCACTATAGTATGGTGGTTTCAAAAGAAAGGGGAACCCGAAGACGAACCGCAAAACAAAAGCAAAAAAAGGACACACATCCCAAGGAGAACCCCTATTGTCCTGAACCCACCTACTACCTCAACACCATGAGCCAAGCTTCAGGGGGAACCGTGTTCCTAAAAATGAGGGTCCTTTCGTCGATTACTCTGTTTCTGTCTTCCTTTTTTATATATTTTCTATTTTTGCTTGGGGGGGGGGGGGGTGGAAACCCTAAACCCTAAACCCTAAACCCTAAACCCTAAACCCTAAACCCTAAACCCTAAACCCTAAACCCTAAACCCTAAACGGTGGTTCCTACAAGAAGGATTCCTAGGTTTTTCCTACATGGCCGGGCCCCCTGAGCCCCGAGCGCTGACGCTTTGCAGCTGTAGAACCTGGCTTCGGTTCTACGATTTCTATGGAGTTCTATTAGGGTTCTATTAGGGTTCTATTAGAGTTCTATTAGAGTTCTATTAGAGCTCTATTAGAGTTCTATAGGGTCTGTAGGGTCTGTAGGGTCTTGTGGGTTCTATAGGGTCAATACTTTCAAGAGAGTCTACAGGGTTCGAAAGCGTCTCTAGGGATCTATAGGGTTGGTTCTATAGTGTCTGTAGGGGTCTGTAGGGTCTGTAGGGTTTGTACAGGCTCGTAGGGCCTTTTTGGTTCTGAAGGGTTCTATAGGGTTCCTTAGGGTTCTACAGCTATAGGGTTCTCTGAATTTCGAATAGGGTCTATAAGGGTCTATAGGGTTCTATAGGGTCTGTAGGGTCTATGGATGCAGGTTTTGGTCTCGGCTGTTGGCTTCGGGAATCAAAGCTGCCCCTGCGGCACTGCAAGGCATGGACTGAACTCAGGGCATCCCAACCCTACTTGCTGAGTACCCGGCCAAAAAAGGGGGCTAACTTTTTCAATTATGGTGGGATGGCATATCCCCACAAGGATCGAACGTTGCCTACTCAGCTACTCAGCTAAGCCGATTTCTGGGCATCTGCGCCGACGTCCGAGAGCAAAATCTGCGAAGAAATCCCGCGAGTCTCCCGAAATTGCCCCGAACATCTGGGGGTTTCCGAAATTGGGGGTACCATCTTGGGGGTCCTTATGAAAAGGGAATCCTACTATTTAGGGTCTATCATAGGGGCCCCTGATTTTGGTAAACCCCCATCTGCCTAAGCCTTGGGGCTCCCCAAAGCCCAGTCATGCGGTGCCTCACACTCGGCGGCCCAGCGGCCAGCAATGCTGCCAAGCAAGCTGGGTTTCTCATTCCATTGGCTTCACTGGTTTGACGAGTTCATCTGGGGCTGTTTTAGGGATTGTGGGTTTTTAGGCTTCGGGCTTGGGTTTGAGGCTTTCTTCCACGTCTAAAAGCAGGAACTGCATTCAAGAGCAGCCCCAAAAAAGACCGTGAAGAGGCCAAAGACAAAGCACGCCGCTTTTCCGGCCGTGCTTCTTCGCATTTGTAGGGTTGCGAGCTTGAGGCTTGAGGGCTTGTACAGGAACGTTTTAGGCCTTAGGGCTCATGGTGCAACAGTCTGCTGGCACCTGGTCGTCGCAGCTTTGTCCAAGGCAGTCATGTGGTAGCTGCCACTACCTTTGAGTACTGAGAGTTCATGGACTTTGGGTGGTGAACAGAAACTGTACCATGACGGGCTGGCTTTGCGACCGAAGAATTGTGCGCGTGCTGCAAGCCAAACTGGCAATTCGTTTGTTCGGTGGCCGTCGTGGGCGGCGTGGGATCTCTCTTTTCGGCGCGGAGGCGTGCAGTAACAGTAGAGGCCCACGATGCATGAACCAGTTCCAAGAGAAAAGCAAGGCCCCAGCGCAGGTGAAGCGTCTTGTGCCGCCACTGGGGTAGGCTGCCTTGCAGTCACAAGAGAGTGACCACCCCACATATTCTGTTGCATCCTGTATCGCATTCTATGCAGGGTGCACTACAGCTTACTGTGCTAGGCATACGAAGATGCACACCATGGCCTTGCACCCTCGAACATTGATGCGAAGCCCCTCCTAGTCACTAGTCCTTTTGCTGGGTTGGAAACTGGAGCGATCCCCGTACCAGACCAGGCCTTCGCAGGCCCAGATGGACGATCCTGCCTGGCGAGCCAAGGATGCAACCCTGAAGCCCTGAACTCCAAAATCCCGCCTAAATCCGCTCCAGAATACTCTCCCCAAGGCCTGGGCACACAGCCGCGGAAGCCGGGAAAAGGACCCGGGCCTCACAATCGTGAGCTTGGGGGTTGTACCCCTTCTGGATTAGGCTTGGGAATCTATAGGGCTTGGGGGTTTGGGTATTCGGACCCAAAACCCTAAACCCTAAACCCTAAACCCTCGAGGCACCGACGCGAAGCTCTCCTTCAGGGGCTGCAGCCTGACGAAGTGGCAGGCGCATCTTGGGCCGAAGGCCCAAGCTGAGGCAACCGCCCAGCCTGTCTGGTCTGAGGAGGTACCTGAGGCAACAACTTCTAGCATGCCTCCTCCAGACAGGGCTGAGGGCTTAGGGTTTAGGGTTTAGGGTTGAGGGTTGAGGGTTGAGGGTTTTGGGGGTGCATGGACTGGGCTTCGGGCCATGTGCCGAAGCCAACGCTCGCCAAGCTGCAGGCGATGGCCACAGTGCAACCCACAGATGCCTGGCTTTGGGGCTCAGGACCCTCGAGCCCTTCAAGCCCTTTAAGCTCGAAACCCTCAGGTGCTTTCGGCAGCCATCCTAAACCTCTTAAGCCTTTGGTGCCTCGGCATTGACGTGTCCACCAGACGCCCAGTGGTCGAAGCCCTCAGCTCAAAGGTGGGCTTTCGGGCGTTGTGTGGTTTGAGGATTAAGCAGTTTAGGGTTTAGGGCCTTCGGGGCTGAGAGCTTGAGACACTGACAAGCTGCTCTGACCACTCTGACCTTCTACGTTCCTGACATCACTTTGCCTGCCTCCTTCTTGAAACCCAGAACCCTGCATCCTGAAGCTTGACGACAATGCCCCCTTCCCCAACGCCTAAGCCATCAAAGCCCTCAAAGTGCTGGGCCCGAAACCCCTGAAAGCCTTTCACTGGAGACCCGAAACATCACTCAGTTCGGGTGACGCTTCAATCATCATGAGGGGAAGGGGGGGTGATTCATATAAGTTCAGAAATAACTGCTGTGGCTAAAGCACTAACAAGAATCACAAGTACTGCGACCATTGCGGGTAATCCGAATCGCCGCATGATTCACACGAGTATTGCACATATTACCACTGTGACTTCGAATACTAACCCTACTACGACGACGACTGCCACTACTACTAGGACTACGACTGCGCCTGCGACAACTCCTCCTCTTCCTCCTCCTCCTCCTCCTCCTCCTCCTCCTCCTCCTCCTCCTCCTGCTCCTGCTCCTGCTCCTGCTCCTGCTCCTGCTCCTCCTCCTCCTCCTCCTCCTGACGACGACGACTACGACGACGACTTGTTTGTGTTTCTTCGTTTATGATTCCAAAATATTACAAGCCTCACCAGTGCTACAATTAATGCTATTCCTTCACTCCCTAGTGCCCTCCTCATGGAAAGAATGTGGCCTCCGCCACGGAACAGCTGCGCAGTGATGAGCCTGCCAGAGCAAGGTGGAGCAATGCGTACTTCCGAGACCGAATCCGCCCATATCCCTGAAATCCGCACAGCTTTCTTTCTTTCTTACTGAGCCACCTCAACCTCGAACACCCCACCTCAAGCCTCAAGCCTTAACCCTGAAACCCTGGCACCCTGAAAACGAAAAAAACTGTTCCCTTCACTCTCCAAGCGGCCTGAAGCGCTGGAACGAAGAACTTCAACAGAAACCCCAGAACGATCCCGAACCCTTAACCTCCAGCCTGACCGGGTCCGGAGATGCCGCCCGGGCTGCCCGCGCAGCAGCCGAAGCAAGGACATGGGCTCCCGGGCCGAAAACAATTTGGTGGTTGGGCGGGAGGGGGGATGGGGGGATGGGATGGAATCTTATTTCGGGTTTCAGGGTTGGGCCGGATGTGGGCTTTCTGGGGTGGGAGGGAGTGTCAGCAGCGATCTGGGTTTGGGTACAGCTTAGGGTTTGGGATTAAGATCAAAGGTCTCGAGTCGGCGCGCGCATCAGGTGTTAAGGTCCTACAAGCAGAAGGGCCTTGGTACTTGTGCTATAATATAATATGATATAATATGATATAACATAATATGATATAATATAATTCCAATATAATATCATATAATATAATACAAAATAATATAATATAATATAATATGATGCCGGTCGAGCACTCTGGCTTCAGCTATCTGTGGTGGCGAGGGGGGCACGGGGCATGAACGCACGCCCATTCAGGTTGCCATCTCGGCTGAAAGTGCGGCGGAGCAATGGTCGTCCTTTGAATGTCTAGCACACCTGGAGCACACTGGCAAGCTGCCGAGACATTACGGCCTCAACAAGCCGTTCTAAGCCCTAAACCCTAAACCCTCAACATCCCTAAACCATCCTAAACCCTAAACCCTAAACCCTCAACGTCCCTAAACCATGCTAAGCCCTAACCCTCAACGTCCCTAAACCCTAAACCCTAAACCCTATCCCTAAACCCTAAACCCGAAACAATAAACTTTTAAAACCCTCCTTTCCCAAAGAACAACCATGCACCTCACAGAGCGTGGGGGAGTACCTGGCAGGTCCCGGAGGGCCAACAGCTCCTGGCAAACCAGCGGCCTAGGGTTTGGGGTTTGGGGTTTGGGGTTTGGGGTTTCGGGTTTCGGGTTTCGGGTTTCGGTTTAGGGTTTAGGGCTTAGGGTTTAGGGTTTAGGGTTTAGCCGGTCAATGCCTCACAGGCTTGAGGGTGTCAGGATTATTTCAGGGTCAACCGCTTCTATTTCTTGAGGTTCTTCGAGACCGGAATTTCCCAAGACAGGGGTGCCTTGGGAAAAATAGATCCCGGAATGCGATAATCCCTATTTTGGGAAATCCATATACGGAAACCGCTGACCTGCCTCCGTTTGCGGCTTTTTCAGGCCCTCTAAGACCCTCCGCAGTGGGCTCCTTGCGGACATCCACGCCTCCCACCCACGGATGAGGCCCACGGGCCTCGAACCGAGGACGGGTTTGGTGGGTCCAGGGTTTAGGGTGAGTAGGATGCACTTGTGAAGACTGGATGGGTCGCCCAGGGCTTAGGAATTGCTCCAGCTGGAAATTGAAAGGGGCACTCGCTTGCCGGCCATTCGAGGCTGCAAAGCATGGATCTGAGGGGACTCGGTTCATGCAAGTGAAAGCTGTGCCCAAAGGCTTCGACCTCCAGTCTCACAGGTGAGCTAGCTGAGTTGTTCACTCAAACAGCTCTGCCTAACGCAAAGTGCCTCAAAGAGCGCTGAAATGGCGGTGCTGAGGTGTGTTGAGTGCCTACCGACTTCCACGCAATAAGGTTCGCTGGGCGGAAAACCTGAGTCGCAACCAATGCCAAGAAGGGCCCGGGCAATGTCGGCCCGGCCGAAGAAGGCGGTCAGGTAGCGCCGCTCTTGCAGGGGCTTCGACTTCTCAAGGGCCTTGATGACCTTGTGTTGCCAGTGCCACTAGCGCCCAGATCGAAGGTCAGCCCCAAAAACACCTGAAAAAATGGTCACAAACGGTTTTTGTCAGAACAACTACCCATAACATGACCTGACAATGAAAACGCTACAAGGGGCCGTGTCCACACCTGAAGACACACGATCCGGCCTCGATCAGATCCAAGCTCCCCGGAATCACAACATCCTGAGGCATGTTGCAACACAGAAAATGATGTTAGAGATCCTTCAACCCTAACCCCTAAACCCTAAACCTTAAACCCTAAACCCTAAACCCTAAACGCATCAAATGCTGAAGATGCAGATCCTGCCTTAAAAGGTCTGTATGGAGGTATGGCAACCCAGGCGAAGTCGTTGAACAGCTCTGTCTCAGGGGTGAGCACAATGGCCTGCTTTGCAAATGGCGTAACAGTTTATTTGGAACTGTGATTCAGTGCTGCAGCTTGCACCACTGCCCTACATCTACCCCAGTTTTGCAGCTGCTGTGATGGCGCTGCCTGCGGAATGTACTCCTCCCAGGACTGGAACACGCTCCTAAGTGCTGAGAAGATCAACTAGAACAGAAAACGACACTTGCATCAGCTCCTTCTTCCAATGTTTTGTTGATGAGTTGGATACCAAGTTACGACTTACAACTGGTGGGAGCATAACCTTGGTAGCCACTCTCACTGGCAAAGCTTCTGAAGCCGGCACACGAAGTCAATGGAAAACGTGACAGGGCAACGATTTGGCATGCACACTTGGGAAGACATGTTGGGCCGATGTACCGGTTCAGAATGCTTCTCGGGCCATGAGAGACACGTAACGAGTATGTACATGGCAAGCCTGGTAGGCATACGAAGGAGTTTTGTCATGCAAGCAAGGCTCATGAATGTCACCGCCTCCCTCCCCTCCCAATCCCCAGTTGGCTCAAGAGAGGTGCCGGTGTCGAGATGCAAGTGGTCATGCCCAAGATGCCCAGGCCGCGGCCAATCGCCTAAGAATCCGATGACAAGAGCCATCCAGCTCATTTCGGCTCCAGGCCACCGACCCACAGGACTGCAAATATTGATCTTCAACGCATCATGGGCAGCGTCCGCTACTTCAACAGGCCCGTCAACAACCATGCATCTGCTGCTGCACACAAAGGGTGCGCTGCGCAAGCTCAAACGACCTCAGCTAACTCAACCTGTCCACATTTGCATCGTCAACATTGACAGAAAACCAAGCACGACAACGACACATGCCAGCTCGCTGCTGCTCAGGGTTTGCAATTGGTGCCATTGCCCTGCAGCCAATCACCTGAGAAGCCTCCAATTGCCGCGATGACAAGAGCCATCCAGCTCATTTCGGCTCCAGGCCACCGACCCACAGGACTGCAAATATTGATCTTCAACGCATCATGGGCAGCGTCTGATACTTCAACAGGCCCGTCAACAACCATGCATCTGCTGCTGCGCAGAAAGGGTGCGCTGCGCAAGCTCAAACTCGACCTGTCCACATTTGCAGCGGCAAGGCTTACACAAAACCAAGCACGACAACGACACATGCTAGCTTGCTGCTGCTCAGGGTTTGCAACTGGTGCCATTGCCCTGCAGCCAATCACCTGAGAAGCCTCCAATTGCCGCGATGACAAGAGCCATCCAGCTCATTTCGGCTCCAGGCCACCGACCCACAGGACTGCAAATATTGATCTTCAACGCATCATGGGCAGCGTCTGCTACTTCAACAGGCCCGTCAACAACCATGCATCTGCTGCTGCACACAAAGGGTGCGCTGCGCAAGCTCAAACTCAACCTGTCCACATTTGCAGCGGCAACGCTTACACAAAACCAAGCACGACAACGACACATGCTAGCTTGCTGCTGCTCAGGGTTTGCAACTGGTGCCATTGCCCTGCAGCCAATCACCTGAGAAGCCTCCAATTGCCGCGATGACAAGAGCCATCCAGCTCATTTCGGCTCCAGGCCACCGACCCACAGGACTGCAAATATTGATCTTCAACGCATCATGGGCAGCGTCTGCTCCTTCAACAGGCCGGTCAACAACCATGCATCTGCTGCTGCACACAAAGGGTGCGCTGCGCAAGCTCAAACTCAACCTGTCCACATTTGCAGCGGCAACGCTTACACAAAACCAAGCACGACAACGACACATGCTAGCTTGCTGCTGCTCAGGGTTTGCAACTGGTGCCATTGCCCTGCAGCCAATCACCTGAGAAGCCTCCAATTGCCGCGATGACAAGAGCCATCCAGCTCATTTCGGCTCCAGGCCACCGACCCACAGGACTGCAAATATTGATCTTCAACGCATCATGGGCAGCGTCTGCTACTTCAACAGGCCCGTCAACAACCATGCATCTGCTGCTGCACACAAAGGGTGCGCTGCGCAAGCTCAAACTCAACCTGTCCACATTGCAGCGGCAACGCTTACACAAAACCAAGCACGACAACGACACATGCTAGCTTGCTGCTGCTCAGGGTTTGCAACTGGTGCCATTGCCCTGCAGCCAATCACCTGAGAAGCCTCCAATTGCCGCGATGACAAGAGCCATCCAGTTCATTTCGGCTCCAGGCCACCGACCCACAGGACTGCAAATATTGATCTTCAACGCATCATGGGCAGCGTCTGCTACTTCAACAGGCCCGGGTGCGCTGCGCAAGCTCAAACTCAACCTGTCCACATTTGCAGCGGCAACGCTTACACAAAACCAAGCACGACAACGACACATGCTAGCTTGCTGCTGCTCAGGGTTTGCAACTGGTGCCATTGCCCTGCAGCCAATCACCTGAGAAGCCTCCAATTGCCGCGATGACAAGAGCCATCCAGCTCATTTCGGCTCCAGGCCACCGACCCACAGGACTGCAAATATTGATCTTCAACGCATCATGGGCAGCGTCTGCTACTTCAACAGGCCCGTCAACAACCATGCATCTGCTGCTGCACACAAAGGGTGCGCTGCGCAAGCTCAAACTCAACCTGTCCACATTCGCAGCGGCAACACTTACACAAAACCAAGCACGACAACGACACATGCTAGCTTGCTGCTGCTCAGGGTTTGCAACTGGTGCCATTGCCCTGCAGCCAATCACCTGAGAAGCCTCCAATTGCCGCGATGACAAGAGCCATCCAGCTCATTTCGGCTCCAGGCCACCGACCCACAGGACTGCAAATATTGATCTTCAACGCATCGTGGGCAGCGTCTGCTACTTCAACAGGCCCGTCAACAACCATGCATCTGCTGCTGCACACAAAGGGTGCGCTGCGCAAGCTCAAACTCGACCTGTCCACATTTGCAGCGGCAAGGCTTACACAAAACCAAGCACGACAACGACACATGCTAGCTTGCTGCTGCTCAGGGTTTGCAACTGGTGCCATTGCCCTGCAGCCAATCACCTGAGAAGCCTCCAATTGCCGCGATGACAAGAGCCATCCAGCTCATTTCGGCTCCAGGCCACCGACCCACAGGACTGCAAATATTGATCTTCAACGCATCATGGGCAGCGTCTGCTACTTCAACAGGCCCGTCAACAACCATGCATCTGCTGCTGCACACAAAGGGTGCGCTGCGCAAGCTCAAACTCAACCTGTCCACATTTGCAGCGGCAACACTTACACAAAACCAAGCACGACAACGACAAATGCTAGCTTGCTGCTGCTCAGGGTTTGCAACTGGTGCCATTGCCCTGCAGCCAATCACCTGAGAAGCCTCCAATTGCCGCGATGACAAGAGCCATCCAGCTCATTTCGGCTCCAGGCCACCGACCCACAGGACTGCAAATATTGATCTTCAACGCATCACGGGCAGCGTCTGCGACCGCAACAACAAACATGCAGCTGCTGCTTCAAGTTGACAGGGTCATTTGAAGTTACACAACTGCAGCGACAGTGCGGAATTTGCGTTTTTTTAGCAGTCGTATATACAGGTCATTTGCCAGGCCTGGAGGTTGCAACCTTGATCTGAGACATGACAAGTTGGGTGTCATGTTTCCCTTCTGCACTTCCGAAACTCTGGCTCCTGGAACAAAAACTATGCTGTTCGCGGTCAGGCGCGCAGCATGCAGGCTTCATCATGCTTGCAAAGTGTCTGAGCCATGCCAGAGCCGAACACAAAGATGTGGTCTCTGCCGCCTGTCCGAACGTATATCTGCACAACTTCAGGAATAGAATCAGAATTCTCAAGAGTGGAGTGCTACCATCTCGTGCCTGAGGCATTGAAGTATGGTAGCGCCACCACAAGCTCCTAGCAGTCGGTCGAATCTCCCAAATATAAGGAAGAATATTTGCATTTTTTTGGGGGGGGTTCTTGAGCAATTGGTAGACAAGGTACTCTGGCTAGCCTCGGATGCCGGCTCCAGAAGGCATTTTGCGCACTGCGGTGCAGTTTCAAAGTTTTGTCAATTGGGGATGGTGTTCCTTGTGAAAAGAGTCTGCTATTACAAATGGTGCCTGTAAGATGGCCCCAACACCGAATCTTTGACAGCCCGCTCCACGGAAGGCCTTGTACAGCTCATCCACCTCATCCAAGTTGTAAATGTTGCCTGCTGAGCAGTCTGAGCCCAACTGCTGGACACGCGCGCGCGGGGACATAGTTCAGGCTTTTGGGGGGTTTCTGGGACTTGCCCGAATGCACCTTCCAGCACGCAGATGGCATAGCCAGGCACGAAGAAAAAGTCTGCCTGGTGCATTGGCGACTGGTTTGTAGCCTAAGAACCTGCATTCCTGTCGCTGTGCTGTGTTCCCCTGTGCTCCGAAGGTCTGCTACGCGGCAAAAATTATCCTGAAGGGACGAAGACATAGGAACCAAAGGAATCTCTCCAACGACCTGATTTTAAACCTTCAACGTTCACGCCTACAGCCCCTAAACCCTAAATCCTAAACCCTAAACCCTAAACTTTAGTCCCTCCTCGGACGGGTCATCCGTCTGGATGTTGGACGTCACGAAGAAGTCGTGAAGCTGCACGTCAGTGCCCCACTGGCCTTCTCGGCTGGGGATTCAGGGGGATTAAAGCTTAGGGATCAGGGTTCATTTAGAGTTTAGGGTTTAGGGTTTAGGGTTTAGGGTTTAGGGCTTAGGGCTTAGGGTTTAGGGTTTAGGGTTCGCATAGGAGTCACTCTGCGACACATCCCACAGTGAGCTCTAGGTGTCGGGGTCACTTGAACTTGAGCTCAGGGCCCCGAGCAGCCGAGCAGCTTAAGCTTAGGGCATATTTCACCCCCCTCTAAGCCCTACAGCCCTATAAGAACTACAACTTCTAGGGGTTTAGGGTTTAGGCTTTAGGGTTTAGGGTTTAGGGTTTAGGGCTTAGGGCTTAGGAAAACCCGCTAAGCCCTGGAAGACCCCGAACCCTGTGACACCTATAAGCACATAGTCCCCACCTATGAGCCCTCAATCTTGTCATCAGGATATCAGGGAGAGGGAGATGGAGAGGGAGAGGGAGAGACTTCACTGGCAAATGTATAGGGGATAGGATTAGGGGGACCCTTGGGGTTTTAGACCTCGAATAAGGTCCCTGTATATAGACCTCGAATAAGGTCCCTGTGGAAGAGAGCGAGAAGCGGGTTCAGAAGGGTCCTAGGACAATAAGAAGCCTTGGGCCACCTTCGGCAATGCCCTACACCAAGCCCAGGCTTGCCCCCTTTTTGGCTCAGAGTCCAAGAGCGTCGGGGTTTTAGGCTTGTGCGGCTCTAAGCGGGTCCAGGGGAGTCTATAGTTATCAGGGAAACTCCAAGGTGTAATCACAAGCACTGAGTTGATAATACCGTTAAGCCATGCAGGAGCGAACGCTCTATTTTCTACTGCAGAGGGCTTGCGAGGTAATGCAACGGGACGATATGCACATGATGTTAAAATGCAAGGGTTATCGCAATGCAAAATTACACCCCCCTCGCCGAGTATTGGCAATGGGAAGGCGGACTGCACTGCAACCCTGAAACATCACTGAGCGCACATCGGCCTCGTCTTGCGACGGGCAAGCGATCACCTCGCGGGAGTAGAAAAGTGTTTGTGTTCACTAAGACATGCTCAACAGCAGCACGTCAGACACATGTGAATTCGATTTTGCTCCGAGGGCAAACAAAAGTCCGAAAATGCTTGCACTTATAAACTCCAACGATCGCGTCAAACCCGGAGGTGAGGATCGAATTGGTACCGTCAGCCGTTAAATTGAGGTGCGGCGCCGGTAGTTTCGGAGTTGTCACGATGTGACCAGTGGGAAATTAGGCGAAAAGAAGATTCATCTTTCTACTTGTGCAAAGCAACAATGAATATTGGCCTCCGCGTTAGCGGGGCGATATCAGTCGGATTTGCCTGCAACTCGGCTTCATTGATGAAAATATGGCACTACAGCTTGAAAGGGGGGCGGGGGGAGTGGTTTCACCACTGACGATTCCATCGTCCCCCCTGGCGGTAGCTATCCGTCCATTCATAGCGTGCGGGACGGTACTGCTCGCCACGGCTCTGCTCGCCCTTTCCCCTTCCCTTCGGCTTGGCTGACGCAATCTTTGCCTGTGCCTCACGTGACCGCTGGGCATCCTCGTCCTTCGCCAGGTAGGCTCTCTCCGCTGGTCCCTGGTTCTTGCGGATCAGGTCGAGAATCCATGCCCGATTCTCGTCGAGGGACCATCGAGAGCTGCCTTTGGTCGGCTCCGTGCCAGTGAAGGTGACCAAGCGATGAATCGTGTCGGACTTCGCAAGGATCTGGATGAAGTCCTCCAAGCTCATGATGGCCCCGATCCAAGACACTACGAAGGCAGGATCGTCCGGCGTGGTCGCTAGACCCGCAGCAATCAACTCTTGAGGCGTGCAATTCACGAAAATCAGCCGAGCTGTAGTAAACGGATTGTCTGCCTGGAATCGGGCACCAGTGCCATGGGATCCTACCCCTAGGCGACGTTGTGCCTCAGTTCTTCCTTCATTTGGCAGAGCGGCGTTAATTAGAAGTTGGAACACACGCATGTCGTCAACTCCATGACCTTGGTCAATCATTTGGAGTGCGAACTGTGCGTCACCGCGGAACCTGTCCATTATGCCCTCGAAGCCCAAATTACGTGCACGCTTGGCCATCTGCTTTGCTTTAGCAAGCGTTTCGGCCTCAGGCGAAATGGCTCCACGGGTACCTGCATCTCTCCGCATCTCCTGAAGGATGTCGCTGTCTGAGAGATCCCGATGGTGCCGGCCCAACGATGCTGCAGCACATTCCTTTGCGAAGTAACGTGCCGATTGCAGCTTTCTGCGATGGAGTTGGGAGCGAGGGGTAATAAAGGACTGACCGCAATGGATGCAAAGGGTCTGGCCGATGAGGTAGTCGTGCGCGCACTTGGGGCATACCCTTTTCGCATAGCTTGTACCGCTCTGGTTCGAAGCTGCCTGATCAATTGCCTGAGCATCTTCGGTCACTGCAGTGCTTGGCTGATCATTCTCCATCGGATCATCGGCCTCAGCGTTAGCTGGGCTAGATGACCCTTCGGTTGACGGCCTGGTCCAAATGTAGGATCCGTCCCTAGTGTCGCGCACGTAGAGTGCACATGTGCCAGGGACTTCTTCTGAACAGAGGACGCCGTCGCTCTCGGAGATGAAAAGCCATGCGTGCTGCAGTACAAGCTTCGTCTCGTAGACGATTTCGATGGGAAGGTCGGCACGCACTCCACTTTTGACCTGGAGGTCCTCGAGCGCTGCAAGGGCAAAATAGTTGTGTGCCTTGCCCGAGTCTCCAAACCCAGGTTTCATTGACCCTTCGACAATTGCCAACGCAGCATCTCTGGTAGTCCTGTGGTACAGTCGGGGAGGACATTTTTCAATTGGTAATAGCGGCCTACCTGCGAAGGTGGCGGTATCTCCAATCTCCTCTTGACTTTTAGGGCTAAGCCAGGACACTGCGAGGTCTGTGTCTGTGTAGCGGTCTCGGGCCGATTGGGCGTGGCCCTGGGCACAATGGATCCAGACCGGGTAAAGGTCCTGGCCAAGTGCCTGGGAGCGAAGAGCATCTGGCATACACCGAAGTGAGAATCTCGCTTTGTTGTCATGGTAGACGATCGAGAAGATGCTTCTTGTCCCTAGAAGAATCTTGCACCGCGCCAACACGATGTCGATGAGTTCATCAACGAGCATCCATGTCCGATCCCACGATCGCCCCGAGCGATGGCCTCTGACCAAACCGGTGATCCCCTTCATGATGTGATGGGGAATGTCGGCTTCCTCTTCAGGCTTCAACTCTGCCTGAAGCACGTGGACCATTCTGGGGTCGTCGAACGGAATTGAGTTGAAGTCATCGCGGTTGATTCCTCGCATCTCATCAAAAATGAGTTCTTCAGATCGGGACCACCCAAGGTGGTAGTCTTCCACGTCATCAACGAAAAGAGACGGCTCGGCCTCTGCTTTCGCAGGGCTACCCCTCTTCTCGGTTTTGGACGACTTCACCTTGGGATAGGGGACGATCCACGGTGCCCGGCGCTTGACCTGCTCAAACGAGCGACTGTCGAGCTCTATGTTTCCCTCACCATCAGGTTCTGGATCTTTTGAGCTCGAAGCCGGCGTTCCCTTTCGGGACGCAAGATCAGCGTCGCGGGCCTTGGACTGGTATTGTTTGTCCGCATCTCGCCTTAGGTGCCATTGCTTGTGGCCTCCCAGGCGGTAGTTGCTCGTCTCGCGAGCGACCTGCTCTTGCGACAACTCCACATACGGTTCGGTATCTGGAGCAATAGTCCTCTGCCAAGGTTCAAGAGTGAAGGCCCGTGCCGGAATCATGTGTCGATAGCCGGCGCTACTCTTCGACCACTCGGACTCGAACTCAGCAGGGACTCTGTAGCGCCCACCCTCACGAAAGGGGTAATCACGGGCAAGCTCCTGCAGCAGATCCTCCGGAACGTGCTGGACCATGTCCTGCACTGCGGCCAGAACCGACAGTGCTGCCAGGTAGTTTGCCAGGCGGCTGCGGCTTTCCCTGTCCTCCCGAAAGTGGTACACATCGTAGAGGGGCAGCTCACCAGCCATGTTCGCAAACTCGAAGACGTTGCACCCCTGACCCTTGGCGTAAGAAAGCAACACTTTCATAGTTTCCTCCCATTGGTGTGGCAAACTATAATACGTTGCACGCCCTGGTCCAGTGAACGAGATCGCACCGCAGCACGGCCTGCCCTTGAGGGCGGCGATTCGTCGGATGTTGCCACACACTCCACTGGCAATCTGCGACCAATCGCCCTCAGCGGCGTAGCCTTCCGGGGGCATGTTCCAGTACTGGAGATCCGGGGGAATAAAGACCCCATAGTTGCCGAAGAGCTCATTTCCCTGCCAGACAACCAGTATGTCGATCACCTGCTGTTCCTGCTGTTCAGGGGGCAACTGGGCCACCATTTCGTCGAAGGTTTCGACCACGGTGTCCCTGATCTTCCGGAGGTTGCTTCCCCAAATTGGCAGCACTCGCACCGTGGCGTAGTGATCCAAAGGGGCCCCCGTGGAGGTCATCGCCTCGAGGTCCTCAGCAATCGTGGATGCTGTTTTGGCGCCGGCCTTGAAGTAGAGGGTTGAGTCACCCACGACTAACAGCTGCCGAATGCTACCTCTTCCCGAGGCAGGATGCAAGAGGGCAAGACCCTCATCGGCCACAGCCGCTAGGCGGGCAATATCCGACACTGTAGAATTGTCCTTGATGGCCAGTGACGTTGCTGTCTGGACCGGGACTTCATTGTACAGATATCGGATGCCCTGGGTGTAGAAGGGGTTAATGCTGAAACGGAACTCTTCAGCAAACACAGCCCTCCACAAGGAGCCAATCCACCATGAGGCACAGTCCTCACGCGGGGTGTCGCCCTTCAGGTAGAGAGCGGCGGACATTGTGCTCGGCGTGGTCTTTCGACCCGCAATGCAGGGGCAGGCAAGAGAACTTAGGTCTACAACTTCTTTTGGGCTTGCATTGTGGAGCTTACCATTCTTCCATGAATGAATGATGCTCTGGATGATGCCGTCCTTAGTGCTGTGATCA